TTTTTACCACGTGATCACGCTCCCTCGCGCATACCCACGCTCAGAGAATAAGGTCAGGTGATGAAAGAGAGGCGGCTGATTGGTCCGGCAAGCGTATAGCTTCCATCGCAATGTCAGCTTAGGGGTGAAGGGAGTAAGTGAGGCCCGGTGTCTTGTGTCGTGCGTTTGGGCCGGGTGACGCGCTTTGGGTTTCGCGGATGTGCCACAGTGAAAAGGCAGAGAGGTTTCGAAGGGAAGGAGGTACGAAAGAGACTGCCGTGTTTTAAAATTTTCGTATTGAAAATAAGGCTTTTAACTTTCTACCTTCTTCTTTTTTCTTTTCTTTTTTTTTTTTTTAACTACCCAACGATATATTATTAGGAAAAACCGAAACTAAATTCATTTATCCCAGCCCGAAATTCGTTTCATGGCCCCTTTAAAGGGATACTTTAACGAAATTTGAAATATTCCCGTCGTGTTCAAAAATAGGTTGAATATGATCCACAATATCCGTAAATGACAATCGCACGTTTGTATTTTAAGCCTGGTGAGTTATTATAATGTACGCTAGAGGTTCAACTGGCGCTAGTGTGCTGCTGCAAATTGAAGCAGACAGCAACCAGTCCGAAATTGACTTCCGGTAATGCATTTCTACGGGAAAAAGCGAGTGCATTTTCTCGCTGCGCTCGATTATAAGAGCAAATATCACGAATATTTCGTACGTACTAGGCACATTGGAACATTTCTCAGTCACGCAGACGAAATAATTGGCCACTTATGGCGTTTTTATTTGAAATTCGTGGCATGAAAAACGGTGCTAAAACCGCTTCGTACATGTATTTAAAGTGCACTGCCGGACACTGTTAGCGCGAACACGGCGTCGGAGCTTTCCACCATGGGTGATATACGTGTCAAACAAACGAAGGACGTGGAAAACCAAGAAAGACGGCAAGAACTACGGAGTAACGCTGGATAAGTAACTTCTTGTGCATGAGGCGATCAAAATAAATTGAAAGCCACGTAATATAGTCCGATTTGTACTGCTTTATTCTTTCTGTTTATGAATAGGCGCGAAGATGCATGTTTTGGGTTCAAATCATCAACCGCACGCTCTAAATCTTTGCAAATAGGGACAAGTTAGAGAACAGGTGCTCGATAAAAACTGCCTGACATAGGAAATAATAAAAAGACACACCTTTCGTAGCCCACGTACTTTATTTTTTGCATTTGAATGTTTTTTAACCGATCGTAAAGATGCACGACAGAGTCATTTTCATAGAGTGACAGGGCGGGCATATTAGCAATATATAAGCGCCACCGGAATGCTAGCGAACCTTGAACGCACTCTATATTCTTTTCGATCGTTAGTTTGCTTAGAATTGTCGCTTGTTTTTACATACCAGCCATGGAACAGAGGTTTGGGCCTGAAATATAGCGAAGATTAATATCGTTCAGTGGTAAAGAAAAATGCTGTAATTAAAGCAATTACACTTTTACAATATTAATAAATGTACATACTATCCGGTACAACCGAAATAATAAACATTATTCATGTTATTTTCTGGCGGAGAGACAAAATTCACGCGAGTTTTCCCATAGGAATGCACAGGAGCATGGCAAAAGTAGACTGGTTGCTGTCTGCTTCAATTTGCCTCCCGGAAGTCGCATAGACACTAGCGCCAGTTGAACCTCTAGCGTACATTATAATAACTCTATGGTATAAACGGCCCACTCTGGCAAGCGCTCGGAGAAGGCCCAGAGGAGACCACGTGACATCCAACGCAATCGTGACGTAGGTCTTCTCGGGACGAGCAAAGCTACGGCGAGGCTGACGTCGAGAGAATGGCCTAGTCGTTCCAGCCACCGAAGCGGCTGCTTTTATACGAATTTTGAGTGACGGGTTAATCTTATATAATCTTGTAGATGGACAATAGCGACTTCTGAGTCACACCAAAGGGATTATCGGGAAGAGGGGAGTTCCTCCTTCCCCTCTTCTCTCGTCGTGGCCAGAGGCGAGACACTCACCGTCACCAGCTGTCAATGTTCCTAGACGGGCATTACAAGCGAGGCGTTATCCACCAGGTGCTCTTTGCTAATCGTTTAATTCGTTTTAGAATTCCTTTTCGAGACTTTTTTAACAAGATATTGGTATGTTCGATGTGATACTGCTCCTTTGAACACATATAGACCAAAAAATGAGCGCCTACATTTCGTTGTAGTATCCCTTTAAAGAGGTACTCCGGTGATTTTTTATGGTCGCTCATTTGCCTCAAAATTGGCTCAAAACGCCGATTGACACGGCTCTACCAGTTCCCCAAGTATTGTGTAAAAAGAAAAACATTTCGCGAAGATGTTGAATTTTCGAATTTTGTTTTCATCGTCCTGCTCAAACCTGGAGCCCCTACTGGCAACATTGAAGTGTGACGACATAAATGGTACAAAGTGGGCAGTAAGCCATGTTCCCAACTGATTACAAGACATTCGATGGTGGGAAAAGAATGCTTGGTAGCTGATTCACTGAGAAGCACTCAGAAAACACTCGACATATGCTACCTGCGCGACCTGAAAGTTTGTACCATTTGAGACGTCACACCACTGTAGAGCGCGCGAAAATTTGAATGGTGGTTGTGGCATCATACTCATCTACGGTTTCCTCAATTGCTATTTTGAATTTCGAGAAAATAAATAGCATACCGTGAAGAAGAGTTTGGGTAGTAAGAAAATACAATTTGTTTGGGTGGCTCAAAAAACAGCCGGAGTACTCCTGTTGAGCGTAATTCCAAATACCCTTTCTGAACCTAATACAGGGAGGGCGGTGTCGGTGTCCTCATTGTCACTTGTGTCGTTCAAGCTCATCTTCCCAAGGAATTCCTGAATAGGGTGACCACCCGTCCCGCGACTCGCGGGACTGTCCCGCATTGAGGGCTCGTGTCCCGCGTCCCGCGAGAAATTCCCGAATCTTCAAAATGTCCCGCATTTCACACTGTCGTAAAATTCGCTCTGCAACTCATGGTGCTGACAAACAACGGGGCACGGGGAAGCGCGGAGTTCACATGGTAACCGTGTGAATCGAAATGGTACGCCATTTGCTATCCAAACATTGCGGGAAGCGACCGTCGTTTTTGCAGGAGACCCGACGCGCATACTCCGTTGTGCCCCTCCCCTTAGTGGCAAAATATTGCAAGAGAAAATTACTCGTTTATTGGTATTGTTTTTATATCGCTGTATCAACGTGAAAGGGTTGCTGTGGATATTTGTTTGAAGACAGTTACACAAGGAAAAAAGAAAAAGAACAATGTTGAAAATTGGTGTAGGATTATGTTGATAAAAGTAAGCGTTGGCAGGAAACAATAACTCAAAAAAGATTTACTGTTTCTTAATTTCATTTGATGCATTGAGTGCTGCTGCAGTTGCTTTTTGTGCTTTCAACTTCGACACATTTAATAACATATTTGGCATAAAAAATATATCACTGGGAGTGAAAACTATTGTAGCTTAAGTGCTGCAGTACAATCACGGAATATTAAATGTGTTAACAGAACCTCGGTTCAGGTGTGCGTGTTCATAATTTTCTCTACCCCCCTCGATCCCCCCTCCCCCCCCCACCCCCCCACCCCCCCTGGCCCTGCGTGTCCCGCATTTCGCTAGCAGGTAGGTGGTCACCCTATTCCTGAAGCGTGTGGGTATGCGCGAGGGAGCGTAATCACGTGGCAAAAGTGTGGCGGGCCCAACGAGCACGTAGCTTGCACACCACTGTCAGCTTAGGGGTGAATGGGGTGAGGGAAGCAATTTTTGTCCGAGTTTTGACCGACGGGCTAATCTTCTAGGGGGAGAATGGGCCACACGAACACGACACGCACGTCTGATCTCACACATGAAACGCTCGTCACCCCGCGGATATTTCGAACGGCTCGGTTGTAACGCGTTGACTAGGACCCCTTGCCGTTGACTAATGGCAGTGAAATAACATCGAGGGACTTTAGCGTTGCGTTGACGCCACCACAACGCCACCAACGGCAAAGCTCATAACCACGCAAAGCCTTGCTACGTCACGAATGCGGGGAATCTTTTTGTTTTTTTATTGTTTGCGCCGGATGTCCCATGACGCATCGCGCTCTCCGTTCGCTTCTCTTCGAGCTATAGAGATCACATGCTTGCTTGAGTGCACCGTTTCGGTTCAAAATACAAACGTGCGATTATCATTTACGGTTATTATCCGTCATGCTTGACTCATTTCTGAACGAAATTTGTACATTGCAACTTTCGTTTCCGTACCCCTTTAAAAAGCTACTGAAACGCTCCATGCGAAGTGCAGATGTCCCGGTTTGGTGTACCTCGAAATAACACAGTTAAACCCAGATGTGTTATTAATTAACCTGAACACCGCATGTGAAATACAGAAGCGGTGTTCAGGAAACGGTAAACATGTTCAAACTCTAGCCGCCGCGGGAAACAACAACGCGTGTTTAACTTGTACCCTACAGTAAAGATGGTGAGGCCGATGCTTTATCCCTGCTCTCATTTCTGTGAATGACGCACAGAAGGTACGGTCGTGCGCGTGTGCCTTACATTCCAACGCTATGTATTTCAATACGCATATCTGCTCGGATCGTCGTCCGGCCAACGCTGATAAACCCAGTCGCCCCGTAGCACTGTTGGCACTGTGGCCTGTGGCCCTGTCAGTCCGGCAACCTGCGGCAACAGGCCGTTTTCCGCGTATAGGCCGCGAACGAATTTTAACTTTTATGCCAAATTCAGAAGTCATAACTCAGCACTAAACGAGGCTAAGTTTTTTACATGTTTCCAACCGAAACATGTCAATATTCTTTCACGAGTAAGTGAAATTCTGAGTTTTCGACGATCTCTGGGTTCTTTAGATCGGGGGAATATCACCTGGCAACATTGTAACTGCCGTTATTTTTCGTTTGTGTGTGTTTTCTTTTGACTAGCGGCGGACTGTTTTGGGCAGTCGTGTTGTGTGTTTGCATACAGTTCGTTTATCAGCCCCAGTGACCTTTTTTTCCCCCGGTGAGCTCGGTGTGCTGAGTAATCGGATGTCTTTCTAGCTTACCTGTGTGATCGCACCGTGGGTGCGGACTTCGACGATAACGAGGCATGGCTGACAACTCGCAGACAAGCCGAAAACTGCACCGCGGCGTCTCCACCAAATCGGAAACCGAAGTGGTGGAGTTAGAGCGGGTAAGCGCGAAGTTTTCAAACCGTTAAATTCAAAATTACCTTTATTCCGCCCCATTTTTACGAGGCCAGACGCTCGTGGAGGATACGAGACGTCGTAATTAACCGTTACTTGGTGGCCTAAATTCTCGTATGACGTCTTGCTTGTGTCTTAGAACCATCCATGCTACAACTTACGAGCTGTCGAGTTTATTACTGATATTTTTTTCTCTCCTCTCTTATAGCTCTGGCGATCAGTCTTCGAAAAGGTGGGTCACTTTCCTACTTTAAACTTTTAAATGCCTATAGAAAGCTTTATTTATTTATTTTTTTTTTTTTATTTAAATTGAACTATACATTTTGTTGGTTTGCATGTCTTTTATACCTTTTACATGACGAGATTTTTGTTTGGGCCAGGGGGTTAAATTGCAACAGTATATAGTATATATACTATATATATATAGTATATATATTATAAATAATTAAGGTCATTGCATTTGTATTTAGAAAGTTGATCATAACCGATAAACTTCACATGCTACAGAAGATCCTATGCTCATGCAATAACAACGAGCTCAGCAGCACTGCATGCAAGGCAAAGCTTACTTTCATGAACTAATATTAGGAAACTTGATGAAAGATAAAAAAAAAAAAGTCAAATTGGACGTTTTAGTGATTTATACAGCATAAGGTTGGTCTGCCAGTAGGGGCGACATTGGTTTACACTGTAGACGACCAATTTTGCCAGTGCAGTACGACTGCTAGCCTGGGGTCTTTAACGTGCTCACGCAGTAGTGATACACAACCGCACGCCGGTATGATGCTCATCCAGATCGAAACGGGCAGGGGTGGGGCTCGAACCCAGGATCCCTGGGCTCTGCAGCACGAGCTTTCGCTCCACGCGCGTCGAGCTGGGTGTGCGCTTCAGCCCACTCGGCCACCGATCCCCCTATTGATGAAAGATGTTGCATTATTTGCTTAGGCAACCTTTAGCTATGTTTTGCATAAATGAACAGAAGCTTCCACTGTGGTAAGGAGCTTAGCTAATGCGGAGAGCAAGTTGTCTGCTTCTTGCGCAGGGTTGTGGTGGCGTCAAAAAGAAAGCTCAGCTCTGATTGGCTCTAAATGAAGGATAGTGGGTAGACCTTAAAGCTGCCTTGAGGTTTACCTACTATCCTTCATTCAGAACCAATTAGAGCTTGGCGTTCTGACGTTACCACAACCCCTTGCAAAAGAAGCAGACGACCTTGCACTACGCATAAAATGCGAACAGTGCAGCCTGTGGCCTTCGATACAGGCTATGCGACCTAAGGGCAACTATACGCATTTCCACCTCAAGAGAAAAGGAAGTTTTGCTCCTTGTTCATGCGCCGCGCGAAGTAGCTCTTACAAGATTTGGTTGTGAGGGGAGAAGCGATGCTTTTGGTGTTTGAAGCGTGTGCGTCTAGGTAAGGTAGCATACATCTAATCTAAAATGCACCTACATATATCTTAATTATCTACATAAAGGGGTAAATTAGTAATGCTACGCAAGGAGCCGGACTTTTTTTTACTATGTTCTTGAGGTGAAAATAAGTATAGGAACTGATAAAACTGCGAAATGAAGAGAGGGTCTGTGAGAGTGTACAGTCGGCACGGAATGAAACGGGAACATGGAGCGCATAGTTTTCGACCCACGCTGAGTCACCTAGAGACGCAACACCGAAGGTTTGGATGCACTAAGCAAGAGTCTAACACATCGAAAGAGGAGCCATCTTCTTGCAGCTCCCATCTGGTTCAGTTGGTGCAGCAACTAGCGAAAACCCTGCACCCACTGTTCGCGTTTCATTCCGTGCCGACTGTACACATCGGACTAGGTGTGCACCATCACAGCCCCTTTTGACCCCATAGTTTCATCAGTTAAGAGTTGAGCTTGTTGGTACATACTTGTAAATATATCACCTTGAACTTTAAAATTATACTTGAACCCAAAAAAAGAAAGGACAGCTGTTTGTCCTCTGCTGTCCTTTCTTTCTTTGTGTTCAAGTATAATTCTAAAGTTCAAGCTGATATATTTACAAGTTTCATCAGATTCTAGCGGCCTCGAAGTAGCACAGCATGTATCGAAGGACACGCGCTCCGCTGTTCGCATTTTATTCGTCGTCATAGTACATGAGCGTGCAAGACAGGACACACCTCCATGAAGTAATAGGAGCCTTAACCACAAGTATGGTGTTAGTTACCAGGCAACCTAAAACTATGTGCTACATAAATGAATGTAGGCTTGTACTGGGATATTGAGTGTAACAGTGTGGCAAACAAGCATGCATAGCAGAACATATCCTTAATAGACGCTTTCTGAAATTGAGTCTGGCCACCTCAACAATTATTATCAGCTCTCCCTTGAAGAGGGGGGGGAAGGGGGGGGGGGGGGGTGATTGTTTAGTTTTTCTGTCTCATCCCTCAAAGGTCATCCTAATGATATCCCACACCGCCTGTTTATTGTTACAAAATTTCAGAGGGTAAGCAAATTGGCTTAGAAGTACGAAGGGAGAAATCATACTTTTGGTTCTTCATATCTAGGCTAGGTGGTGCAAGCTACTGCCCGTTATAAAGGGCACAGCCATTAGCATCAATTCATTCATCCGTCCATCTATCCATCCATCCTAAGGGTATATATCATCCGTACATGGTATTGGCTGCCTTTTGATGGCTGATGAAGGAAGAATTTGAAGACGGGCACTGATGCAGAGCCTGAACGTTCCAGACATTAGTTTGCTGTATTGTTCTATGCCAGCTTGACGAGACTGGTAAGCTTCTCTGCGCTGCACATTTGAGGGTGTTATGGGGATCCTTGAAATGCTCGGCCCATACAGCTCATGAGAAGAAAATCTGGTGATATTATAGAGAGATTCAAATTAGTGCCTTGTACCCTGTGATAGTTTTCTTGACACCATTGAAACTGAAACGAAGAGAGGAAAAAAGAACTGCAGAGCGGAGAACATCATAACTTTCATACTTTTGCCATTGCCAAATCGATGCTAGATTTTGACTGATGTGAGCACGCAAAAGTATTGATGGCACTGAATTTCTGAATGGGTCTATAGTCACTGTCAGGACGAGGACGGCAAGGTGCCTCTTTCGAATTCCCGGCCCACTGCACATGTTTGTCGCCTTTCTCTGTGTTTTGGCTGCACGTGCACGCTGGAGGGCAGGCATCTGAAACTTTTCTGCCATTGTCATCTTGTCAGTGAGTATGGAACCGTATGACAAACATGATCACAGCAACGATATTAGTCAGTTTCGTGAACCTGAGGTTTCTGTCGCGTGTTCATCGCCTCTAGTACGACCACGACGACGATGGGCAAATACCGCTCGACGAGATCCTCCAGCTGCTGCACGAGCACAACCAGGAGCTGGAGCACGACATGCCACCGAGCGTCCTCCAGGAAATCGTTGAGCGAGCAGACTGGGACTCTAACCGGATGCTCTCCTTCGAAGAGTTCACCAGGATGGTGAGTATTTACTATTTGGAAAGTTTTTAAAAGGGTCCCTGCAACGATGCTTGAGCTTTTGGCCACCTTCTGGTCTCTTCTATGGTTGTTTGGGAAACCTAGGGGACAAGGGGTAGGTGCATTTCAAATTCGTATACCCACATTCCAATTTTTTTCTTGGTTATCTGGCACCACCCTGAAACGTTAATACCTTGGTTGTGAACGGTCCTTTACGTGGGACAGAATTGAACCATCAAGGTAAAACATTTAACAAGAGGTCTGGGTTAAACATGTGAAAACAGGCCATGACCAGAAATACTTCTCAAATATTTAGAGTTTTGTGTCGTAATTGAGCATGACTGAGGAAAAGAGAGGTGGGCAGTCTCGGCCGACGATTTTCGCACGTGTGTCCTTGTGTTTCTAATCGTAAAAGAAAGAGTGAATAGTACCCTCTATCCTCGTGCTTCCCCCAGTCTGATTTTAATACACGTAGTCAACCCACTGAAATATGGGCCTTCACAAGCGATCGCCTGTGCGACAAACGTGATGAAGCTTCGCCTCCGCAGTTGTTTGCTCTTCGACGGTGATGGTGGTAGAAACTAGACGACATCTTGTTTGTTGGAGCGCATCCGGTACTGGTTCATGGACAAAAAACAACGTAATCCTCGAGGTATTCCCTCTCTCTTTCTCGGAGGCCAAGTCCTCGTTCGTTAAGAAACAATTTATTTTTTGTTTATTTATTTTAACCCTAAAGGCCCTTTCGGACATTACATAAGGGGAACGTGATACAGGGGTTGGTACAACTGAACCAAATGGCTGATATATTATCTGCCAGATATGTTTGATGAGGGTGCCAGATGATTGATGCATAATCAAGTAGAGATCTGACAAGGGCAGTGTAGGCAAGAAGTTTTGTATCTGAGTTTACTTGAAACAGTGTTCGTTTGAGAAAGCCAAGAATTTGCGACGTCTTGTTAGCAATGTGAGATGAACACGAAGATATTTAAAGTATGAGACACTTCCAACGGCGTCGCTACCATTGAAGTATGTGTAATAAGTGAGATGTCGTTTCGAGGTGAGGGTTATAGCTTTTGTTTTGTGTGCATTTATTTTCATCAGTCACGTGTCACACCAGTTTGAAACTGTGTCTAAGTCATCTTGTAAAATTGTACTATAGTAAGTGTCCATAGGGGGACGGTAGATGACGCAATCATCCGCAAAGAGACGAGCGCAAGATTTTATGTTAGAGTAAAGATCATTGATGTACATAAGAAAAAGCACAGGACCCAGTACAGACCCCTGCGGGACACCTGACGTCACGGGGAGAGGGGAGGAGAGGTATTTGCTAATCACAACTGAGTGGCGTCTGTTAGTCAAAAAGTTTTAATCCATTTAACAACACCTGTGCATAAGTTTAGTTTAGTCAGCTTATATATCGACCGGTTATGTGGTATGCGATTAAATGCTTTCGCGAAGTCAATTAAAATGGCATCGACGTGTCTGAACAGGTGAACACAATGATGGTCATTTAACAACTCAGAGCTGTGTCTCACGTGAACGTCCATGCAGAAAGCTGTGATAGTTAATAAAAAGAAGTTGATTGGTAGTTAGGTGGGTCATGATTTGCGACGATATAATGTGTTCTAGAAGTTTACATGAAACACAGGTGAATGAGATGGGTCTGTAGTTGTTAAAGGAATTTTTATCCCCCGTCTTAAATATAGGAACAACATATGGGCCTATTTCCAATCGTCTGGTAATTTACCCATGGAGAGGGATTGTTGGAACAGCCTTCCCAGAAGAGCGCCAGGAATTGATTTGGTTAGCTTTAATAACTTTGTGGATATGCCATCCTGGCCAGGACTAGAGTTAGTGGGCAATCGGTCACCGGCACGTATAACCCCATAGGTAGAAATTACAATATCTTCCATAATGCTTTCAACTGACATTTCTGATATATTCGAATCTGAAAGAACATCCTCATCAGTGAAAGCAGTGCTGAAAAACTCGTTGAACTGGTCGGCCAACTGAGATTCACCAAGTAAGGTGTCACCAGAACCCAAGCACGGAAGCACACTTGCAGGGTGGGTTTACAACCCTCCAAAAATCTGAAAGTCTCGGAAAAAGTAAGACAGACGTCGCCAGGAGTAGCAGACGACGCCGGCGTCTGGCGTTTGAATGCTGACCCTGATGCCACTGCTCCCTCTGCTCGAGGAGCAGGCGACGGTCTTGCTTGCTCCGATTGGGGGGATGCAGCGAGTAGAGGCAAAGGCAACTATCCTTTGCGTCTACACACTCTCCTTCCGATCGTAGCTCAGCACTTTGATGTCGGCACACCTGCTGTGCAAGAAGCATACTAACTCGGTTGCTGCACGCTCTGTAGGTCCATGCGCACGAACTTGGGGAGCACCGTCCAAGGTTCCAGCGCCTGGTCCACTACGCCGCCATGGCCGTCGTTCCAAGCCGTCAGCGGGCAACGGTGGTTCGCAAGTACCTGGACGAGTACAGCTGCAAGCCCCCGCCAATGTTCATCCTGCTGATCAGCCTCCTGGAGGTTGGTACAGCACTCCTTCTTTTGGCGTTACCAGATACTCTGCACTCTGGATCTGGTAATAGTGTCCAGATACTCTGGACACTCTGCACAAGCACAAGTGCTCTGGGGGCGACAGGCTTTCAGTCCAAACACCAAGTCGAGAGGTGGCGCTAGCGGACGTGACGATATGACCAGGAGTCTTTGGAGCTTTTGCAATCGGGAAAAGTTGTATTGACATGTTTTATGCCCTTAAACGCCAAATATGGCAGGCCATTGGCAGTGCCGTACACACCGCCCACCAGGTTTTCGTCACAGGAGCTAGCACAATCTCTCTGTTCGTCATCTTGCTCTAATGGTTCCGTCTCCCGCAAACGTGGAAAGTGACCAGTGCATTCCGTAGTAGTCGGAACATAAGCGCTGTATAAAGAAAAGGGCCCGTGTTTTGAAGTTTTGAAACATCTGGTCGAATGTGAGAATTGTATACATACCGTTGTGGACTTTGACATCAGTGGAAGAAAGGGAAAAAGATGACCACGAACGTTTGATAAAAGAATCACTCTCAACACTAAGTCACGGAAATGCTGTTAATAAACCTTCGTTTGGTTTGGACCACAAACTTCAGCGGTTTCTTAGGCTTTTAGAAGTGCTGTCCTTGAAGTGTCTTCAAGTTTCTGGGAAGAAAAGTTGTTATGTTCGTTTTGGGTCGGGGTAACAGGGTTCAAAGATAAGAGAAGATAGATGTCGCGGAGGCCGTCATTGCCCTGCTAACTGTTTGGAATGTACATTTGTGGAAAGAGGGGTTCTTGGGGGGTTTTCTCTTCCCCCTTTCCATTCATTTTTTTTTTTTTCCTATTTAATTAGGTTTTAGAAAATAAAATTGCTTTGTTTGAGACTTTTGAGTGTGTGTGTCGTTACCTGCAGTCTCGGTTTTTTTTTAATCATGTGAAAGATGGTACTTGGTTCTATTGTGTGAGGAACTTGGGAAAAGTCTACTTTTCAGTGGAATCTTAACGAGCTCAGCAACTGCCCTTCTCTGTTCCAGGTGGCTACTTTCATCTACTACTGTGTGGTGCTCCACGAGTTCTCGGCCACGGGTCCCGTCCCAATGGACAGCGTCTTTATCTACAACCCCAAGAGGAGGAAAGAGGCGTGGCGCTACCTCACCTACATGCTCACCCACGCCGGGTAAGATCGGTATTCGTTTGTGTTGCCACTGCCACCGCAGTGTCGGTACAACTACGGTCACCGACAGAGCACTTCCCGGGGCGTGTCTTTCGAATGCCCGGCTTCCAGAGCACGTTTCGTGCCTTCCGCCACGCTTTGGCTGCGTCGCGCACTCGAGGCACACGAGACGCTAAAGTGTTGGTGGAGGTAGAGAGCTCGCGCCGGAGGTCAGACAAGCAAGCAAAAAGCGCCGAAAAAATACAGGGACACAGACGAAGGGAAACAGGACAAGGCGCACTCTCAACTGATGTTTATGAGGTCAGACAACCAAAGCTCCTCCCTGCCGTCCTCACCTTGGCGGCGAACGCAGGATTGCTCGAGAACCACTCTTGGAGCATCGGCACCCTCTTCCCCCTTTGTCCAAACCCGACATTCGTTTCTGTGTGTGCAGCATGTAGGCCCCACCTTTTTATTGTATTGGGCTCGGCTCTGTTGGCGACGAGCATTCTTCTAACGTCCTGTTTTTTGTGTTAGTATAAGGCCCGTGTTAGGAAGTTTCAGTAATGCCATTTCGCCTCGTTGTGGAGTATAGCTCGTTTAGCGGCACTAGGTGTGACCTGGCTGATGTCGAGACACCTATTTCACGTGCCGTCCCAACAGTGGCACACAGGTAGATGCGTGAACTAAAAGTGAAACTTCACCAAACAGCCACACTTTTTTGTTAGCGGGCGACACAAATCGTAGCACCTCGAAAGGCTGCGACTCGCTAAAAAGAAAATTGATGCGGCATTGATTTAGCATCAATACATTGTTGAATAAATGATTTTAAAGTTGTGATGTGTTTTCCCGCCAAATTTAGTGGAGAAACTGAATTGGTGCGTAGGTCACGTGACGTCAATCTTTCCGCTAAATATAGCGGGGAACTTGAATTTGTCTGTAGGTCCCGTGACGTCAGGTCACATGACATCAATTTTCCCGCCAAATTTAGCGGGGAAACTGAATTGGTGCATAGGTCGTACGACGTCAATTTTTCCGCTGAATTTAGCGGGGAATAATCCGGATTCTTGGACGAGTTGGTACTGAAACTTTGCGAACATGATAGCGCTTCAAGACAGGGACGAGAGTAAGAGTGAGACAACACAATGCGCTAAATTGTGTTGTCTCGCTGTTTAATCCGGATTAAACAGTTGAAGTTAGCACATTGTGTTGTCTCGTCCTTACTCTCGTCCCTATCTTGAAGTGCTATCATCAGTGCTTGAAGTCTCCCGTAAGTTCAGGGAGGTTTCTACAAGAAGGTAGAAAGGGGGGGTGGGGGGTTCTGACGAAATGTATTAGATGCACATAAAATAAAACCAACTGCTGACTCTGTCTCCGCCGTCCCTGCAACCCTCAAATTGCTAATCCCCAAATGTCACATTCCTGAAAACAAGCTGTTTTATTGCAAGATATGATTTTGATTTCACTAATGCTGGGGCTGTGGAGGAGGGTCCCAGACCATCCGTTAAAATTAGTGGGGGGTCGAGACCCCCTGAGACCCCCCAGACTTTAAGCCCTGGCCTATCATGTTCTCAAAGTGAGTGGGGAAGCTGAATTGTTGCATAGGTCACGTGACTTTAATTTTTTCCGCTAAATTTAGTAGAGAAATTTGCGGCGTTTGCTCTGACGCCGTCGAAAAACCGGGCAGCGGGCCACTAACAGCTGTCGATGTAAAAGATACCTAGATAGTGATCTACAGTAATCAGGTAGTTTACTTGAAACTCTATTAACCGTTTTTGCGGGACACAGTTTCCTCATGAAAAACATTCGAAGGCCACCATAATTGGATTACGATTTGGGCATCTTATCGTTACCACTGATGCTGTCTCGAGGGAGAGATGGCTTTCTGCAACACGTTGTTAAGGTATGCAGAAAACAGCCTAAATGTCTTTTTGTTCACTTCCAGTATGTCACATTGCAAAGCATCCTAACATTGTGTCGATTGCAGGGCCTACCACATCTTCTTCAACCTGTTGATTCAGCTACTGCTGGGAGTTCCACTTGAAATGGTGCACAAGTGGTGGCGAGTGTTGCTGGTCTACATTGCCGGGGTGGTGGCTGGTGAGTTTTTGCACCACTTTGAACCCAGGTGTTTCATTGTAACAAGCTGGGAAGCATGGGAGGTGGTCTGATGCTTTATAAGTTTGGGAAGTCTCAGATCTTACAAGTGGTCCCCCTGGTTCCACATGTTCTTCTATGTTCTACCTCACTCTTTTTCCTTCTTTCAACAGTATCTTTCAGCACAGAGTAAGCATTTACTTGCAACAGTCGTTAGTTGCATTCTAATAAATTTGCTCTTTCATATGTAAATATTTATACCCTTTTTTTATTTTTTTAAAATTCAGCACTACTTTTTTTTAGCTTTAATGTGCAATGATATCATGGTGTATAAAAAAAAAAAAAAAGGCAGTTTATTGATTTTCTTGACTTGAATTCTTCTAATAAATTTCACATGCTTTCACGTGAATGGTTTAACAAATACTATCTAAACCTTATGCATACCTGACATCAAATGAATTTGGCTGTTCTAAGCTCGCACTGAAGGAAGCAAAACTTTTTCATGAATCTTCTGGTTTACCACGAGGTGTCATTCCTTCCTAATGATGATGATGATGATGGTGCAAAAATTTGCATAATACTATGTAGTATTTCACTCAACCATGTGAGATTAATTATTTTTAAGGTAGCTAAGCACATTTTGCTGCCTGTCATTTTGTGAATTTTGCTTCATGACAAGTCTCATTGTTCACTTGAAATGCCATGCTTCATCTGTATATGGGTGTTTGTACTTTCTTTTGTTGTTGTCTCTTTGCTGCTGACAGTAAGTGACAGAAATAAGTATAACTGAGCTGTGAAACTTCATGGTAGTGACTTGAGACAACAGCAATGGCCATGTTTCTCTTAAGTGGGACTCAAGCGTGCAGTCTTGTACCGTAGGAGCGGTGTTAGAACGTGCTTTGTTGCTTCGAGCCTTTCAGAGGCTCTGGCAAATGTGTGCCGGCCCATTTTGTTTTCGAAGGCTCCCTGGGGTCATCGGTGTCAGATCCTAAAGTCTTTCTGGCTGGTGCATCCGGTGGGGTCTACGCTCTCATCGCAGCCCACCTGGCCACTGTCATCTTGGTGAGGAAATTGCAGTACTGCCATCTTCATGTCAGAAATAACTCTGATACCGTAATTATGCTTATAACGGCCACAGGTATTTTTTTGTGATTTCGGGCGAAAACTAAGGGTGCGGCCATTACACGAAGAAAAATGAAAAAAGCTTTTGGAAATCTCTTTTTTTTTTCCGCCAAAAGTTTTACTATTTGCCTTCATTAAATGGAAGTACTTGCACGCTTTGGTAGAACTAGAAAACATTTATGGGTATTGCATAGACAGGCGTGCAAAGTCCTTTTCACTAGTCCGTAGTAGATCACTCATCTTCGGAACTTGTCTCGGCGTCGTCGACACCGAAGTTTCGCCCAGCTGCTCTTGCTGTTGCCTTGAGCAAAGGCAATACCTTTGAGGTTAAAGCCGTCCGTGTAACTCGTGTACTTCCCCATCCAGAAGCCTCAAGTGGGTGACAGCGGGAAACCGGGGATACTCACAAACACAAAGAGATGCACTGCGTCTGGTTCGAGATTATTCGAGATGAAGCGAGAAGTGCAAACAGACAGGACAGAGTGCCTCTATGTTGTTGGCTGCCGCAGCCGGGTGGGCTTTTTTGTTTACAGTTAGGGGTGCGGCTATTACACGAGTGGGGCCATTACACGCATATACTATACGGTATCTTGCTTTTTAACCCGTTGACCTTCTGGGTTGTTTTTTCCCCCCCCAGAGATGCTTCCCATTGGCTGGGTTTTGTTTTCAAAGGTGTAGTATAAAGAAAGGGTCAATGCACATACGTTTTCCTAATTATCTGGTGGGAGCACGTGTAGTGCTTGCTAGCTGTCCAGGTTTAGAAGCATCAAATGAAAATTTTGAAGGCGAAAAGTTGTCACCTTTCTTCCATTCGGTTTCATTTTGGCGTGTTTGCTTCTGTTATATTCCGGTGGTTTGAAATTCCAAACTGGTGGTCCTTTACAGAGGTTCTCCATCGGAGGGTAAACTCTCATCCTCTGAATTCATTTGTGAGAAGCGTGAAACGTCTGAATCAAAAGGGCCGGCACTAATAGGCGGGCACTTTCAAATATTTAATCACCGCCGTGCATGTACGCCGACAACCATCGGACGGTTAATTTAAATTCTGTCTGGTATTTTTTTCTTTATTCCACTTGAGTGTATTTTACAGTGATATGGTAGCCAGGCTGTGCCCGGGGGAGATTCCGCATCTTCCATATTCTGTTTCAGCATAGCTTGGCTAAGAGAGAAAGCTTTATGTGGCCCCTATACTCCATATTGGACCTTTTTCGCGTAAAGACGACACCAAGTGGCAAAAGCTGAAAGTATTAGTGGCGTCTGGGCGTTGCACTACCTCTTCGGCCCCATCCGTAACTTATCTGAGCCACGGAGGAGGCAGGAGAGTGGGCGCAAGTCCCCCTCCAGAGCGCCAAGTGTAGTCCAAGTTTTCGCCGCTGCGCGAGGAGGGCCTGTGCATGCGTGAACTTTTTTTGAAAGTAATCGATTAGATAGACAAAGTGTTGCATTTGACAACTCTCCACCGGAGTGCTGTCTGGTGATGCAATGTCATGTGCCCTACTCCATCACTCCGATTTGTTCACTGGAATTGTAACCCCCGCTTGCCCTTCCCTGCACACAGGGTGTTCCACGTAACTTAATTTAGCCAAGGTTTAAAAGTATTTCGGTGCATTTTAGGAAGGCAAAATCAAAGGAATAACTATGTTTATTGTTTGGAGCAAGTCGGGCTATTTTTCATACTTTGCCCAATTAACTAATTATTTAAGAACAATGAATTAACTTTTGAAATATTCAATTTCGAGCAAAAGTTTCAGTGACAAGGTTGTAGAGCGTCCTCAAGAACATCCAATTCAGTGGCTTTTATTATGAAACCTCTAACACTGTTTATTTTTCTGGGCTTCAAAAAAAGCCCGCAAATTACAAAAAAAAACACGTGATTTTGCACTTGGGAGCCTTGTATTGCAGCGTTCTCAACCGTGTCTTGAATAAACTAGGCCCGCAGGCTGAGAGAACACTGTTGACAGGGCGCTGTTGAAATATTCGCGTTTTTTCACTTTTTCTTTTTTTTTCATAATTCGCTTTTCAGCGCCTTTAAAAATGAATTGCATTAGAGGTTTCTCGATGGAAATTATTGAATTCAATGTTTCTGAGGACGCTCTACAACTTTGTCATTGAAACATTTTTTGTCATTGAAACATTTGCTCTAAATTGAATATTTCAAAAGTATCTGAAATATTCATATTTTGTAGTTGTTTTCGGAGGACGCTATATCCTTTCTGTAGTGCTGACAAACGGGACCGGAACATTGATTGTGCTGGAACCATCGTCGTTACCATGGTTAAGCTCAGCAGGCCGTGGTAGATGTTCCTCTGCTGGCAATATCCGCTTCCATGCATGCCGCGCCTTTGAAACTTGTACTTGCTTCGAGCCATTGTGGGTCAGTCGGACCCATTTTGTCCCAACTTCTCGACCAAATGCTGTTTTGTTTTTTTTCACTCATAAAAGTAAGTAAACCAAAAATAATAAAACAATAAAAAAAATCTACAATTTCAACAATAAACCTGATTTTGACTTGCACGTCCCTTTAAAGTGCTTCTGGGTGTGCCGCATCATGTAGAACTTTGCGCTTGCTCTACACATGTTGCTTAGACACAGCTTCATTTTTGACCCTAGTTTCTTGTCTCAATGGTACCAAGAACAGTTTTGTGAGCGCACTGAAGTGGTGAGATCTCTGGCACAATGTTTGACCGAGCATCCGTCGAGTTCAGAGCAGATGCGGCGAGCGGAAAGCACATGCGCTCAAGGGCCATGGCGACGAGACACCTTTTTCTTTTTTATTCAGTTGCACCTTTTGAGTGGCGGAGACGTTGTCGGCATGGGCTACTCAGGCGCACACCAATAGAACTTTATCTAGTCGATCGTGTCGCATCTTTTACCGTGCTGTCTGTCCTCACCTAAAGAAGCCATGGTCAGGACACAACCTGCACGCGGGAAAACACGCCTGCTCTCGCTCACGGCCCAACGTTTTTGCCCTCTCCCGTCACCAGAATTTCAAAGAGATGGACATGGCCTGGATCCGCCTCTTTTGCCTGGTGGCGTTTGCGGGCACGGACGTCGGGGTGGCTGTGTACACCCGCTACACGGAGGGTGACGAGGGCCACAAAGTGAGCTACGCCGCCCACATTGCGGGTGCCCTGGCAGGCCTCCTGGTGGGGGTCACCTTCCTGCGCAACCTGGTGGTGCACCGTTGGGAGGTGGCACTGGGACGCGCTTTCCTCGCCCTCTTCCTCCTCCTCGTCCTGGCAGCCGTCCTGTTCAACGCGCTCTACGGGGAGTACTTCCCGCCATCGGTGATCTAGGCCCGTTGCTTTGAAGGCTGCTTCGGGGGCCGCGACGGCGCAGAGTTTGCCTTGGGAAGTGGGCCGCACTGGAAATGGATCGGCAGCTAGACACAGAGATGGGTGTTTCTTTGGCGCGATACTTTAGTCGGGGATAGGCTAAGAATTAAGTGGAAGCTCCGCCTCCAACAGTTTTAAAGTCTTTGCCTTTCTCCGGGCTTTTGTTGCATCTGTGACGAAGGGTTTTTAAAGGCAGAAAGCTAAAGCCCGTGCTGCCTTAGATGTGGGGCATCTACCGAATTCTTTCCCGTCACCGGCTAGTTTCTTCAAACGAGAAGTATGTTGCACTCGTTGTTGCAGGGAAGTTTGAAACAAAATATGCATAGCAGCTACGGAGCAGAAAAAGCAAGACGTCTACTGGGAGTCTGAAAAGTGCATTACGTCTTGTGTAAGTGTGCTTAGGTAGCTAGTTTGTCTTATTATTAAAACCCAGGAGCTTATTTTGTTCTTTTTTACTTGAACTTTTGAAATGAACATTTTTTTCATCATCATAGTTTAGAGATCGAAGCTGATTTTTTGTTCTAAACTTTTTATTCATTTTTTATTAGCTATATTTTGGCTGCAATTGTTGTGATATTACAAATTGTTTTCTAAAGTACACATGTATCTTTGTTTCAAGTTGTGCCTTTCTCAACGCCTAGCCGCCGAATTGTGAAATCTCTTTTTTGTGTGTCACTTCGTGCAACATGCTGTAGAAGGTGCCGCCTTCTCTCAATCAATTTGCAAGGTAGGCTTATGTTGAGATGGCCTGCAATTATGCTACCCTGCATTGGTGAAGGGCATTGCGCCAGTGTGGAGTAGCGTAACCAATATTTTTAGAGCCTTTTGAGCTTTGTGATTGTATTGTATCATTTTATAGTTATTCAGCGTGGAAAGTTAGCAAGGTGTTACGATTGTCTGAGCAGGAAGCTATTGCAGACCAAAAAATGCCAAACAATCATTGAGTAAAACTTACAGTTAGAGGAACACAAAATTAGTATTTCTGCAAAGATAGAGATAGTTTTGATACTTAATGTTTGTATGCCAACTGGTTGTATCTCTACAAGCTTTTTATAGGCTTCTTGCCATGTGTTTTGTTGGCATAGATTTGCTGTGGTTGTATTGTTGACAGTTTTGATGCTAATGTGCTCGCTTTATGGCTCCTGTCTGTTAATGCTGGTTAGAATCAAATTTTTGTCATTTTATTGGGAGACAAGTTATGATAATCTGTTAATATTTACTGTGGAGGTTACAAACAGTGTACCATTCAATTCAGACCACTATTTACAGATTCGTAGTCATAATATTTTGAGTCCACTGTACTGCATTGTCATTTTTTATGCCTTTACTTTGCATTATATTTGCATGCTGTCAAATAGAATCAAATACAATTTTGAGCAGCCTTAGAAAACAACAATCAGATCAAGTTTTCAGAAGTTATAGAAGATAAAATTCTAAGCATTAACAATTTTGCAAGGTCCCACCTCAAGTGTTTATCTGTTAGTATGCTAGAAGGCCAGGCTTAACATGTGAACCACGACAGGCACGGAATTTCTTTCGCCTCATAGGTAATAATTGTCATGTGAACAGCTTTTCAATATTTAGAAAAGATTCCCAAGAGAGGACCAGTCTTCATGATATTCATACATTTGGCAGTGTTATAAGAGAGTTGATTTGCTACTTGTCAGGGCTCTGTAATTTGGTATAGGCATCTTAGAATGCATGTGAGGAGTTTTCCTCTGTATATATGTCACTCTGTCTGTCATATTTTGGACACTTGAACATTCATTCAGTTTTTCATGATAAACATCCTTTTTATTTGCTTAACTCCTGACGAAAAAAAAAAAAAAGAAGTATAATCAACGCTTTTTTTTTTGCTTGCCTCTTAAATTTTAGGGTATACTGTAAAGCCCTTTGTTTTCGCGGCTTCTTTTTTTCGCGAATCGGTCACAGAGGACATAATCGTGGCCACTAAATTTTGCGAATTCCAGATGCCTGCATTCAAACTCTTATATCTATATTTTCGTGTGCCCTTAAATTTCGCAAATTTTTCAATTTGCGAAATTCGTGAAAACTAAGGGCTCGCAAACATTAAGAGATTTACAGTAATATTAATGTGAATTCTGGATGTATGCCTTGTTTTGGAAATGTACTTTCCTGCAAAACTGGTTAGTACTCAACATACCTCGGCAAACCTCACTCATGAGGGCCCTCACTCACCCTCACTCACCCTCATCTTCACAGGTGAGGTGAGGGTGAGTGAGTTTCTGAACCAGGAAAATTCATGAGTGTGAGGGTGAGTGAGGGCTGTGAGGGCGGTGAGGGCCGTGAGGGCTGTGAGGGCCGTGAGGGCCGTGAGGGCGGTGAGGGTCATGAGTGCGTAAGGGGCGTGAGGGCGGTGAGTGGCGTGAGGGCCATGAGTGCGTGAGTGGTGTGAGGGCGGTGAGTGCGTGAGGCCCCCTTCAGATCGAGCATCTTTCTCAGCAATTTTGGTGTTAATGGCGGGTTGTTCTCTAGCTTTCCCTAGATCGACACAAATTGCTGAGATCGGGTCCGGCTCGAAATAAGCAAGCAACTCGGAGCAATTCGAATACGTTTGAAGCGGCTGCATCCAATCAGGGACGCAAAATTTTCACGTGATACCTCGTGCCGGTGATGATGACACCGAATGACTTGGTTCTGATTTGAAATCGATCGTTTTTTTGGAAATAAACTGGTTTCAGAAAGGTGCATTAGTATTCTTAACGAGGTTTAAATGCATAAAAACACGTTTATAACGCGTAATTCTGTCTAAATAGTCCAAGAAAAATAAAATTTTATGATGACGATGGCAAATTGCAACAATTGGTTGCTGCGTGTGATCGCGGGCGGCCCGTGTTGCTGGTGTTGCGACGTAAAGTTTCTGGGCGAAATTGCCCCGTCCGAAGCTGGCCTGAGTGGCGTAAGGGCCATGAGTGCGTGAGGGGCGTGAGGGGTGTGAGGGCCGCATGGGCGGTGAGGGGCGTGACGGCGGTGAGTGGCGTGAGGGCGGTGAGGGGCGTGAGGGCGGTGAGTGGCGTGAGGGCCGTGAGGGCGGTGAGGGACGTGGGGCGGTGAGGGCCGTGAGGGCCGTGAGGGCGGTGAGTGGCGTGAGGGCGGTGAGTGGCGTGAGGGCTGTGAGGGCGGTGAGGGCCGTGACGGCCGTGAGGGCCGTGAGGGCGGTGAATGGCGTGAGGGCTATGAGTGTGTGAGGGCCGTGAGGTCGGTGAGGGCCGTGAGGGCGGTGAGGGCCGTGAGGGCGGTGAGTGGCGTGAGGGCGGTGAGTGTTGTGAGGGCCATGAGTGAGTGAGTGAGGGGCATGAGGGCCGTGAGCGCGGTGAGGGGCGTGAGGGCCGTGACGGCCGTGAGGGCGGTGAGTGCGTGAGGGCCGTGAGGTTCAGTGAGGGTGAGTGAAGGGCTGAAGGTGAGTGTGACTGTGAGGGTGAGGGTGAGTGAGGGGCTGAAGGTGAGTGTAGCTGTGAGGGTGAGGGTGAGTGAGGGGCTTAGGTGAGTGTGGCTGTGAGGGTGAGGGTGAGTGAGGGCGACCTAAAATGCCGACCTCTGGTACTCAATGGCACAAATGCCAGAAAAATTAGTGCTGGCCATAACATTGTGCAGCCTGTTTAGCCTTTGTAGTATCACCTAAATGTCTCAAGGCATCAAGGCACTTCATTTGCATTATGTTACGATCATCAGTGAACTGTGCCTGACACTTCCTGAAATACAGTTCTCATTTTAGATGAAATCCTAGACTTCATCAAATTTTTTAATGGGAACGGGGCAATGCACATTATTTTCCCTAAGTCGCTGTTAACCTACGGATTATTTTCAATATTGCCTCCAAATGATAGAACCAGAAAACTGTCTCCCTGTGGTGAAGAGCAGGCAAAAATATTAGTGTAGTGTTTGGAAGCTGGGGTACATAAAGCTCAGGCATGACAGGAAAACAATTTAGGGTGGCTACAGAGGATCAAAATTGAGCTTGTTCTTAATAAATCTGAACTAAACAAAATGATAATTGATCAATGGGTGGGGAACTTTTCAAACTCTTTCTCTGTTTGCTTCTTTTAGCTTGGCACACCTGATTTCCTGTGCCTTTATAGATGTCTTGCAAAAATTTGTAGGTTGTTATATATAGAATGATTTTGTACTTGGAAGTTTGTGCTTGTTTGAGAAATGTGTCTACAACTTTTTAATTTATGGATGATCTTTTGCATCTTTCACGAGTGTATGCATGCCTCACGGAAGCCTTGCTGTGTCTATAGAAATTCTGTGATATTGGTATATGCAGAATAATGTTGTGAAGAGAAACATTCATGCTGCTTGCATTAGTTGGAATCTTTCGTTGTGACGGCGAGATAATTTATTGCCTGTTTTATTTGTCAGTGAATGATTTTATTGTTGACTGCACAATTTTACATCACTTCTCCTACAAGGGAAGCTCAAGCTCTCAATTTTCCTGCAAAGTGTGCGCTGTGTTCCTACTTAGGTAGCATAGATGTTTAATCTGTGTATCCCTATGTTTGGAACTTCCTTGGTGTATGATAAGTGCATGCAATCTTCAGTCAATTTCAAAGTATTATCCTCAAAGTTTGGTGCTCAAGTCTTGAACTGATAGCCACAGCTATGTATGTCCTTTATGTTGGTGTAGTTGATTCTTTTCGTACCGTTGTATAATTTGCTCATACTTTGTGTAACGTGAGGTGGAGCCCTAATTTACAAGCTGCTTTCTTTCTATCCATACTACTCTATTTACTGTAACAGCTCTTGTTAGAGCAAATATGGGATTGCTGTTACTGATGACACTCCACCCGTTTTGAACTTAAGCCATCCAGTGTCACTTTTAGCATGCATTCTGATCTATGCATGCTATATATCACATCTATGTTAGATGTGATACTGTGAAAACTTTGAAATGACTATCAAATATTCACACTAACATTGTCATAATCTTGTCAAATTTACCAGTTTGATTTTTCTATACATAATGTTGCTTAATCATCCCCATGTATTCTAAAAGATTTGAAACCCAGTATCTTTGAGCATTTGTGTTGTGTTTTATCTCTGTGCTTTCAGGAATTGTTTTCAATTTGATTTGGTTGTGACATCTGTTTGTGTGTGCATTCAGGTTGTGTTCTACCTTTCAGCAATTTTTTATACCTTCAGATTCTGGTTGTGGTGTAGACAAGCTGGTCTGTCATTATATCTAGTCAGCTGACTGTCCTTTTGCACAATGGTGATTAAAATATTATTAATTTCATTGGAGTACTCTACTATGATTTGTTCTGCCATGTGGACACCTTCATTATAAAATCACATTCAGTGTGTTGGTGGTTAAAAAATTTTTTCATCCAGACCTTTAGTAACATTTCATTTGTCAACTGTTTTAGAAAAGTGACTTGATTGAATTTTTTTTTAATAAAAATGGAACGTGGCAGAAAGTTGTATCAGGGTACACTCAGAAGGGCTTTTCTTTTGTGCCGTTAGAGGACACGTTGTCGCTAAGGAACACTGCGGAACTAATTGAGATTTTGAGGGAACATTGCTTTGAGCGTCGGGTTGTTTTTTCAATGGACATAAAAAACTTGCACTATATTCCTTAGAGAAGAATCTCCTGATGGAACGGGTTAAAGACCACCTGGAGCTAAATCTTGTAAAATTCCAGTCTGGGGCGGCAGTTTCGGTTGTCAGTTTCTTAAGTATTTTAGTCTATTACTTGCAATCCACAGTGGTTGAGTACAGTGGACAGGAGTATCTTCAAAAAGAGGGTGTTTGTATCGGGTCAGCGGTAGCGCCGATTCCGTCGGAGATTTACCTGAACAGTCTAGATTCCAGTGTGTCGAGTTTTCTAGGGGGGACGCCAGAGACCTTAGGTTTTGTTCGACGATATTTTGGAACGTACGGCAGAGGAAAAGCTGGGAAGATTTTTGGAAAGAATAATCAGGAAGTCTTCGAATTGGAATTTACGCTAAAAAGAGAGAAAAGTGGGCACTTGCAGTTTCTGGACTTCCAGATCTACGTGACAAATGGTTTATGCTGGGAGTATGCAAAACTCGTGCCGAAGCCTATCCTACTGTGCTCAAGTTGCCACTGTAGGACAGTTAAATGGGGTATTATCGGGTCATTAATAGACAATGTTTTAAACCGATCTTGTGTCCACTACGTAAATAAGGCAGTGGAGAAGCAGATGTGTCGACCAAGGAATGCTGGGTTTTCGAGTGATGGCATAATTGGACAGATTAAGAGCTAGTTGTGGGAACAAAGGAAAGTCCTGAGCCACAGGGGCGTTGTTGGGCGGTCACCCCGTAGCACCATTACATCTCGGACGTTGTGTTTTGTTCGTCCCCTTCTGTGTTCCTGAGTCTCGGGTTTTATTACCATGAATCATCACCAGCTTGCTTGTTTTTTTTAAGTATTATTGTAGAAATATTGTCACTAGTTGAGACTATTTCTAATGTTTCTGCCTGTAACAGAAATTTATTTAGCACTGTTTCTGTTTGTCGTGGGATGTCTTGAATGCTCATGAGATGAGTAGACAGGTGAGTTTGTAGTCTTGAAAAGTGTTGAGCTCGAAAGTACAGTTGTTTATAGGCTCCTTGCACAGACGTCATATCGCATACTTTTGAACACCATGTAAGAGGAGAAGAGAGAAGGCTGCTTTTGTAAGAATTTTGAGTGACGGGTTAATCTTCCGGGAGGAGAATAGCGACGCCTGTGCGTGCCTGTGCAAATCCGGGAGGCACAAAGGAGGATTCTGATAAGAGGGGAGCTCCTTCTTCCCCTTTTCTCTGGAGGGCATCGGAAATGACGTCATGTGCAAGCAGCGAAAACAGCCAAAAGAAACTTTGAGCTAGAGCGTGCTACTGAATACTATGGCAGATAGGCGGAGCAAAACGCCGCCTCATATCTCGGACCCATATCAGCTTCGCCTCATATTAACGAATTAATACGTATGTAAAATTTTTTAATTTAATTTCTAAATGTTGAAATGCGAGTTTTTGGTAGTAAATTTAAAATTTTACTACTCTTTACTTTGATATTAAAAGCGTATACAGTCCTTATTATTTGACGCGCCTAAATTTGACGACCCTAGACGAACGGTAAAGTGCCGTCTCGCAACACTGCATTGATTACGCGGGAAATGGATACCTGTCGATCACAAGAAGCTCAGAAAATGAGCTTTTTGCGAGTGTTCGATTAGCATAGAAGAACGTTGGTGGCGGATTCTCGGCGCCCGTAGCTGTCCGTGATGGGCAAATCTGACGAATCAAAGGAAAAACCACCTCCACTCTTCGACAACGCCAAGTTCTGCCTCGCCGACGATCTTCAAGACGATGAAGAGGTCGGTGTTCCTTTATTTGCCTATCTGCGATGCACTGGTGCCAATATAATGTAGGAATGATCGTAGAGGCTGGGTATTTCTTGTTTTTAACTCGCCGGTCCTGTGCGAATTGGTGCTGTTAAACGGGTGAGTGTCATTGGCGCTTACCGAGGTCGGCACCATCACAAACTGGTGCCTGCAAAGGGGTTTTCGTCGCGGTATTAAACACATCTTGAACGGTATTTGCTTATTGGTTTAATAGCTCACACGAAACTCGAAGTAATTCTTGTACGCTTGTGTTCCAAAAATTACGTTTCCTATTAACCGCAAAAAAAAAAAAAAAAAAAAGCATATAAAGCTTGTTGGTAAGTCCTTTGCAGACCCAGTCTAACCACAAAACCCTTAATTTTCATAAATTTAAAGTTGAGCTGTCGAAATCACAGTTGATGCTCCTTCAGTCCCGTGATTCCATCGGATCATTTTATTAATTTTGTTTTTCGTTATTTCTACACTCTTTTAGAGTGTAGAAGACTAATTTCTCCCATTAGCATCCGCTACCTGACCCCTAGTTGTCGCCATAGGAGCCAAGTTTTCTGCGGCAGCAGTTGACAACGAACCTGAGAGAAACTCTAAAAACATTTCCGGAAATATTCAACTCCGCGCAGTTTCTGAGAACTGGAAAAAACGGGGCCGAAAGCGCCAGCAAGTGTAGTCTCTCTTTATCGGTGATATTTAAGTATTTGAAATTAAATAAAACGGGAGGCACTCACTTGATGGAATGACGTTTTGGCGAACGCCCACGTTTCACCGAATGACACTTTAGAGAATAGTCGGACGCCGCGAAGCGGCGTTTTCGGGTGGGCCAAATGGGTTCACATTTTTGTAACGAGCCGCCACAGACTGTCGCCGCGAAGCGGCGTTAGCGCAGCGCGGCGGATGGGTTAACGCGCGCCCCCGTTATTCGCTAAAACGTCGATTCGCTCATGTGATATGGACCCAATTAAAACAGAATAAGTTTGTCTTCTCATCAAGGTCGTTTCAAATGCATTTTTCTCCTAGAATTTATGGCACAAAAGACTGCAACGGGAAAGTAAGTTCTCAAAACGAGTCTATACTTTGTTCACATCAAAACTGACAATGGCTTTGGGTCCATGTCACATGAGCGAATGATGTTTTAGCGAACAGGGACATTTGAGCGAATCGACGTTTTAGCGATTAACGGGGGGCGCGCGTTAACCCATCCGCCGCGCTGCGCTAACGCCGCTTCGCGGCGACAGTCTGTGGCGGCTCGTTACAAAAATGTGAACCCATTTGGCCCACCCGAAAAACGCCGCATCGCGGCGTCCGACTATTTGCTGAAGTGTCATTCAGTGAAACGTGGGCATTCGCCAAAACGTCATTCCATCAAGTGAGTGCCTCCCGTTTTATTTAATTTCAAATTAAATAAACGCCGCCGCAGACTGTTGCCGCTTCGCGGCGACAGTCTGCGGCGGCCCATTACAAAAATGTGAACCCATTTAGCCCACCCGAAAACGCCGCTTCGCGGCGTCCGAATATTCGCTAAAGTGTCATTCGGTGAAACGTGGGCGTTCAGTTTGCTAAAACGTCATTCGATCAAGTGAGTGCCTTCCAAAAGCTTTGTGGTCGTCGGACCAGTTGTATGTCTACCTTTCACCACGTGATAGTGCTACCGCCCGTGCCCACATGCAGAGTGAGATCAGGTGATGAATGGGAGGTGGGATGAATTCAGTATAGCCTTCAAGCCAAAACTTCGAAGAGGGTCGAAGTTCAGACTAGCTCTTACAAGAACTACCAAACCCTTTAAATTTCTGGTAAACAGCAACCATTACAAATGTACTCTAAATACATATGGTCCTGTGAATGAAGTGTAGGGACAGTTTCCAAGCAAGTAAACTTAAAATATTTGCTCTGGCTTACTGTAATTGCTAACAACATTTGATAGTGTACTTTGCTCCTCATTCGAGGGCTGCTATCACTTACCACCCCTCCGGTATATAAGCAAGGAACAAATGTTTCTGCTCATGGGCTGTTTTTCCTTGTCTCATTGCTATTTTACTGCTTTTCCTAGTTCTCTTGTTGCATCAGATTAATCTTTTATAGTTAGATTACTTCCTCTACTTCTCAGTCTGAAATGTGCCTCCGCTCTTCCAACAGTTATGCAGTGAAGGCGCTTTCAGAGCAAACTCGCTGCTCTGACTTCGCAGAAAAGTCAGAACGGTGGACGGAAGTTGCACTGAAGGAACGCTTGCAAATATTCGGTTTTGAATGCAGTTGAAAACGGGCTTTTTGCATCACTCCAACCAGAATGCTGCATCTCTTACAGCTGGTGCATTTCGTTTGTTTTGCTATTCATTAGCTCCAACTTTATGCTATCGGTATATTACGTACATAGAAACAAATGCTAGAGTGGATGGCTCAGCTAGTGGTAAGAGAAAGTAATAGCAATTAAACAAGCATTGTTAGTTTTCGTTTATTTCCTGGTCGTAACCAACACTACCTCTCCATACCATAAGTCCAAAATATGTCACGCCTCATACTCAGTTTTATTGGTAATCTGGCTTCAATCTTTTGCTCTCAGTTCCAGAATCTCCTATTCCGCAATGGCGGAAGGCTCATCAACTACCTGTCGGACAACGTGACCTATGTAATTGCAGACAACCCTGACAGTCCCACCATCGGTGAAGCACTGGAATTGTATGAGAAGCCGGTTGTCACGGTGAGTCGCTGGCATCAAAGGTGGGACTGGACTATCACTTCTGTCTTTAGCATTGTTGCTTAAGGCAAAATGAGAAATAGTCCAGTGGTACTATCACTGGTATCGTAGCTTTGATCTGTCATAACTGTACCAGAGTGATGGAAATGCTGCGTCATTTGTGCCAAATTGTGCCACAAACGGTCGTCTGCTACATCTTGTGCCAAAGTGCCATTTTTGCCAAGGATTGTGCCACACCTGCCCCAAGATGGGCAAAGCAACAAAAACAATAATATTGGTTGACTCTAATATTTAGAGAAATGGGAGGAGAGGAAATTGGTACAAATATGGATTTCAGCACGTCTTTTCTCACCGTACACTTTGTTTTATCTGAGGTCAGAGTACAGTCGAAGGCTCAAGCACATACTAAAAGTGCAAGCCACAGGACATTCTCTGCACTTGATTCGTTTAGTCTATGAAAGACCATGCGCAGGAAGATGGACAGATGATGGATAAATGATTTAGACATCTAAGCTCTGAGGGGCTGTAGCAATTTTGCCTGCAGTCTTGCACTCACTTTAGATTAACTGTCCTGATTTTGCCTGTATTTAGGAAAGCTCTACTTAAAAAGTGTCATTTTATTTATTTAATTGTTATGACTGAGGAAGTAGAAGAGTGAAATACAGTCACAAAACATGTGAATAAAACAAATACCTCATGTTACTTAAGTCAGCATTATACTTGTTTTAACAATTTTTATTAAAAAAAAGATGGTAAGTCCCAGGAATGTTGAAGAAATATAAATCATGCTAAATTTTTTTTTTCTGCTTCACGGTGTTTTTACATCAGACCGTGCTATAGTGATTCAAGTCTTTTTTTTTTTTTTTGTTTTGAAAAACCATATTTTTGCACTATATGGGAACGTTGTAGCTAATTTTCATCCGGAGATATAAAATTTTGAAGCTGGAGGTGTGGAGATTGCCAAGGTTTCACTATGGTACTTTGCACAGCCGTCAATATCACACTTAAGCATGCACGCAGTAGATATTTGTAAGGTGCATTTAAAGATGGTCATTTTTATATACATTCCTCGTTTTAAATGAAGTAGTTTGTTGGCAAATAATGTGTTTGTTTAAAGTGTTTCGTAAATGTCTTAGTATAGAAATCTTTTATTGGAATTTTTAATAACCTGTGTAGATGTCGTAAGCCTTTAATAAAATAAGTAGAAAAAATTACTACTACATGCATGCTTTGGTATCAAATTGACAGCTGTGCCAAGTACCGTAGCAAAAACTCAGCAGTGTCCACGCCTGAAGCTTCAAAATTTTTTATCTCTGGAATATAATTAGCTATGGTGTTCACATATAGCTGAATGCTCCTGCCAAGATATATTTTTGACATAAATATAAAAGATATGACCCGGGCCATCATCGCATTTTATATGTAGTATTTTTTTTTGTTTATTTTATTTGGTGGATTAACTTGGAAGAAGTAAATCCTTTCGAAGAAACTAACAAAGACAGTCTCCTTTATTTTCCTTTTCTTGCTTTCGTTTTCTTGCAGAGCTCATGGGTGCGACTGTCTCTAAAATGCGGTGCCTTGCTGCCGTATCCTTCTGTCATCGGTTTTTATGCATGAACGTCAATTGTGCTTGTTTACATCATTTTAGTATTATAGGAACGTAGCCGATGGCGCTCTTTCCCACTCGATAGTAAAAGCTCCGTATGATCGTTGGTTTTGTGTTTTTCAGCACAGTGTCAATAAATGCCAAAAGTAGCCCCTTATTTTTGGCATGATTTACTTTTTTTTTTTTTTTCAAATACACTGAAGGATAGCTTACTCCTAGTAATTGCAAGGCTCTGGCCAGGCACTTAGCCAGGGGACGGGCCCATGGAGCCCGGCCCCCCCCCCCCCCCGAAATCTTCCATTTTGCTGGGACCTCCTCTCCCCCCTCCCCCTCATACAGCATTTTGTCATGGGCGGCCCCCCCCCCCCCCCCCACAAAACAAAATCCTGGCTACGTGCCTGGCTCTGGCCCATGGTGACCTCGGCAGAAGGGGTGTTACTTAGCCACGGTGGGAGATAAGAAAACATTGCTGACGTAAAAGGGCGGTCATCTTTGGTTCATCACCCCTACCTGCAATTATAAGTTTTGCAGATCACAAAATCCAAAACTAGCATTTTTTCAACTTTTTTTTATCCACACACCGAAAGTCAGCCCACTTCTTATTTGCACCCGATTTGCTTTTCAATTTTAGGTGGGCTGTCTCTCGGAATATTACGGTATTGTTATTGGATTGTTTTGTTTTTTGACAGGAGTTGGTCTAATATTTTACTTCCGGGTAAGTGTGGATTATAGAATTCTGGTGGCCATACTTATGTGACAGATTATATCATTGTAAAGGATGTCAGGAGCCATTTAACGGTGATGGAAAAAAATGTGTGAAAACTTGCGATCGAACGTTGGGACTCTCTACACCAAACACTCGTCTCTTTGTTGAAATCCTTGACAAGACCAAACAGCCTGGAGGCATTCTCACCACACAAGAACAGGATCTTCTCAAACTGCACTATCTGCCCGTCCCAGGTAAGTCTGATCGGCGCTGCTTACAAAGCAACAAAAGCTGTTGGCAATGACCAGGTGTTAAGTGGCAGGGCACTTGGAAAAGTGAGAAAGCACGGAAGGCACACTTGCATAAAAACAGTGGATAGTGAGGCAGTGGATAGTGAGGATGAGCTTGAAGAAGGTGGGGAAACTGCATAATCATTAAAGACTTGAGCGTGTTGGTGATCTACATTGACTTAAAATGAAAGAAACACTTTGTTTTAGTCACTGCATAATCATTCATTTATTTTTCGTTGATAATTAATTTGTCATTAATCTGTCTGTCAAACTTTTTTCTGTGGAAAGTTCAGGTTTATGAGCTGATCAAGTTTGTTAGCTTGTTGCTCTGCCAAAAGAAGAAAGAAATAAGTTTGCTTTCTGTGTGTACGTTTTCTGCTCATGGCCCAAGGTTGAGAGGGCAGAAGTTGTTTTTGTTTGTGTCATATTGTTTTACATCAGGAATGGTGACAGTTAAAAAACATGAATGCTAAAATTTGAAATGTTTGCTAAAACTTTTAGTAATGGAAGAATGAATTGTAACCTGGGGAGTCCGCATTAATTGTTACATTTTAAGCAAGTTGAACTAAGCTAGCATATAATGCTTTGTAGAAGCAACATGGAATGTAATGTGCGGAAGCACGTTGAGCAACAACTGAGTTTTGAAATGAATGTCTTGCATGAAACAAAAGTTATGGTTTTTCGTTCACATGTAATTAAGAAATATTTACATGGTATAAGACAGTTTTGCACTGTGTTGTACCATGTAAATGTTTCTTTATTAAACTGCTTAGGAACTGCTGCGAAAATTTCAGGAATATCTCGTTAATGTCTATGATGTCTTCTGTCTCATTTAAAACCAATTCACACAATTTTTTGATCAAGCTGTCCGCCTCCCGTGGGCTTCCTGTAACCAACCAAAGACTTTAGTTACAACATTTTTGCTATTCATAAGCTTCTCTCACTACTGAGATATAAACATAATATGTATATAGACATAAGACCCTTAGTAACTGTATTTGTCATCCAGAAACTAATATATCATATCACTTTCATTGAGTTCATTACCCCCCATATGCATTCTGATGTGTGCCATCCGCTTTGGTAGTCACAAACCAAAGGACAGACACGACAGAGCATAGGGTTCGCTCAGAAATGCTACTGCATTCAATACGTTGCTTACGTCTGACATAGTGACATTTGATTGTCGATTGCAGATGTCCAGGGCCGACACCAAGGCTGTCTGGGCCATGGTGACGTTCTACGGCGGGAGGTTCCAGCCGGACTTGGATGCTTCGTGCACCCATCTGGTGGCAGGAAAGCCAGAAGGGGTAAGCCACCTCCTGGACTGTGTTACATCTTGAGGAAAATCCACCCTCTAACTCCTACTTCCAGTTTCTTGTTGTTGGAGAAACACCTAAAGATGACTGCAAAAGATGACCCAACCCAAGAAATGGTTGGACATAGATTTATGCATAGCGCAAGTTCACCTGCTACTTGCACAAAGGTTGCGATGATGTCGGAACGTCGAGTTTTTACTGGCTGATTGAAGAATATAGTGGGTAGACCTCAAGGCATCTAGTATTGAGGTCTACCCACTATCCTTTTAATCAAAGCCAATCAGAGCTCGGCGTCACTCTGACATCACCGCAACTCCTGCACAAGAAGCAGATGTCTTAGTCTCTGCATAGGCTATGTGTGACGTGATAAGAAGTCTGAGATTTTCAAAGGGCCGGCAACAACACCTTTGACGGTTTAAAAAGAAATATCTGGGATTCTTTTTTTTTTTTTCTTCCAAATATGAAGTTTATAGCATTGTCCAGGGCAACTCCTCCAAGACAAACAACTTTTGTGAGCTTCTTGGGTCGCGTAACGAAAGTGAGCTGATCAGCTTTTTCAGCCGATTTGACTTCCATGAGGGGTGCACTGAGATTTATTGTATTCTTGTTTGTGAGTGTATAATTGGTATTAATGTACAACTGTAGAAAAACTGGCATTTAATGCTCCTGTTAGTCTTTGAAGCCATGAAGAGAGTTGAAAAAAGTTGTCGATTTCATACTTGGAGGCATATTTCATGAACTGTCTCATGGAGATTCTTTTTTAAAGGTATGTAGTGAACCAAGGTATGAAATAGAGTAGCCTTTTTGACCAGGCAGTTTTTTTGACTGGGTACATTAGAACAAGGTACATTCAGTACATTGTTCTAATGGATAGCTATTCTTTTTGGGCTGCAATATCTAATAGCTCTATAGTACCTGCAAAGCCCTTCTTTGTCGGAGCATAGTACTTTTCTAGTTCAAGGGAACAGCTTCCAGCACTGTGAAACTCAAGACAGACGAAAAATTATGAGGAGCACATACTACAGAGGCTTACTTGTTGCATTCCTTCACTCTACAGGCAAAATATGAAAGAGCCATGGTAGCAGCAAACAAGCTAAGGATTGTGACACCAGATTGGGTCGCGGAATCAGTGAAGAATAAGTCTCTGTGTGATGAAGAGCTCTACCATCCACGGCTGCTGATCATGCCCAAGCCTCTGTCTCCACCCACGCCTCCGAAACCTCCAACTCCACCAACCACAGTCCCAGTGGTAACCAGTTCACCCAGCCTTGCCGCCTTCCGAAGCATGCAACAGCAACATCAGATGCAACAATTACTTGCTCAACATCAACAACAACAGCAGCAGCAGCAGCAGCTACAGCAACAGCTTTCGCAACAGAAACTTTCACAACAGCAACTTTCCCAGCAACTACTCCAGCAACAGCTTTCTCAGCAAGTGCCACAGCAACAGCTAGTCTCCCAGCAGCAAGTTCCACAACAGCAGATTTCGCAACAGCAAGCGTTTCAACAGAAAGTTTTGCAACAGCAAGTTTCCCAGCAAGAAGTTTCACAACAGCAAGTTCCACAGCAGCAACAGCAAATTTCTCAGCAGCTGTCTCAGCAACTTTCGCAGCAGCTGTCGCAGCAACTCTCACAGCAACTCTCTCAGCAGCAACTCGCTTCGTCTCCATCCCCTCAGCAACAACAGCAGCAGCTTCCTCAGCAGCAGCAGCAGCAGCAGCAACTTAGCCAGCAGCTTCAGCAGCAACAGATGGTGCCAACTTCCCAGTTCCCCGCACGGATGGTGAGCGTATCGAGCGGAGACATCAAAGTGTCACTTGCGGGAGGTCAGGGAATCAGCATTATGACCATCAACAAGCCGCAGGTGAGAAATCTTGTTAGAGGTATTGCTGAAATGGCTGTAGTTTCAGTAGGTCCGTTGTCAATATGCTGAATGTTGTCTACCGTGGTGGTACTGGCACACGACCGTAAAGTATACCGGTGAAGTACCCACCCCACTTTCATTGAAAACTGGGTTATTCTAGACATGGCCGCTTGTCCTGTCAAATGGCTAAACACCAAGAGCTTTGAAAGCAGGGAGAATGGAATGAAAAAACATTTATTTTCACATGATATCTCCGCCATCACCGCTGGCAGTCTTGTGGCCACCGCAAAGAGGGAAAAAATTTTAAGTTGATGCCAGTGCTTTGGAGAAGGCGGGCGCTTAACGTAAAATTTGCAGAATTCTCAAGTTTGGGAAAGGTTAATATTGTGCGCTTGTATGAAGTGGGTGCTTATGCAGTATTTTATTGTAGCCAGTCACCAAGTTTGGCTTGCAGGTGGGCTTGAGAAAAGTTTTGCCCTTTTTGGGACCTTTGGTTTGTAAATTACGAGATACCTTGAATTTAAGGACATTTAAAAAGATATCTAACTGACATGCTATATTTAAAAGGCCCCTAGTAGGGGTGGACTAGGAAGACAACACAGCATAAGGCTCATGCTTTTTAGTATGCTTTTTCTGAACATGCTTATCTGCATCACATTGCTGCACTTCCAAACCTACTTATGCTATGGTCTAGCAAAAGAAAAAACTGCTATATTAGACACACCAGACCTACTGAACCATTTTCGAACTGAAAATAAGCCCAAGGAGATTGCTTAAAAACATTTTGTCCTCTTGTGCCATGAGGCTCGTCCCCCGCATCGTTGAGAAATAAATGTTCACCATGTTGCATTTAGGGATCATTGGCCCAACCAGAAGTGTCTTGAGATCTGCAGCTCGAGTTCTGAATCCCATGTGAAGTTAGAGGCTTCAAAAACAGTAAACTTTTGTTAATTCGAGCTTGACGGGACCTTGAAATAGACCGATCTCACCAAGCGTTCGACGCATGCGCGAGGCAGCCATAACTTTAGTTTACAGCAGGCAATCATCTGTACACGAGACTGTTCGTGCCCTGCACGCGCAGAGCTCCAGCGAGGCTGTCGCACATGCAGGAAGACTAACGTTCCCTCGATGCATTGTGGCAGCGGTGGCGTAGTCAAACTGGCTGGTGAGATCGGTCTATTTAGTCGAATTATTCGAATGATCGAATTAAAAAAAAGGACAGAAAAACGGTTAAAATTAAACTTCCTTTTATTGTCCGAAGTACTCACAATGGTCTGCTGCCGTCTGCGCTTAAAACGCGTGCCCAACAGCATGTTCTGGAGAGCCGCGTAAGTGAATGTCACGTCCACAAAAAATCACGCACTAAAAAAAAAAAATTTTACAGGTTGATTTTGGCGCTGTGCGGCCAGACCATCGGCGACAGAGAAAAATAACAAAAAAAGGAAAAATGAACCCGCGCTTTCCAGCACGCAAGGTGGACCGCACACTATGCACTTTGAGAGCGTGCGCTGTCTCCGCGCCCGACCACGTGCTATGCTCTCTGCGCTACTCCAAGCCAGATTGGTTGCACTGGCTGGCTCGTGTCATTCGCTGCGGTCCATCTCAACGGTGTAGAGCAGCAGGTGCATATTTGTGTGCGTTCGGCTTTGCAGCAAAGGGCCCGTGTTTCGCGGTACGTTGGTGGTTTTTCTGCTGTGGTGCCGTGCAATGTGAGCCTGCGTGCATTCGCTCGGGAGGAATTATCCGATGTGGAGTCTTCCCAAGTTCGAACCATCAAACTTTTCCTCCCACAGAAATGTATGGGTGCTCGCCGGGACTTTCGAACACGATCGAATTAAACGGAAAGTCGAATTTACCGAAGTCGAACTAGCAAAAGTTTACAGTAGTCTGCTTTCGTTGTATATTGCAGAGTAACTGTGTGCATTATCAATAATGCTTTAAAAACAAGAAAGCCGCCTACAGGTGGTGTTTGTCAAAATCTGGAGTGGGACATTGACGCGATTCGTACCTGGTTCCGGTTCAGTACCCATCCTGTAACTGAAGATCATTTTGAACAATTTCTGTATTCAGATGTGAATGGTATAAGGAAAAACAGGAAAAATGACAAAAAATTGAATCTGACATAGAAATAAACTTGAAGGAACAGGGAGTGCAAGGAAAGAAGTCTTGTTACATAACTGTTGGCAACACAGCAGCCCGTATGCAGCTGGATGGAGATCAAGGACATTTGCTTCCTTTTTCTGGGCCAATGCTCCCAACGAGTCTCTCAGCGGCTCTCTCCGTTGTTTTTTTCCAGAAGATGTTAGACAAACCAAAAGGCCACCTTTCTTTTTAACATTTTTTTTTTCTGGCAAATGGAGATATGTGCTGTTAATTGTTAGGAAACCATATGGAACCCCCGCAAAGTGAAAAGCGCCATCATCTGTTGACAAAACTAACTGGTATTCCCCTCCCAAGACATTGTTTTCAAGTGCCATTGCATTTCTTTGGACAGTCGTCCCGGGAAAATTTGGATCTGTAACATGAAATCCGTGCACATGTATGTGACACAGATTTTGAGCCTGATGCTCAACCACTGTGACAAGGGCAACTTGTGACACACTAGTCATTACGTGCCATTCTCCTCTTCTTGTCTCACGTGCATTTCGCGCAATGAGGCTCTCGCTGAATGTTGCGCAGTCTTCACAGTGCCCCGCAAGAGGAAGGAGCGTACTGTAGAGGAGATATCCAAGCAGAAGCAGCAACGGGCTGAGTCTCTATTGAACGAAATTGCATGGATATTTGACGCTTCATTACCCTCTGTGGGGCTTGTTGCAATTTAAAGGGAGATTCAAATAAAAACCGGCAATATTTTCCAAAAAAAAGTGGTTTTGGGTTTTATTATTTTACTATTTTTGAATCTTGATATTTGGTTTATAAATATAATTAGTGCCAGTTATGATCATGAAATTGGTCAAATGCGCATTTGAAGACCTCCAGGCAACCCAGAACGGCATGAATTTGAGCCGTATTTCTCTGCGTCGTTCTTCAAGTTGTGACGTCCCACTCCAGTTTACATTTGCAAGTAGACCTATTCGTCTCCTCTTCATTGCAGTCTTCTGTAGCTTCATTTTCTCTCAGAAATTTATGAACATAATATTTTCTGCACCGCAAAAGAGTACAGCGACACATCTATGGTAACATTCAAACATGTTTTTCTTTTTATGTAATTTTGGAGCATTTTCGCAGTCTGTGCACAAGAATTTCTGTTCTTAACGTTGTTCTATCACAACGAAATTTGGCATACCTATACTTTAGAATATGTAGAATGCAAGTATCTAGGTTTGGTTAGAGTGTACCGTAAAATACCGGAGAAGTGCCCACCCCACTTCCACTGAAAACTGGGTTAATCTAGACATGTGCGCTTACCCGGTCAAATTTGGCGCTTAATGTATAACTCGCAGAATTCCCAAGTTTGGGAAATGTTAATTGTGGGCGCTTGAACGAAGTGGGCGCTTTTGCGGTATTTTATGATATATTTTTTTTATATATATTTATAAAAAAAAAGATTAAGAAACATTGTTAGCCCCTTGAAATTGTATCTTTACTATTTTTAATTATGTTAAAATGACTCATTGCACACATTGTTTTTGTTGTTCACTGCTCTCAATGGTTTGAAAGGAGTGAGTTAATTAATTTGACTACACTGGGCTTTTTTAAGTTTGTTGCCATGCCTCATGTGTGCGCAAGAACATGGTTTTTACGGCATGTACATTGTATTGAGAACCTGAAAAAACAAGCTATATCAGATATAATGCCAGATTTATGAAGAGAAGATAAAGCACCATAAACTGTAACAATTTCATTTCGGTATTACAAATAATAAAACAGAATGCTCTTCCAGGCACATGGCCCCTTTATCGGTGAAATATAGCCCTCGTAGAGGACAAGCAATGTCAACATATTCTGCACCAAAGCACTGCAGAAACGCAGGCCTGTTCCTTTTTAATACAGAATGTGTTTTATGAGTCGTTTTCTAGGAGGAAATTGTCACGGACGAGCGTCACAAACGAGTGACACGCTGGTGGAAGCGTTACATGTTGTTAAGGTTATATACGCATATTAGTTTACAAAGGTCTACATAACACCGACGTAAGAAACACGCCTCGCCGGGGCTTGAGCCGGGGTTGGTAGGGTGGCAGTCAGACACTACAGCCACCGAGCTGCGTAGCAGAGCCATTCTGGCGAAGTAAATTATTAAATTTGCATAAATAAATAATAAAATATAAGTACTGAAATGAAATAAAAACAATAAAAAATAAATTAGTTAAAGAAATAGATAATAAAAAGGCAGAAAAATTAGCAGAAACCACACATTGAGCATGGTTTGTGCAGGACAAATTCTCTGCTCCCTGATTTTTGTCGGCCTGTATAACTTCTCAATGTTTCTCGCAGTTGTTGCTGCAGCAACAGCAGCAGCAGCAGCAGCCAGGGGGTGCGGGAGGAGCGGTGGCCGGCTCAGTGCGTCCCCCCGAGGGAGCCCTGAAGCCGGTGATGCAGATGCAGCTGATGCAGCAGAAGCAGCAGTTCCTGCAGCAGATGCAGCAGAGGCAGCAGTTTCCAGCTGGGCTGCCCGTCGTGGTCACGCAGCAGGGCCTTGTGACACAGCGTCAGGTCAGCAAGCGTGGCGTAGCACTGACCGCGAAAAAAATTCGGGACTCTGTATTCGTAATCTCGAGGACCATTTGAAACTCGAGGAACTCCTATCCATTTTCTGTGGTATTTCAAGAATCCCTCCCAGCCTGTGCAGCAGTGCAGAAGCCTACTGACCTAACAACTAAAGAAAAAAGTACAATTTTGTTTTTGTTTTGTTTTTATGGCAAAATTAAACTATTATAATATCTAAAGCACCCTTGCACCCTCGCCATTATCTGTCGAGTGTTGCACCAATCAGACGCTTTTTTTTTAGCAGAAAGAGGCCGTAGGTAGCGAAATCAGGTTTCTAACTATTTACTCCTTACTCCGCCAAATTAATTCTTTGAAATATTGATGATTGATGGTGTGTTGGCGTTAAGGAACCGATTTATGAGGTCCTTTCAAAGGGCTGACGATCCAATTTGCTCCCCCTCTCTGTCCCCAGTCGTGGCCCACACAGGGTGGTGTGCCGCTCACCCAGCAGCAGATGATGCAGCTGAGGCAGCGTCAGCTGCAGATGCGCCAGCTGACGCCCCAGCAGCAGCAGCTGCTGGTGCAGAGCCTTCAGCGTCAGCAGCAGCAGCAACAGCGCCCGCTGACGGTGCAGCAGTTCCAGCAGGCAATGCACGGACAGCCTCCCGTCGGGGGTCTTCAGCAGCCGGGCCAGCAGGCACAGCCGCTCAGGCACCCCCAGCAGATCATCATTCAGCAGATGCAGCAGCAACATCAGAGGCAGGTCCCTCAGCAGATGCAGCAGCAACAGCAGCAGCCGGTGCAGCAACCGGGGCAGCAGCCAGGACAGCAGTTTCAGCAAGTCATTCAGGTTGGTCAATGACCTCTTAAACCTGGTGGGTCTCTCAAAAAACAGTGATGATAGACTGAATTGCATTAGGAGAATTGTGATTGTGCAAAAGCGCGAAGTGTGAGGTAAAAATGGTCTGTTAGATTAAATTTGGTTACTGTAAACTACTTCATTTTCGCAAGCTCATTATTTCGCAAATTCCGTGAAGTATGATTTTTGGGATTATTTCGTGAATGATGGTGGTATGCTACGTATTTGTTACCATAGTGCAGAGGTCTCAAACACTCTGCCTGTGGGCTGCATCCGGCCTGCTATGCTTTGGGATGGGGTCCGCAAGCATCCCGCGGCTGCGAGCTTCCATTCATCTGCCTCAGGTGCCATCTGCACCATGAATAATACCTAGTTTTATACCGTCAATTTATTTCCGCTCAAAACGAAACTCTGCTTCTGTAACATGTTCACGCATTTTGCACTAATCTGCTTATCTTTTGGACGGAGTATTACTTTGTCTAAATATTAGCTTCTCATTATTTTCTTGTCTAAATCAAGCGGAATGGCAATACCACCTAGGCTACAAGTGCAATCTCTCTGCCCAGGGAGGCACCCCGGCTGCCCAAACTCTTCATCAGAAGAAACTGCCAAAAATAAAGCTATGAGCTCGAGCGTCTAGCTGCCATACAAAAGTTTTAAAATTATAAAAACATATTCTAATAATGCTGCTATAAAAATCGCTAGGAGAGTAGAAACTGCATTATGAAAAGGAAAAGGAAAGGCAACGATGGTGTGCTTGCTCTCGTTCTATTAAAAACTGCCAGCGCTGTGGTGTGGCGGTGTTTTAAATCTTCTTATAACATCATGTGGAGGCCCGAAGTAGTCGTGCATGCAAACGGAAGCTAAAGACGGCAAAACTGTGAGCTTACAAAAAGTAGACAGCACAAGGTTCCTTGCCTAGAAAATCTTTGATGTGTTGCTGGGACAGTCAGCTGCTTTGCAACGTGAAACACCACTGCTGTTTGTTTGTTTATACCTTTTTCCCAAAATATCATAATATTGCCCCCCCCCCCCCCCCCCCCCATATCCTTGGCCTTTGACCTCTTGAGGGTGGGCTATATGGCCCCCACACTTGAATGAGTTTGAGACCACTGCCATAGGAAAGCACACTAGTGGGATTTATTCTTTTCAATATTAGAATAGTCGCAAATTTCGCGAAAATTAAGTGTTTTTGCGAAAATGAAGTTCTTTACAATATTAGAAAACAAATCTTTCTTCTTTTATGTAATTTCGATGCAGCACCTTGTGGTGATGTAGAGATATTATTTGTGCAATAAGATGTAGCATTCAATTTAGTGTTTGAAAATGGTATTCCAATTAGAGGATTCATTAATAAGTTGTTAATATGAACAATTGACAGAAATCTGCCTGATATTGGGAACAGTAATTGAAGGTGTCCAGCCAAGCCCTAATTCTCATGGATCCAACATTTCAAGTCCTAGTGGCGTCTTCAGGGGTGGCTATGGCTATGGCTATTGAGGACTAGTACACCGCTCATTAAAGGGGCACTAACTGGTTTTTACACACGCCGAGGTTTTTATTTGAACATGACCTATAAGAGCCTAACTACCCAGAACACAATTTGGTGGTTTGAATTTTGTTTTCTTTCTGCCCGAAAACAGTTGGTTGAGAATTCGCCGGTTTCAGCAGCTCTTACTCTCGTTTCCATGGTCAAGTGGTGTTCAAACTATGTGTTTTAAATACTCTAAACAACTTAATTTTCGCGAAGCCCTAATTTTTGCGAATTTCACAAATCGCCTGCATGTCGCGAAAAGTAGTTCCCACAAACAATTCCGGTAAAATGGAAACTCATTAGAATCTATATTGAGATCTCACTTTATTGCGAAAATTGGAACCCGCAAATTATTCCAATGCTTCATTCAGCTTTGACCTAAATCGCAAAATATTGAGCCCACGAAAAATAAGTCGTTTACAGTATATTCAAAGTTGTGGGTTATCTAAGACAAACATTCAATATTAAAGACAAAAAAGAATGAACCCCATTTTTTGGGGCCTCCCAAAAGCTACAAATACGTTGATCGATGCTAAAGTTGAAGCCTGGGCGAGTTGGTATGACATTCTTAAAAGGTTAAAACAGCGCAAAAACGACGGACAAGGTAAAGGAGGACACGGACAGAGCGCAGCGCTCTGTCCGTGTCCTCCTTTACCTTGTCCGTCGTTTTTGCGCTGTTTTAACCTTTTAAGAACGTTGATCGAAACAGAAATGTTGCAAAGATCACAGGAAGTACATGTATGCATCATTCTCAAAAGGCCAACGTATCGTGGGCTGGATGACGCGATGGTAGCACACGACAGGCCAACGTTGCGACGGACGTGGGTCCGCTACTTCGTAACTGTTTTTCGTGGTACCAACCAATCGGCCTTCAAGCGTAGAATATTGAACGGAACGGATATAAGTGCAAAACAATCGCACGACAAACGGTTCACGCAAGTTCGTCATCATCGTGCATGCTTCGAAAACCAGAAAAGTGGAGGAGAAAAAAAAAATGCAGTCAAATGTAGTTACATGACTTCCGGCCCTGATCTTTCATGCTCGTGTTTCGGTTTCAATCGGTTGAGTTTGGTTACTTTATTAAATATATACACGAGTCTGCAGCAAAATATTGATTGGGTAGTCCCCTGGAACCACACAAGATCGCCTGGCAAAAAATTGTAAAGAAAATTTTTCAGGAGTGTCTGTGTCCTTTTAATGGTTGTGGCCATAGTCGCCCCCGAAGAAGAGGCCGAGTGGGTCTCGAAACATTTCGTCCCCAAGAATTGGCGCTTGTTTCGCATGTTTAATTATTAATGAGTTGTCTATCAGTCAGTTTTTTGTCGACGGGGTGGATAAGTAATGAGTCTCTAAAAGAAAACCGGCGTCAAAAGAGTTTCATCGCGCGAGGGGCGATAAGGTATGCGACGCATATAGAATTGCGTTCCAGCCAGGAAATCTTTTCCTACCAGCTCCCTCACTCGCTTCCGACAGGGCGCAGTGCCAGGCCTGCAGCAACCGCAGCAGCAGCCCCAGCAAGCGCAGCAGCCGGCGGTTTCCCCGATCCAACAACAGTCCCCTCAGCAACAGCTGGCCCAACCGCAACAGCAGCAGCAGCTGCTCACAGGAACGCAAGTGGTGACGTCGTCCGGCGGCCAGCAGCCGGCGCAGGTGGCGATGAAGCCTCCGCCCCAGTACCCTTACGCCGGCGAGAGGGTGCTGCCCGTGGCCGCCGGGCACAGGGCACCCTACCGGGCCGGTGTGCCGCCGCAGGCCCCGCAGGTGCAAACATTTCCCCGCCATCCTCTGTCCGCGGCTCGGCCGCCCAGAGTCTGGCGTGGCACTTGTAGGACGTCACCGGGTGGAAATCGAGGGACCACTTTTGTGGATGCTGTAAACGCACCGGTCGGAGACGCGTTTCAGGCGCCACAGTGCTACTGCCTTCGGCGACGCTTCGGCATCTCGCAAGCCTTGAGTATGCATGCGCGGCCGAAGGCAACGAATGCATGCTGGGAGCCGGGCATTCGAGAGACGCACCTTGCCATTCTCATCCACGGTTGGTTCTCAAACCTAGTTCCCGGAGTTGCGACCAGGGTCTTTCGAGCGTGCGGATACTCCGTTCATTTACACCCGTGTAGAGTACCTACCCAGCCTAGCAGTAACTGAAGTGCGACCAAACCAGGCATTTGTGCGGAGGCTCTAGAATTTTAGGATCTCGAGGAATGCTCATCTCCTTCGCATAGCGGCCCGGAAACCCCTACCCCTTTCAACATTGTTGCGGTGAAGCGTTGCTGAAACATGCGGACTTCGTTAGCAGTAATGCATATACTGAAGGGGTGGTTGGTTCGTAGCTCTGCCAAACTCTTCCTTGGGAGGCATGGCCCAGATATGATAATACGGTGCTCTAAACTAGAAAATATATGAGCCTGGTCATGCTGACAGACTGGTATGAGCAGAATGTGCAAAGGGTCTTCCAGTTATCGGCATTCATCTGCAGGGCCCCTGATGAAGGCCCTTCCTGCTGCTTCTGCCATTTCTGAAGTTCCCAATAAGCTTGCGTATGTTCTACGGCCATCTCATCTGCTTCGTAACAGTCCCGACCGCGGTGGAAAAAGAGAGAGGCATCTGAAGGGCACCACCTTGCTACATAGGAAGTGTGTTGAAGATTCACTCCCATTTCTGACAAATGCCGCAAGATGGCACAGCATGGCACACCCACACGCTTTCAAGGCGGCAAGGCGCACGGCCTTCGAGCGCTGCACAAAAAGTTTGTCTTTGCATTTGAGAGCAGACGCCATCTTTTGGTAGTTCGTTTGTTAAGGGGGGACACTACCCAAGAGAGTCCACTTTTGAACCTTTCACTTAATATGAATGACATTTATGGCATATACTGGCATTTGCAAGGCAGAATTCAGTGCAAAGTTTCATCTGAGTACATGAATTGTAAAATAAATTATAGTCGTTTTTATTAGGAACACTCCGACTTTGCTTAGGAAAACAATCGTTAGGAAACTAATGTAATACCCAACATTTTTCTTCACTAGACACTCAGCAGAATGCCTGGAGAGTGCAACTGTGAAAACAAAAGTTCCAAAGAGTAATTTATTTTATGCAAACATCGCAGTGAAAAATGAAATAAAATTTTTGCCTCTTATGTCGTCGACAAAATCTTAACATCCACAAAGCAAAAAAAACAATTCCACAATTGCATTGCCCATAAAATTCCAGTTAGGAAAAACAATGAGTGAGTCTTTCCTCTTGTCCCATTAACAAATGATAGTTTTCCTAAAGTGAAATTTATGCCAAAAAGTGGAACGAACGAAAATGCATTCAAAGTGTTCCAACCCTACCTTTTCTTTAGTATTGGTGGACCGAAAATAATTTATAATTAAAATAAGAGCACCGACTTGACATAACAGAAAAAACAACTTCATTAGACGTTTCGCCTCCCATGCGGGAGGCATCATCAGTAGTTACACAGCCAATGCAGGGTTCAACCTAAACTCAACGCTATTTATCACGAAAGCGTTGAGTTTAGGTTGAACCCTGCATTTGCTGTGTAACTACTGATGATGCCTCCCGCATGGGAGGCGAAACGTCTAATGAAGTTGTTTTTTCTGTTATGTCAAGTCGGTGCTCTTATTTTAATGATGACGTCTCCTGGCTTTTGGAGTATTTTTGCGAAAATAATTTATAAAAAATGAACTATGCAGTGTAAACTAATGAAACCTGCAAATACTCTCTACATGTTGGTGGATGCAAATATGGCATTTTTCAATATCAACCTTTTTTTGCAGAAATCGTTTTTTCTGGGTAGTGTCCCCCCTTAAAGCACTTGGCTCACAATCTCAAGGTGGTGAGTTCAAATGCTGCCGGGGACTGAGGTCTTTTATATGGATCCCTGTGGGCGTAGCGCTTTTTGGTGTAGGTTCTTTGTTACCGCCAAACGTTACAGATCCGTGAAAATCTGCTGATAAAACACATTCTGTGTTAAAGGGGTACTCCACCGATTTTTTGAGCTACCTCAACTAACTATATTTTCTGACTCCCCGGCCTTTAGCCTTTCCTGTATGCTATTTAGCATCGCGAAATTCATAATAGGTATTGTGAAATCGGCAAATGAAAATGGTGCAAAAACCAATATTCAAATATTCGCACACTTTTCAGTGCCGTGACGTCAGTGGCAGGCAGGCTTGCCAGTCGAGCAAGTAGTCTAAAAATAGAATATGCCAATCATTTGTTCCGTGCTGGAGCGCGGATACGGCAGCGAGCTTCCAAAGCACTCATTTGACACCATGAAACTGCTTCAAATCCGTTGGGAACAACTTCTGTAGTCCAAAAAGTTAACCCCTGCCTTCCACTGACGTCACTTTGTTGTTGTTGCCAGTAGAGACTCAGTTTGAAAAACATGGTGAAGACCAAAACTGTAAATTCAAGAACTTCGCGAAAAAACAATATTTTGACCTAATATTTGGGATACTATTTTAGCAATGTTTGTTGGTTAATTTAGCAAAATTGTCAAGCAAATCGGAGACAATGAAAAAACCGGTGGAGTACCCCTTTATCTTTTTTTCCACTAAGCACAAGATTATGTTTTAAGACAACACCCACAAAGTTTTTCACTGCAGAGTCACATATTTGCTGGAGAAAACATAACAGAGTCACACCGAAATCAAAGCAAACGACTTCAATGTCCGACGTCTAGAGACTCTGGGAGTCGCTTGGATTGTTTCGTCGCCTTCTGTTATGCGTTTAAAGTTTCTTTAAATTCGTTTTCAAAGTTTTGGTGTACATAAAAATTAAGCTTTTACGATTGTCTTTTACTAATGAATAGGTGTCATAGCTCGATTATTACTTTTCGGATATGCCAAGTCCTGTGTAATGTAATCACACTGTCGAGGAAACTGCAACAATTTGAATTGTTTTGGGCATCGTATTTGCAGGGCATTGTTGGAGGAGGCGGCAAGCCACAGCAGCAGCCGCAGCAGCAGATCCAGTGGCAGACATTTCAACAGCAACCGCAGAGGAAGACCCCTGATGGAACTCCCATACCGCAGCAGCAAGTACAGTGGCGCACCCTGCAGGCAGGCGATGATCTCAAGCCAGCGCCGAAACAAGTGCTCACGCCATCTCACCTTGCATCCGCTGGACCACAGCAGGTGGTTCGTGCCGAAAGCATTCCTCCTCAACAACAACAACAGACGCAGCAGCAGGGTGTTGTCTGGCAACAGCAACAGCAAGTTCAACAAGTTCAGCAACAGGTGCAACAGCAGCAGGTTCAGCAGCAACAAGTTCAGCAACAGCAACAACAGCTGCACAAGGTTCAGCAAATTCAGCAACAACAGGGAGATGGCGGCACACCAAACGTCTCACAGCAGCCGCAGACCCCTCAGCAGATTCCGCAGCAGGTGCAGTGGCAGCAGATGCGGCATGCCGAGCTTCAGCGTCGTCAGCAGCAACTCTTTCAGCAGCATCAGCAGCACTTGTTGCAGCAGCAGCAACAGCAGCAACTGCAACAGCAGCAAGTGCAGCAACAACAGCAAAGTCAGCAGCCACAGCAAGGTCAGCAGCAGCAGCAGCAGCAACAGGTTCCATACATCATTCAGCGGCCACCGCCGCCCCAGTATCCAGGTGAAGCAAAGTTACAATTTTGTTTTTGTTTTTTTTGTTTTTTTTTTATTATTTTTATTATTGTGAAATTTCGATCATGCATTTCTAGTGTATGCAATGTACCATATTTGACATCAATCTAGTGCGGGCCTGGCAAGCTCTCCATAGAAACAATGTATTAAAAGTTGGATTACAAAATGCATGATTACATGCATCTCGCGTCGTATGACGACCTGGGTGCGTTACATTAACGGGGACCAAGCTGACGAATCATAAAAACGATGCTGGCGGATGCATTCTCTTCCTTGCACGGGAGTCTGTTTACTTTTCGTAGAGTCTCCCTTTCCAAACTGCGTGTGTCAACATATGCGAAAATGTCACGTTTTGATTGCCTTCGACGGTTTGCATTTGCCCACAATGGCATTGTTCAAGTGCCATCGAGGGGACACGCAAACCGTTGAAGGCCATCACTTCTAGAGGTTGCGATCTTTGAAAGGAAATCACTGATCACTTTTCTGAAAATGAGGTAAGGTGAAAATAAAGTTTTACAAGCTCCTTTACTGCACCACCCCTCAGATTTTGGTTTTATTTATCTTAGGGCTTAGCCTCTTTAGAGTCCAGCATATCATTAGCCTAGGATGAATTATAAAAGTTCCTTGTGTTTTTGTCATGTAGGGCCGAGCACCGTAATCGTAACCATTGTTGGCAGCAGATGCGTCAACGTTTTCACGCAGTCTCATAAAAGGCGTACGATCGGGGTTCCACTGTACCACCTATTTCACAATGTAGTCCCCTCTAGTGGGCATGTATTATTTGTCAGATCACCGCTGCCTCAATAGCAACTTTCCTGGTTCATTTTGAGTTCAGAGAATCGAAGCTTGCTGTTGAAGTTCTCGATTTATCACCATTTCTTTTCAATTATGCATTCCTTTATGTCGATATTTCCTTCGTGATCCACGATACTTTGTTTCCATAACGTCACATCGTCGAGGATCCCAGCCCTCAAGTGCAATCCGCGTTAAAAAGAAAAGGGAGCAGGAGGTGCCTAACCCAAGCACGTGTGTTTCCATCTCGTCTGCTGGAGGCCTAGGGATGGCGGCAGTGCGTGAGCCCGGCACTCCGGCACCCGGCGCCGCCCGTCCACCCCCGACCCCGCCCGGGATGGTGCAATTTCAACAGCAGCAGGTGAGAACCAATCTTCCTCTTCCTCTTGTGGGGTCGGGCGCTTGCACTAAGGTTGGCAGGTGGTGGGAATCGAGGGGCAGGGGGGCCACCACGTCCGTCTATAGCAGTGGATGAATTCTACCAAGTAGCATATGCGAGTGCCGCCAAGGTGATGCACGACAACAGTTGCTCGAGCCAAAAACGTGACAGAGCGTCGCCGCAAACGTGGTACGTCGTGGGTGGCGCGTCGCCGGCAGCCACTGCGGGCCGATGGGGGCGTGCATATTCGCATTTGGGATGCGCCACGAGCCGAAAACGACGATGGGTTATCAGCATCCAATAGAAGCCTTTGCAGCATTATCGAAAGTTGGCGTTTTTTGAGTAAGCCGGGATGTGCGGCACTCTGTGCACGCGCTCGTTGCCTTCTGTCATGTTTTGGTTGTCTGTGCATGCTCGAAGCTCACGAGAAGCAAATGTATTATTGAAGGCAGGTAGCTTATTCTGGAGGAAGGTCAAATGAAAGACCTTGGTGCCTTTGTAATCCTGTTGGCGACTATGGTCATGTTGGCTCACCCGATTCCCATTTTGTTAGTCTAGGTGACTCGAAGGCAGACTAACATCTCGCTGTACTATAAACTCTCTCGCATAAAGGACAGATGGGGCACCTCACCGGCAATAGGTGCATCCTTGTTGCCTAACATTTTAGAACTTCCGCGACACCAACCGTCCATTCCTGATAGTCTTGGTGCACCTTGTTTTGAGCTTCTCTGACGGCGCACGTCAGCTGCTTTGCAATGGATCTACATCTCTTGCAAAGATGGATGGTTATGTGGCAGATGCAGCCGCGACACACGGATAAGTTCCATGCTGATACAGAAAATGCTCTGCGAATCATGTTCGTCGACCTCCCTGAAGCCACGCTTATATGGTGACCTTAATGTTGTGCACACTTTGGACAAAGGGTTTGAAAGAGGCTGTACTACCAACTGAATAGTCTGTCCTTTAGTTCATAAACTGCAAATGGAGCGGGACAGTTTGGACTTCCAAGGTCTGATTATGAGTTGCTGGCAAGTTGGAAACTGAGCGCTCCGATCAAAGTTTAACCTCAGCTTAGGTTTTTGAATTTTGATAGTGCTTTACCCGCAGGTGCATGACAAAACCCTCTGTAACATTGAAGTTAAACAAAAGTTGGTAAGCTGACGGCGGAGAAGCACCCGAGAAACTGGAAAAAATTGCCTGCATTTTGAAATTTATGATGGTTGTAGTAGTAGTGGGTATAGTCACAGCTTGTATCACTGGATAATTAATAAAGTTTTGAAGTTTCTAAGCCTCTGCTCCTCCTCCTGGCATCAGCAATTCATCGGCTGGCATCAAGATGGAGCCGCTGCAGGAAACTTCTAAATATGAATCCATTATGCACCTCCAGGTGTTCCAGATGTCTCACCATTTGCGCTTTCTAAATATCTGAGCATCACATCGATAGAGTGAGCAGAGCTGACGGTGGGCAGTCTGCATCTGCAACTGCAAATAAGTGATACTTGGAGCACAGTGAAATGAGGGAGCATGTCTCACTTTTACGGTTGAATTTCTGCTGTCAGTATTCTCACCCCAGCACGACCAGCTCAGCTGGTGCCAGTACGACCGCAATGTTCCAACAAGCTCCTTTTACAGCCACATCAGATTCTATTGAATTCAGAACCCTTGAGGCCATTTTCTGGCCTTAGCTCTTTTATCATCATGAAAAGCCTCAATCTCTCGTACGATTGAGTGATGGAAAAACCTCCGAACAGTCCGAGTTTGCAATCTCTGCTTTGCGAGAAGTGTAAACCTGATTTGCACCGTGTGGCAACATAAGGGTCGTGCACACTGGATGATTTGGACAGAAGGGGATTCACACGGCCAGGACATGCCAATTCATTTTGGCTTCATTGTTCGTTCAGAGCAACATACGATTGTAGGAGGTGCGGTGTGCTAGCACCGCTTGGGGCCTTGCCAATGCACTCTGTTTGGACTCTATCGGTTGTCAGAGTGTTCATGTACAAACAGATCGGGCAGGTTTGTCAATGGCCCAGTGGCCCTTTTTTAGAAACCCTAAAAGGTTGAGCACTACTCGAACACTCCACAGACTCCAAAATCGAACTTTGGTCCTAGCCAAGACGACGCTGGTCCTTCTTCTCGCCACACATCACTCGATTTTCTCCGTCAAGCACTTTCTTCCAACCCACTGGGTGCCAAGAGGGCACATTCTACGAGTCGCGAGAGCGGTCGGGGGGTCTAGCGTCTGCTCCCCGGTGCTCCGCTCTCAGGTGGCGTTTGGCGGCGGCCCGCAGGCGCCCCTAGTGCCCCCGTCAGCCAGCGCGGCCGCAGCGGCCGCCGCGGCTGCGGCGGCGGCCGGCTTGCAGCCCGGCAACCCGGCTCAGGTGACGCCCAAGACCAAGACGGCCCTGGCCAATCTGCTCAATACGAGGCTCCAGGGGGGAGGGGCCAGGGGGCCAGGAGAGCTTGGCATGCCCGAGGTCCTGGGCACGGCCGTGCGTCTGCCCGCGCCCGTCGGGGAGGACCAGCACGTCCTCGTTAGGGTGAGGGAAGACCGTGCACGTCTGCACGATTGCATGCCCCGACGCCGTCTACTTCAGCCTGCAGACAAAATGGTGTGCACGTCGACTCCGCGCAAGGTCGGTCGCGGTCGTGTCGTACAGTTGTTGATGACGAAGGTTTTGCTGCCGCCGGTTCGAGGCTTTCCGCATGTGAGTCTCGTTCCTTTATGACTAGACCGCATCACATTTTAACCTGGAGGTGCCAATAACCCTCCGACAGACACCGATTGCCTGGCACTCCCAACCTGGCTTCTGCGAAGAGCATCCATCTTTTTGACACGCACTTTACCAGATTGTTATTGCTATCATGGCAAACAGTTGCAACACATTGTGGTGAATGCCCCCATGTTTTCACATTATCCCTGCTTGGAATGTTTTATTTTGCAATATAAGTATTTCACAGTATTTGTTGGTCTCTTAGTGCTACATTCTCCTATAAATGCTGATTCAGTGTTTGTACTGTGCATGCAGCCAAGGTCCACTTTTTTTTAAAAAATAAATAAGCATCAAAAACATCTGTAGATACACATTTTCCACAAGTAGCATCAGGAAATGGACTAATGAAAGTACAGCACATTCATTTTTATTAACCCCAATGCCTGCTATGACTGTGCTGCTTGTTTTCTGCATTGCTTTTTTTTTGTGTGTGATTTTTGTTGCATGGATTTTTTGCAGTTTCTTTTTGTGAGACGGGAACAAAATCAGAAATGATGTGGAGAGGGGTGATATTCCACATGTGCAGGCTGTTATCCTCTATTGATCAACACTCGTGCACTCTTGATGCGATATCAAAACTAACACACTTGCACTTTGACTTGGAAAACAAATCTGACAGGGATCTAGCTTTTAATCACATTAAAGCAACTATAAGATACTTACTAAATGTTGAAATAAATTTGGAAATAACTTAGAAGTTCTGCTGTATAAGAGGGTTGAATAGCCAGGCCTTCATTCATTTCTATTTTTGTCTCTGAGCTCATTTTTTCTGCTTGAAAGGTATGCTAAATCCCTGCTGATCAGTGTAAAGGCCAAGTAATTGCATTGGCATTCTACGCTGTGGCATGATATCAAAGGTTGCATGATACTGCCATGTCATATTGCATGATACAAGAGGTGTTACTAATAATTAAGGTGTTTGAGTGCAACCAACTACATTAGGACTTCTTGCATTTGACTACTGCTACTGATACACATTGCACAAACCTTAGTTGCCATGGCAATCATCTTGCTGAAAAAGGTCGTAAGCGGATGTACCGCAGATGGTTTTACGTAAATGCAAATGTCTGGACCAGTCTTAAAAATCATCTTCGTTTGCCCACTGGAGACAGAGCTTAGTTCCTTGCTGTGCAAAACTTCAATTATAGGCTTCTATTTTTTTAAAAACGGTTTACTGTTATTTATTTTTGACATGGTTCAAGTACTGGTACTTGCAGCCATTAATTAAAGAGGCTAAGTAAAGACTCGTACATCGTAGCTTGACCTTTGGGTGATCAGGTAGTCCACAGGGCGCACAGAGGTGAGAACAGTGCAACATTTAATGGAGGCCGAACTGTTCCCAACTTGATGGTGGCAGTGTTTGCCGACACCGACGATGCAAACATCAAAAGCATGCAGTTTAAAGTTGTCCTCAAGGGACCTTTTTTTTTTCTCGTGGTCAGGAACCAGCCATGATGAACCCTGCGTACCGCTCCATACGGGGACCACTGTCGGGTCCCCAGCATGTGGCCAATGACGGCCGCAGCTTTGGCACAGAGGTTCCAGTCAGCCCCAACACCCACGTCGAGATTCACTTCTACGGTCATGACCCCAGGACTCAGGGTGAGGTTCTCTTGTTCTCGCTTCCTCTCCGTCCAGTGCAGAGTTGCTGTTGGACATTATGTCAACTCTTTCCATACTGTTTGAAAAAGTGGCAGTAATTTTTGAGGGACTCACAAGTCATTTTTACAGCAAAGCTGTTAAGGGCTAGTTTCCCCAGGATCGTGTCTGTCCTCATATGACCTGATGACGCAGAACTCTGGACAGCTACCACCATCTATAAGCAACGGTGGCAACCAGACAACCGGCTTGCCAGTTGTGTGGTTGCTGCCGTCGCTTATAGATAGCAGCGACCTTTCCAGCCTTTCCACTCTAGTTTTCACCAGAGTGGAAAGGCTGAATTTCTTTAGACATCATCCTAGAAGTCGTCCTTGAGGTCATCCGAGAAATTGTTCTCAAGGTCGCCCTAAAGGTCATCCTTGAGGTCGTCCTAGACGTCGTCCTGGAAGCTGTCCTTGAGGTCGTCCTAAACGTCCTCGAGGTCATCCTAGAAGTCGTCCTTGAGGTTGTCCTAGACGTCGTCCCTGAGGTCCTCCTAGGCGTCGTCCTCAAGGTCATCCTAGAAGTCGTCCTTGAGGTCGTCCTAGACGTCGTCCTAGACAACGTCCTCTAGGCGGTGTCTTTGAGGTCGTCCCACCATAGTACAGCTTTGCTGGTCTTCCTTCTTCACCAGAGTGGAGAGGCTGAAAGTTTTCTTTTGCATAAAACCTTGGTTTGTCATAGCACTGCTCTAACTTCTCCTCTGCTGGTGTTTTGAGGACTGTGGCACATTTAAAATATGTGCCTCGGCTCAGGACAACCTAGAAAGCTAGAATGACACTATCCGACGTGCACCTGCCGATATTCGTGCCTTGGAGATGGAACGTCGCTGCAAGAGCTCAGATAAAAAGATCAAACGTCTTTCACAGTCCTCACTGCCGCACACCAGCTCGAAGCACATGGAGCGAAAGCCTGCTCCGCAGAACCCAGGGATCTTGGGTTCAATCCACACCCACGCTTGTTTCGATCTGGATGAGCACTGTACCGGCGTGCGGTCATGTTTCACTACTTTGTGAAGCACGTTGAAGACCCCAGGCTAGCAGTCATACTACAGTGACTAAATTTCTCATCTTCAGCATAAACCGGTGTCACCGCATCTCAAAGACAGACCTGACCTTACGCTGTATAAACACAAACGTCAAATTTGGTTTTATTTACATTAACTGTTGTCACCAAAAAACAAGCAGCAGAAACGGTTAAACTAAGTGGGCATTCCTCATTGCTAGTAGGACGCCATGTTTGGCAAGTGCGACCATCGAGCAGAATTTGGTTTCTTTTAGCTCACCAGCTTGGAAGAAAGCAAAAAAGGAAATTGTGACCGGAACTGTTGTTCTTCGGCTATCTGCGAGAAGGTGCAACGTGTTCCCGTGCCAAGTTCGAATTTTGGGGGCATGTGGAAACCTTTGGTTGTGGATGATTGATGACCCCTGTGCATGGTATGGAGAGAGTTAAGCTGCAGTTAGCCCAAACGTGTAGTCACCGGCTTTTCCCGTGGTTGTTATTCAGCTGAAATGATTCCAACAGAAAACTACCTATGTACTGAAGGACGTAAAAAAAATGGTCCAAATGACGCACGCTGCACGTCTTTTATTCAAATGCCAAGTACCAATTTTGAACTTTTTTTTCTTGCTCTTTTGTCAAACCTTTATTAAAGCTGTCGGTGTGCGTGAATGTGGGAATGGGCAATACAAAGTTACAAAGTTTGCTTCTCGTTTTTTTGCAAGTAGATATCACATGTGCTATTTTTATGCGCCACCATGCTGTACACAATCCAGATTAGCTCACACTTATAAACAATAAATGTGTACCATTGGGGAGGGTGCTTACCCTTTTGTTTATATAATCATTTTCTTAAGTACTATTGGACTGAAGAAATCAACTGAACCGCTAATGTATTTTGTCTCCTAGTTCCACTGGAAATGTGCCTGGTGGGCTGCATTTTCTGCATCCTCGACTATGGCCGGCTCTTTGATGCACCCACAATTGCTGTGTGGAAGAAAGTGAGTCTTTTCTTGGCTACCGCTGAAATTTTGTTGCTGTCAAGCCTTCACCAGCACACCCCTCATTTATAAATGGAAAGCTGGCTTTAACCGTTTTTAGTTTTTGAGAATTCCTGACCCCCAACTGCTTAATTGTAGTCTCCAAAATCAAATTTTTTGCCTTCAAAATCATATTTGCAGCCACAAACAGAATAGTCGACTCGAGTTAATTGACCTCGGTTAATCCGACATATCATTCCATTCAGCCCTGTTGAAAGGTCCTGGCGAAAGCCCATACATTTCTATAGAAAAATAAAACTCAATATTTCGATCTTGAAATAAAAAAAAAAAGTGATTAATTCAACCTAGAGAGAACCAGCGGTTGTCAAATTACAGGCACAATTGGCCGTGCGTGACACGCAAAAACAGGCCTTTTTTTTCTGAATTACGCGGCGGGAAAGTTAAGGTCGCAATCGGCCGCACTTGTCGGCGAAAAAGCCTGTTTTCAAATTTTGAAGTGCGCACCGAATTGTGAAGAGAAAGAAAAAGAGAGCACCTGTTGAGACGCAGGATGCAGCCGGATCTTAACAGAAAACAGCCATTGCAACACTGCTGCGGAGCAGCGGAGTCGCAATGGTTGCCGGCAGCACTGGCACACACAACCATTACAACACCGCTGCTCCTCAGCGGTGTTGCAGTGGCAACGTGTTGCAATGGCGCTAATCACTGCTGCCACCGCCAAACATGCAAAGGACAAATACGGCCGCTTCCACCGACGTGTAGCGGTGTGCGGCAGCTCATTATAAAAATGTTAGCCCACCTGATCTAAAGCGCTGGATATCTAGAATTTCGCACGCATCTTTTAATTTGTCTTTTGGCTAATTCAACCCAATTTCGCATGTACCGTCAAGGTTGAATTAGTGGAAGTCGATTGTAAGAGAATTTAAGAAGAAATTCAGTGCTGCCGTTTGTTGGCAGAGCCGCAAACTAAGCCATGAGCCTGGTTCGCAAATTTAGCTAAGCCTGGTTCGTCGAAAAAGGTTGACTGCATGAACTGGGGAAAGCAGGCAAGCCATATTCATCCTGAACGGTTTGGGGATGACTCCATGTTGACGAGCTAGGCTCGTACAAAACAGTTAAGGGGTTAAAAGTAACTTTCCAACTAAAGTTCTGGGTCTAGCAGCCCAAGTAGTGTAGCAAGCTTACAGTATGGTAAGTTTGGCCATGGTGAGCGTGTTACTAGGGGCTTCATTTTCTTGCGTAACCCAAGCTTCCCCCAGCATTTGCTCCTCTTGAATCTTTTGTAAGAGTTGGGATAAACTTGACTTTTCCCGCAGAAGGGGGAATGGCTACCTGTCAAGCCTATTTTTGTAAATATATTTATAGAAATCCATGTTATACAATTTTAAGCCTGGTTTTGAAAGCAGCAGCTAATTAGAAACAGCCAATTAGAAACATTTTGTATGCAAAATATTATGTACGCTCCTCTAAGAGAAATTATTGAAGCCTTTTTATTAAATCTTTTGTTGACAACTGCATTAGCATGCCATTGATTTTATCAAATGACAAGGAAATTTTGTTTCTTGTTGGAATTTTCGAGGAATTAATGTTTTGCTTTTTTTTTTCTAGAGGGTGTAAATGTGTTAGGATTATGTGGCAGGGTAGGCAGGTGGACTGCTTGAAGTATTGAAAGTTGGCACCCATCCGTGTCGTCCCTGTTTTTTTTTTTTGCATTTTTGAATACCATTGAAATCCTGTAAGTCGTTCAAAAATCTCTGTTTTGTAAGTTTTTTTTTTTTTTTAATAGTAAAAATTATTTTTTGGATGAACTTGGACTCATGACGTAGGAGATGAGTAAACATTGGATTTCTTCTCGAAAGGGTTTAAAAACTAAGACCCTATTGTTTTCCCCCAAAATTTTACAAAATATAAAACCCAAAGGTAAAGAAACCTACTAAGTATGTGGGATCCAAAACGATCTAGTCACCACTTACCGTAGAATACCACGCATCCGCCCATTCAACATTAAGCGCCCATTACCAAATTCGTAAGATCTGAGAAAATATGCGCAGCACATTTATATGTAAAATTGATGACTGGAGAAGCACCCATCCCCCTTTTTTCTTTGTGATTATCTCCAAAGTTTAAGTGGGCACTTGCCCGGTATTTTACGGTAGTCAATGGATGAAGTGGGATGCCTGTTCTCTTCTTTCTCGCTCAGTATAAAATTACTTAATAGTTCAACCATGGCATCTTCACTATATTGTAGAGGCAGCCCCACACACTAAAAGCTAAAATATTACTACTTGACAGCAGAGTTTTAGAGCTGAGTGTGGCTTTGTTTGGATGCCCTGCTTGAGAATTTGAATATTCTCAGGTTTGCAATGTGACAGTTGATCTTTTCTTTTTTTGCTTTTAAGGTGATTCTGCAACGTGGGGGTGAAGTGGAAGAGGCATACAGTTCCCGCTGCACTCATGTTATCTGCGTGACACAGCGCGACTCCGTGGTGCAGCAGGTAGGGCCTGTGTGTATGTTACTACATGCCAGATGTGTAATCAGCGTTCCAACTTTAGGAGGGCCCCTGACATCCAAAACAAAATATATGTATGATGGAACACCTCTATAAAAGGATAATAGATGTATAAATATTGTTAAGAAAGGTGAAAAGTACAGTAATCTCTCGTTATAACAAAGTCAATGGGACGGCAAATCAATTTGATACGAGTGGTAACTCGATAAAAACGATAGAGCCAACAAAAACAGTGCCAGCAGCCTTGAAGGTGGACGGGAACACTGCAGAGCACTCCGACCATATATTTAATCAAACAAACCTTGGTTATGAACATCTCGCAGCAGCTTTACTGAGTTTGCCGTTACAGTCGCCGATCGTTTTTTCGGACTCCGATAATTCGGACTTGTTCACTATTTCGGACCTAAAGGTGGAACTGTGACTTACCCCATAGAAATAGTGCATATTCACGACCAATGTTTCAGACAGCTTGAAACCGAAAGTTCGATTATTCGGACAAAATCATCGCAAGCGATCAGCAAAAAACACCATCGAGAAGCGGCCATTTTGAATTCTATGTTGGCTGCAAATGGATTGGCTTGGTTTGGCAGCGCTACTTGAGTACTCCTGAGTCCTACCGCTAGGTGACGCTATGCTAGCCCTTTTTTTCCAGTTAGCTGCACGTCATCATCATCATTATTATCATTTTGCTTTGTTTTTCCGTTCCTTTGCGTCGCCCGTCGCCATTTTGCGCTCGCGGATTTGCGCCTCTTATCTCATTCGGACAACGCTGGCTTGGACGTCATGGCCCCATCTGTTGTTCTGCCGCCGCGATGTGTCGTTCAGAAGCACAGAAAGTACTCGACCATAACGCTAGAAAAGAAGGCAGCGATTCTCAAGCTGACAGAAAGTTGCCGAACGGAAACGGAGACATAACCCAAAACAAGGCACTACCGTATTTACTCGATTCTAAGCAGCCCCTTTTTTTCACACCCGCGATGTTTAAAGAGGGGGGGGGGGGGGCAAGTGCTTAGATTCGGAACATGCCCCGAAAATATGAAATTTGCACAAGAAATATAGATTTGTTATAATCAAAATGAAAGAATAAATGTTCTAAAGGAAATAAATAAAGACTGGAGAGTAGCCCGCTTGCCATCAGTTTGCACCACGGTCGACTAGTTGCTCTCGCGACTAGTCTTTTGAGGATGATGTAGGGCGCAAGTTTCCAACCATCGGCTGTGATGCACAGCATTACGGTCACCCTTTGCTTCTCATAGCCAGTCGTACGCACTTACTTCTTGGGCGCCTACTTGGTTCCGGTGCACGTCCTTGGCATGTCGATGTACACAGGGGTCTCATCGGCATTGCCGATCTGCCCGAGTCTGTAGCGAGATTCGCGACGCAGCTTCATCACATAACGTTGGGAGTTGACAAGCTTGTCCTCGAAGTCCAGCGGCAGCTTCTGGCAGATAGTGGTGCGGCGTCTCAAAGAGAAACCGTTCCTCATCGTCATCCGCTCCACCCAGCCTCAGCGTGCACGGAACGCCGCACTCCGAACTGTTCAGCAGCGCCATGATTTCCGTTGTCTTCCGCGTAAGAAATAACCGTTCTCTTGAAATTCATTGTGTATGAAGTTCTCTTTGCACTCATGATGGACGACTTCCACAAACCACGTGCACACGGTGAACGGAATACGATTGCGAGGCCAACGCGGACGAATAGGCTTAACAGACTAAACAACTGACTGCAACAAACGCAAGGCAGCGCCTCCTCTATGACCAAACAGACAAAACATCTTCGATAGAGGGTACGGCAACGCATACTCTTTCGCAACTTGTACGGATGCGAAAGTGGAAGATGGCGGTATGTGCTGCATCTATTAACTGACATTGAAACCAAGCGCCAGCGGCCGTTCGCGACTCCAGCGCTTGGCGATACCGCCGTCTCTGATCTCAAATTTCTCGTTGGGAGGGGGGTGCTTGCATTTGCATGCAAACTTTTTTTCAGGTGTTTATGTTTGAAAGTGGGAGGGGGGGAGGGGGGGGGGGGGGGGGCTTAGAATTGCAAAAATATGGTATTTACGGCTTTTTTCAGCCCACTTGAAAGTTATAAAGGCAAGTTTTTTAATCTGCTGATTTTTCGGACTGCTCTATTATTCGGACGTTTTTTCGGTCCCTTTGAAGTCCAAATAATCGGTCGGCGACTGTAATTTCATTTGGACACCAGTTCTCGAACCGCTCCAGGCATCGCGAGAACACTGTCACCACCGCTGCATTCCACTTCGTTTCGGAGCAGCCGTAGGATTTTTCGCATCTCCGCAGTCGTCAGCGTTTCCCGAGGTGCCTCTCTGGTGTTGCTTCGTGCTTACCACGACCGCCCGCGAGGTCTACGATCGCAGCATCCGTGGCAGGAGGAACGACGGGAACGTCCGCATTGACAAGCGCGAACGAATCAAAGTTATCCTCGGGGGCTTTCTCAACATGTTTCCACACAATCCTGTAAAGATGGTTGCAGCAGCTCTGGGAATCGTACGCCAAATCAGCAAGCATGCTCGCAAAAGAAAATTCAACATGTGCAATGCAGTTGGCAATCCTTCATCTTCAGGTTGCTGGCGCGCTTTCTCTTGCATGAAAAACTTCTTGAACCTGTCTGATACGCCTTGCTTGTTCCGCAAAATGGTTCAGACTTGGGCCGGCCACTTTTCTCAATTTCGCAGATCTAAGCGACTTTTGGTAAAGGCTCCCAATCTCCCATACGACGCACGTGTGCGCGTAGTACGCCGCAGGCGCGCTTGCTCAGGCGTGAGCGTTCGGTGCTCCCGAAGTGATGATCTCCTCCGGGCTCCATCGCTCCCTCTCCGGGCTCCATCGCTCCCTTGACCCGATTCCGCAGGAGTCGGGCAGCGTCAGACGCGGGCGTCGTGAGTAGCATCAGAACGTGAACGCTGCTCCCTGCCCGCATCGACACATCGGCATCGGAAGCGGCGCTCTGCCCTCTGTCACCCGTTTACTCCGTTTTCTTGTTTGCCATTTTCCCAGTTAGCCGTTTGCCTCGGTGTAGGAGGGGGAGGGAACGCAGAAGTCTCCGTGCGCCTCCCTGTAGGCTTGCGTGCTGTTGGCACCGCGGCCTTCGTAATAAGCGTGGTCATCTGCCGCTAGGCTTAGAATGATTGAGTTAAAATGTATGCATTCCGGTCGGTACCACGTTAAACTTCGATAAAAGCGATAATTCGAAAAAAGCGATTTCGTTATAACGAGAGATTACTGTAACTTTGGGCTGGAAGAACAACATGGGATACTAATGAATAAGAATACTGATGTAATACATTACAGTGGTGTGTTTTCCAGCTGTAGCTGTTATGGACTCTTCCCGCCACTGGAAAGGACGTCTACTGTTGATGTTGTAGTTGTAGTTGTTGCAGTTGTTGATGTAGTAGTTGGCGATGTAGGGCATCTGTCGTCGATATTGCCAAACCCTCGAAAAAGATTGCCTGCCGCCCGCAAGAATAGAACCTGGGTCCGCTCTGTGCGAAGCGGAGGTGTTACCACTGAACTGTGCTACAGCATTAACAACCCGCTCAATACTTGGGGTTTTTGTAGTACCCTATGCCCACTGCACGCACTCTCTGAAAAAGGAAAATAGCCGATAACAAAATGCTGTTGTCAGTAGGGTACTGCCAATGCCAAGAGCCCGTGCCGGGAGACGCGCTTTCATGCGCTCCGGAGCAAAAGAGAAACAAAAGCGTTTGGAACAAAATGGTCAGGTGTCTATTTTGTTCCGAACGCTTTTGTTCACGCACCCTACGGCGCATAAACGCGACGCCGATGCCCAACGACTTCGCCGTGGCTTGTCACAGCTATCACTGTGATATTACTGTGGATTAGCATGAGACTGCTCAATTTTTCACGCTGCATAAATATTCTGTTTTGTATCCTAGAAATGGCCGATGTCAGTGGTGGTCCGAGAGGTGCTGCCGTGTACCGGCCCAGGGCTACGTAGATGGCCTTGAATGCTATAGTGGTGGCCATGTCTTGCCTTGTCGCTGTCGGGATAAAGCAGCTGCTGCTGCTGCGGCCGTGGTCACGGTCGGGTTTGAGGCGCTTTAAAGGCATGACCCGGTAACGGCGGGGGCCTGCGTCCTGGTGGGCCCCGCCTAGGGCAAGGAAGGACATCGGTGACTGTGGACTTATTTAATCCAAATCCCGGGGTCAACTCTTCCAAAGCAGTCCCAGCACGAGCCGAGCACGCGCCACTGGAAGTGGGGCACGCGCTTCTGCCGCTCAGAATTCGTGCCCGTACCACCGCTAAACTCAGAATACTACAATCTGCTCATCATGGAGAGCTCAGAAACCACGTGTTTTTGCCATTAGCTTTTTAGCACAAGGTGCCAGTGTTCCAAACTGTGTTGATTTAAAAAGTTTGAGTCAACTGAGAGGTAGAAAAGGTGTGCCATTTCCTTGTTGGAGGTGACCAAAGAGCACATTGATGTCTTAATCTGATAATGTTAAGCTCTGGAATTTTGCTATCTTGTCCCAATGCTAGCTTTATTCAAGCCTGCCTTTCACTTTCCTACTCCCATTCCTCTCTCTCTCCTCCTCCATCTCGTGTTTTAAAACACCATGTCTTATATTTCTTCCCACCTTTGTTGCAACACACATAAGTTAACACTGCAAAGCCCTTTCTTTGTGTGTGTCCACGCCTCCGCTTTCACAGGTCGGCCTCATCATTCGTTAGTTTCAGCAAGCTTCCAAGCTTCTCAAGTGTAAAAGAAACATTTGCATTTTTCTTACTTTGGGTTAGTGATTTTCACGAGATTTACGAAAACTGGGAGAGGAAATCGGGGCGATATTCAACCGAACGTCTCCGGGGGGGTGAAATTGCAGGCTATCCGAGAAGGCAAACGCTGCGTGACGGTATTCTGGCTGAACGACGTGCTGCTGCGGAAGAAACTTCAGCCGCCGTGGCTGGCGCTGCACTTCCCATCGCCCTACTCGGACGACAAGCCTTGCAAGAACCAGGTGAATGGATGGGTCCTGGGCTCGGTAACCTGGGCGTTTTTTGGGTACCACGGTCTGGAATCTCAATGATATGATCTCGCGTAATACGTTTATCAGTGTAATCCGTTTTTCTTTTTATTTATGGCGATTGTCCTGTAGAAGCGGTGCATTCTGATCTGGAAATTACCGTAAGATAATATTTTTGCATGAAATTTAGCATTGCAATTGCAGAAGTAAGTTATCGCGAGTATTTAAAAATATGTGTGCATATTCCAGTCAACTAGCACAAATCACATTACAATATGTCATGAAAGGCGTATTGCGTGGCCACGGTAGCTGCGGCTGAAGTCACGTCACGGCCAGTCGCCGTGCGAGACTCGCAGTCGCGCAACTGCTGAGGTAGTCGCATGGCCATCCCCCGCAACTTCTACAGCTCATTAAAAAAGGAGCGCCAAAATCCAAGAAAAATAAAAACTACAATAATGTTGAAATGAATATGTAAGTGGGTCGATACCAGGGGCAGTAAAACGCCGGTGGTGTTGCACTGCCTCCAGGATTGGAGCATGTTTTTCAACATGTGTGCATATGTTCTGAACTTTTAGAGCTCGTTTCGGATAATACGATATTCAGATGTTTTATTTTCTGGTTCTCTGGAAAAACTTATCGGGAGATTTCACTTAGTTCATGGAGTTCTGTAGCTTTTCGACTTTGGGGAATGCTCATTTCTTTCGAATGAGAGCTGAGGAACACTTTTTTGTCTTGGAATTGATGCAATGAAGCAGCGCACAAGCCTACGGACTTTGTAAATGGTAATCCACATACTAAGGAATGTCTAGGGCATCGTTAGGCATAAATGGATGGCTGAGATCTTGTAAATTACTAGTGCTCAAACTTGAAGAACATTACACTTGGGGGCGGGGACTTCTGGGGAAATTTAGGAGCTTGAGGGACCCTCGAGGGTACTCCCGAGTACCTCAGGTACCTAGGAGTACCCAATCTGAGGACCCATGGTCTATTAGTTTAGTTAGTGTCAACATTGAGGTAGGAAATGAAATGTTAAATCTCTGACTTGTTGGCAATTTGTTATAACTCTAAGAATAGTATTTCCACTGTGGGGTGGGCATCCAAATGCCTCTGCCACATTATAATAACTGTCTTGATTTGTGTGATATTTGTGTAGAGAAGCAGCTAAAGTTTATTCTCTATTTTGGGTTATCGAGACGTGAAAAAAAAAAAAACAATACAGAAACAGTTTTCGTATAACAAACCAGGGATGCCTCAAATGCATTTTCCAGTACAGAGGAGTGTGCTATACCAGGGTTTGACTGCATTTTTTAAACACACACTGTAAATGACTTGTGTCCAGATTTCAGCTTTTCTTTCACCACAGTTGTGAATCCCTGCTAACGCTTTTCGCCAGTCTATAAAAGCGCTAAAGATAATTTGGGTCTCTATCTGACCCTTTGTACTTTTCTGTTGCCTTGTGCCAGATCATCAGCGCCAGTGGATTCGATCGGGAAGAGAGGATCCGACTGAAGCAGATGGTGCTCGCCACGGGTGCCAAATACACCACCTATCTGACACGCCTCAACTCTCTGCTCATCACCAAAAAGTGAGTGACGCAGTGCCTCGTGAATCTTCTTGGTCTCCGAACTTGTCTTCTCAGAGCGTTCCACAGGTGGTTCTTAAAGCTATGAAGTCTTGTTTCTGTCTTGTGAGTGGAGCTATAATCACAGACAGTTTCAGAAACGCAAGACGTGGCGACTCCTCGGTGTCTTTTTATCGTTCTGAAGCCAGTGAGGTTGTGCCATTACCGTAAAATTCCGTATAACAGTCCTTCCCGAGAGAGCGCCTATCCTGTCTTTTGGGCTGAATATCCATAACATGAGAATTCCCAAACACCGCCCACCCCCCCTTCCCGACGGATATCGATCGTGCGATGTATGACAAGGTTCACATCGACTGCGCAGTCTGCAGTACCGGCTGTGTGATGAGAGTGTTTGTAACGGGTTCCCTCCTACACCAGGAAGCGCGAATCTGCTGCGTCCGCAATCTGCTGTATCCGTTTCCATGACATGCTTGTTCCTACATTTACTTATCCGCGATTTGTGCGTGCGATATCGGTTCCTGTGATACGCGAGTTTGTAGCGGTTTCCCGCAAGTTTATCGCACCATGAAATGCGAATCTGTTGCGTTCGCAATATGCAGTATCCGTTCCCCCGACATCCAAGTTCATAGCTCGTTCCCAAGCTTTTGTCCACGATATCGGTTCCCATGACAACCGAGTTTCTAGCGGGTTCTGGCGTGTTTGTCGCACTGTGCAGTGCGAATCTGCTGCGTTCTACGATATCCGTTCCCGTGACGGGAGTTTGTAGCAAATTTCCACGTGTTTATCGCACCACGAAACACGACCTTGCAGTGTGTCGCGATTTGTAGTATCGGTTGTCGTTCCATATGGGTTGTGGTGGGGGATAGGTATGGCGGCTGTGTTTATTACTAATTTTTCATAAAATCTAGCTGTCGCATCACCTCATATTTTTTACCATTTATCTCTTCATTTTGGGTTCTTACGGTATTTTATAAGATTTCTACGGGATTTTACGGTGGGTAATAAAAACGCCGAAGATTGAATCCCGAAGCAAGAGGCCTGAACATATTTAAGCCGTGCCACTGTTTCTTAAGCTGTGAGGGGCTATGGTATGTTTTGTTTAAATTGCACTCTGGTGGAGGCAATCTGGAGGACATGCTTTGACTGAAAACCACCTCTGCCGGTATGCCTGGGCTGATTCTGTCATCCGCTGCTGAAGAAATGGAGCCTGCTGTTTGAGAGAGAGAGAGATAACATGTATTTATTTAATGAAAGGTTCACTCGTTAATGGGTTGGTGTCCCTGAGGTGAGAGGGAAAAAGATTGTGGGGATTGATAGGAAAGGGTAAGTGACTATGTGTAAATCTAGATGAAGGGATGGACCCCAGAGTCCCTGATGTAGCTGTTTGGGAATGCTAGTGGATTTTAGTTTGCACGCTGCAGGGCTGTTCAAGTGGACCATTGGCTTTTAAATTGGCTTTTGGTTCTCATTACTAAAGTGCAGCCACTTGATGAAATTTTTGCTAAAGTTTTGATTTCCTCGATGCATAAATCTGTTTCTAGAGGGAACTGCCACACTGTAGCAATCTGGGATTTGCTGTGGTAACAGGCCGAGAGAGGAAAGCTGCATGCATTGCCCCCCGCCCTTTACTCAGTTTTCTCACATCAATCACTAAAATGGGTGAAAGTGCTGTTTCTGCACATTGAGGGAGAATTAACTTCTAAACCACACAGTAATGCTGTTAAACAAGTTTGTTATTTAAAAATTTTACCAAAGAGATCTTTCATAGGGTGGTACCTTTGTAGCTTTGGCATTTTTGGATTGCACTCAATCATGCAATCCAAAAAACAAAAATTTAAAATGGTTTTTTTGTTTTGTTTTGGGGGTTTGGGGGGGGGGGGGGGGGGGGGTCAGCAGGCAAGAGTAATTTTAGATTTCTGGACAGCTGAATTTTTGACAATGCACAAACATAGAGGGGTGGACAAGTCCTTCTCCACTCAATTAACTTTGTGTTTTGCCAAAAATTCAGCTGTCCATTTTAACAAGTAGGAACCAACTACTAGCTCGACGAAAGCCTGTAACGAAGCAACTTCCTTTTTTTTTAGTAAGCTGGTAGTCCAAGAAGTCAATTTCCTTGTGTGGCACCTGCAATATCCCCTTACCAACAACTCACACTTTTGTGACTTCTGCTTGTGTGATACTACTGCTTTCAATTTGTATAAAAGTGTTTCTGAACCTCTGTAAGGCTTAGTCAAGTCTGCTCCGAGGCCCACCTTGAACTCTTCAAACCTGCTGCGAAAGATTTTTTTTGGGGGGGTTTTAAATTGTTTTTAAGTTTCTTTAAACAGTTCCATGGAGCCAATCATTACGTGCATGATTTTTCTCCCCCTTTATGTCAAGAACCCTCCATTGGTGAAGACGGTGTTTGAAAGCCGGTGAATAAAATTGGCGGCAACCTTTATCTGCTCTCATAATGCATAAAATGCATTATCTAAGGAGCGATGGTCTAAATTTGTTTACAAGACATTGAAGAGCCACTTCAGGGAGTGAAAAATATATTGTTTTTATTAATTGCCATCACCTTCCTCCACAACATCATCATGCACTATGGTCAGTATTGGCATTTAGTAACTGTAGTAGGAGATTGGAGCATAGACCTTAATTGGCAGTGCACATAAAAAGTTGCCCAACCGGCACAGAGGTGGCGTCGGGCTGCAAACCAAGAGGCTCTGGGTTTGATTCGTGGTAAACGATGAATATATACAGGGTGTTTAACTTAAATTTGAACAGATATTTTAAAAATAAGCGGTTAGGGTTAGACGAGTTCTTTCTTCACAATGTATTTATCAGGCTCGGCGGGCATCAGATGAGGGGATAATCGTCACTCTAAGTTGACTAAATAACTAAAATCTGTTGATTAACTTCTTAATTATTTGTTTTAGGGATCCCATTGGAATTGCAATATTAATGGCAATTACTATTAGATGCTCAACAAATGTAAACAATTTGGGAAAAGGTAATGCTTTGAAGATATTGATCTTCAAATTTTGGCCCTTTTTTTTTGCTTGATTAAAAAATTGTGTTAAAGGAGTGTCGCAAGCCCTGCCCACAATGACGCTTGAAGGGTGAAGAAGTCGTTTCGATCACATCGTCACTATCTCAGCAGCGTGTCCTTGGTGAATGCGCCGACAGCACAAGTGACGCCGTGACTGAAATGACTAAGTAATTCTTTCAAGTTTCAAAGTGGGCAGGGCTTGCAACACCTTTTTTTGAGCGTAACTCTTAAATCGGGCGAAAAAACATAACAATTGATATATTAATATCGTAAAAACCATTACCTTTTCCCAGATTGTTTAAATTGGTTGGGCCTCTTAGTAACTGCAATTTCAACATGACCCCTAAGACCAATTATTAAAAAGTTAATAAATTTTAGTTAATTAGTCAACTTAGTGGGGTGATTATCTCTTCATCAAATGTGCTTCGAGCCCGATAAATTCATGGTGAAGACAGAACTCGTTTAACTCCTCAGCACCTATATTTAAAAATGTTTTAATTAGAATAAAACACCCCCTATATTGCTTTAATTTTGAGTGAGAGCTTGTGTGCATTGTTTTACTTATGTTGCAACGGTAACCAAACCACTTGTAGTATGTAAGGAGTGTGTGCCGGCAGGAACAGCTGGAGCCACGCGGGGACTCCCCAGTCTCGGAATGACGCCTAGAGAAGGCGCAAGTGTCCACCTCCAGAGTTTACGGAAGAAATGCAAGAGGACGCCAGGTCTCTGTGGGGATCAACAGAAAAAGGAGGGAGCACAGGACGCGACCATGTCGAGTCTGTAAACAAAAGAGTGTGTCGTTACAACGTAGGTCGGGGCTACCTCATGCATCGAAGGCATCGGCACTTCCCGACATGAAGCCTTACAAATGGTATGCCTTTCTGTGGGCTATGCACGGATGCACAGACAAATTTCCGGGAGCAGGGAGGCTATGTTATAAAGTACTCCACATTTTAATGCAAACGTCTTCCTTGGGGGTTGTGGCTGGGGGGCTCCTTGGCTCGACTTGCTTCTTCTTTTGCCCAGGCGTGAGGGCCTCAAGTACCAGAAGGCCCAGGAGTGGAGCATCAGCACGGTGAACCTGCAGTGGGTGCAGGATGTGATGCTGGGTCACTATGAGGCCCTGCGGCTGCCCATGGCCCAGAAGTACCAGCAATACGACGCGGCCGAGAGCACCTTCCGCCTAGACTACTCCCTCGTGCCGCACCTTATGGGTGAGCCTCACACTCTCTCTTCCCCCTTCCCCTCTCTCTCCCCCCTCTTGTTTGGACGGGTGCCCTGCAAGAATGTGCCGTTATCTCTCCAAATTTCATAAAAAAGTGTTATTATGTTCACATTTATTTTTGTTTGTTTATTGGTGCCCACCATGCCTTCCTAGTGGTGCATCACAACACAGACAAAAAGGAAACATACATATTGTGTACTAAATAAGATGTTACTAAATATAAAAAACCTGGGTAAGGACCCAGAAATTATCAAGTTCACATAGGTATTGAGTATAGAAAGCATGCAATTTTTGTTGTTGTTTTTTTTACAGCAGAGCTGTTAAGGGCTTGTTTCCCCAGTTTCGGGTCCGGTTCCAAACAAATGTAGACACACAACCACACAAAACTCTGGACAGCTACCGCCATTTATGAGCAATGGTGGCAACCAGACAACGAGTCTGGTTGTCACCGTTGCTCATAGATGGCAGCAACCTTTCCAGGCTATCATAGAAGAATGGATAGTTGGGCGAGTTGGTGGGAATTCATTGTAGGAAACAGCGCACAAAACAGACGAGGACGGAGAAACACAGGACGAGCGTACAGCTTCGCTGGTCTTCCTTCTTCACCAGAGTGGAAAGTTTAAAAGCTTTTTGTTGTTGTTGTTGTTGTTGTTGTTGTTTTTTTTGTTAAAAGACAACTTTGGTCAATATTTTTTTTTTTTTTTTTTAATTTGAGATTATGACTGTTTTTAGCTAAAGCAGTGTTCCTAAATTACAGGGTATAATTTTTTTATTTTTTTTTTCAATATTGTTTGTATCATAGTTTAATAAATATCACGGCCCAAAGTTTAGTTTCGGGCATCTACGGCAAAATGAAAACTATCTGCTAGAGGGATGGCAACACTGATCATCAGCCGTACAGCCCTAGCCATGTGGTTAAGGGGAGAAAATTGGCTTAGAAGGGCGGGAGGAACCATATGTTTGTCGTTTTAGATTTAGGCTGAGCTAGGCGGCACAAGCTACCGCCCATTACAAAGGGTATGGCCATTAACATCCATCCATCCATCCGGCCGCAAAGTGGCATCACAAGGGTGCTGCGCCAATGTTCCTTGACTAAAAGCTAACCCGCTTGCCGCCCGCTAAACAGCAGCTGGTCGTATCTTTAAAACCAGTTTTAGTGAAGTATGCGGCTTCACTTTTACTGAATATTTTGGCTGTGATCATAATTTGGACCAATAAAGCGATACCAGTCATTTATTTTGGTTTCGTTTTTGACTGGAGTTGCCCCGTGTTCACCTTGTATGCACTATTCCAAAGAAGATATAAGATTAAGCAGAATTGAACAAAAGTAAATGTGGCACTATTTCCCTTTGTTGGTTCAGCTAACATCAATATGGTTTTGAGCATCCACTCAGCAAGCTCTGTTTTCAATATAGCAGCAGATGGTGTAATATATGCTAGGCTGAGAACGTCTAGTGACTAAGCTCCACTCCAGTATGAAGGTTTGCATATTGCAAGTACTAGCATGACATAGCAGGAGACAGTATACAGTATATGACTGCTTCCAGTTTATAGCATCATAAAGCACTCTTCAAGTACATTATATAAGAGGGTGACTGTAGTGCTTAGAGTTTTGTTGAAGACAATGGCGGGTCTCCTGCTGCAGCCTTCCTGCCTCCATCCTCGGTGCCTAGATGGTGATAATGTCGACGTTGATCTTGTTGAATGAAAACAAAACTGAAACATAACACTACAGGGACCTTTATGGAATATTACTAATAATGAACAGACTTAAAAAATTGCATCATTTTAAGTATTTGGGTTGACCGAGGAAGTGCATATGAAGTCCTCCTTAATGATTGGTACTGAGTTCTGTTGTCCACTTCAGCGGCTTGGAGAGTGCCTGTGAAGCTTACAGAAGAGATTTGGAAGGTGAGTGTTTGGTCTCCTCTTAGTCTTGCATGAAGCATATACCTAGCACGCTGCACCTTAGGAGCCTCGAAGCAAATCGGCATACCGTAAAATCGCGATCTGCGGTATTTGTTCCCGTGAGATGCGAGTTCTTGGCGGGTTTTCGCGAGTCCTTCGCATCGTGAAATGCGGATCTGCTGCGTCGGCCACTTGCGGTATTCCTTCCCGTGACACAGGAGTTTGTAGTGAATTTTCGCGTCTTTATCGCATCGTGAAACGCGAATTTGCCGTGTCCGCGATCTGCAGTATCATTTCCCCCGTCACGTGGTTTGTAGCAAGTGCCCCGGTGCTTATCATTATTTTTGCTAAAGTTTTGCTGCGGCATCCCCAAAAATAACCTACCCCATGTTTTTCGCCATTTATCTCTACATTTTGGTGGGCATTCTTACGGAATTTTACGGTAGTTCTTTCTTTTCACTTCTTTTTCAACTGTAGCAAGAAACAGGCTTACCTCCAAAAAGACTCGACGGAGCGCATACCGTATTTACTTGCATAAGAACATACTTTCGTTTCCGAAAAATTTACACATATTTGGGGGGGGAGTGCTTATTACACAAGGTAAAATTTTTGCATTTACGCACTCCGTGCAAATGTCATATCAGGTGCCAATATGACACGGCAAGGTACCGTGGCACATCTCCACTGATGGAGGCGCAACCACGACTGGCCGGGGGTGCGCCACAGTAACCATGCTTTATAAATTGCGAACCTTTTTAGGGCACTTTCGACGTGCCTTTTGCCGAAAGAAAAGCGCCCTATGAAGCTTGCCTAGCACGGAGAGCAATGCGACCATTCTTAGGCCTAACCACTTTCACAATTTCACTGTCCGAAAATCATCATACGACTGCGTGTTTGCTGACATCAATGCATCTGATAGGCGAAGAATGTATGGGGCTGGGCAATTCCTCAACCCAAGCTTCGTCAAGTGTGCGCGCCGCTCGGTTTCATGGTTGATCACCTCCGCAACTACACACTTGCATCCATTACGAGAGCGGCTTGGCTTGGCGTGACTTGGCCTGACCGCTTGGTGCCAAAAGAAAATTGGCTTGGTGGCTAGCTAATTTGGACGCAATTCGAGACTCGCGGAGCCAAAAATCGGAGGTGCGCATTCATTACGTGTGGGAAAAAAAAAGACCAAATATTGGTACCCGTTGTGGGGGGTGCGTTCATTATGTGAGTGTATGCGAGTAAATATGGTAACTAGCTTCCTTATGCTTTTCCTTTATCTTTTACTCCAACAGCGGTTCACAGCTTCGGATGCCTTCAAGGAAGCCCAGAAACGAAAACTGGAGAATTCCAACAGTAACAAGTCGGATGCAACGACCCCCACTAAACAGCAAAGGTGTGTGCATCTTGCAGTAAGCTGCAGTCACTGCGGTTGAGGAGAAAAGACATCTTTAGCTACTGATGTGGTGAAGGTGTGGCATCTGATTCTATTGGCAGGCTCATAATCTTCGATGCAGTCTGTGAGGAATATCTGGCATAGTCAAACATGATGGTTAAGGACCCCACAAACAAGTCTAAATTCCAGTTGTTGCTTTTATCTTTTTTCTTTAGGTACCGTAAAATACCGCGGAAGCACCCACTTCGTTCAAGCACCTACTACTAATGTTTCCCAAACTTGCAAATTTTTCAAATTATACATTAAATGCCTGATCTGACCGGACAAGCGCCCACATCTAGATTACCATATAAACCCGTGTGAGGGCCGCACTATGTCTTCCTGATTTGAGGGCAAATTTTCTAGGTGTAGCCCATACACGGATTAAAAGAAAATATCTGTATCCACATTCCTAAATGAACATATATGAGCGCACTCGGCTGCACTGGTCGGAAAAGCCTTCATTCCGGAATCCGGACTCAATTGTCAGTCGGATTTAATTAGTTTACATACTGCGCAATACGCTTTTTTTTTCCGTATTTGATAGCATGCACGGCAACTTTCGGCTTGAATCCCGTATGACTGTTGAAGTGATACTCGCCCATAGCTATCAGATTGCGCGAAAGGCAGTCAAATCATGGCGCTTTGAAACGAATCAAAGAACAAAAGGAAACCTTCCCAGAGCGTACAGTGGGGTTCGGAAACCTGAGTGCACGCGCTAGCCGAACCCACTGAATCCCCATTGCTCGCGCTTGCCATGGAACCTGACATATCCTTTATCTTTTCTCAATGCCTTGCCGCAACATAAATGCATCCAGACTGTGTGGCCAACCACGATTGAGGTCGACAGCCATTATGCCATACGGTGATACGGATGAGTGGAGAGCAAATATCAAGGATGCGGACACGTGCCGCTACGTGCTCAGGTAGTGGCTAGCACCACCTAGCGATATATATTCATAGAAACATGGCATTACAGTCGACACGCCTCAAAAACAAAGGGGTGCGGCGCATACGCGAATAATTCCTGCAATTTTTTTTCCAACACTTTGTCCTAAATATGGGGGTGCGGCCCTTACACGGCTGTGGCCCTTACACATGATTATACGGTAACCCTGTTCCCACTGAAAGTGGGGTGGACGCTCCCCTAGTATTTTACGATATGTCTTGTTGCATGATATGAGCGTATTGCAATGTAGCGAGTTTTAACTAAAAGCTTTTTTTGAAACACATTAAAGAGGGTGAGATGTTTCAGTCTATTGCTCATCGTGAACGCTTCTTCATGCAGCTGGAGCCGAATATTGAAACCACGATAATGCTCATCGTTTTGGTGGAGCTGATACTTGCAACACAGTAAAAGATGAGAACACTGTATGTTGTTCCAGCGCTTCCTCACAGATACACAATTTTTCTCTCCCAAGCAAAGGGAAGAGAACATTTACTAAGGCGGAAACCTGACTGGTCCCATTGAGCGAAAAATCGGAGTAAATGGCCATAAAAATGTGATTGAGGCACAGACGCCGCTCATTCGTATGCTCAAGGACAGCACTGTCCTTGGCATCGTCCTCCAGTTCGTCCTAGAAGTCATCCTAGACCTCTAGGATGACCTAACTTGTCCCATTACATGAAAAACAAGCGGCAGCGTTGTGCCCGAAAGAGGGCCATAAAAATATGTCATCAAGCGTCATCAGCGTGATGTCATCAAACGTCATCATACATCATCAGCGTGATGTCACTGCCGGAGCGCCTTGCACAAAAGATGCGCTTCGGACTTCATTTGTGCTCGTTGTGTTTCGTGCGATGGACTTTGAGGCGTTTATTTACGGCCTCGACATCGGCAGCAGCGTCTACATCTACGGCGGCTCTTGGAGGCAAGCGTGGCCAACAACACAAATTTGCCACAGCCTCCTTAAGTTGGGCTAGTTGGCTGGTCATGTTAGAAAGGTTTTAAAACAGTGCAAAAAAAAGAAAGACGATGGACCAGTGGAAGGACAACACAGACAATAGCGCTGACTCCTTAAAGGGGTCATGAAACGCTTTTCCAACTTTTTCCTGTTTAGCTTTCCTCCTCAACCCATAAATCGCGCTTTCTACCAAACAGTTCAAGAAGACAGAAAGTTGGGAGTCAAAAGTAAACGGTCAGCTAGACGATAGGGACGAAACACAGACAGGGAGAAACAGAAACAGAGGCATACACACCGCTGTATGTCTGTTTCTGACACAAACAAGCATCCTCGGACTCTTGTTTGTGACACAAACAAGGGTCAGAGCAAGAGGGGGAGTCCCCTCTTGCTCGGATTCTCAATCCGGACACATCCATTCTCCCCCTAGAAGATTAGCCCGTCGCTCAAAATTCAGACAGAAGTTGCTTCCCTCACCCCGTTCACCCCAAAGCTGACAGTGCTGTGAAAGCTACGTGCTCGCTGGGCCCGCCATACTTTTGCTACATGATCACCCCTCTCGTGCGCACCCACGCACAGAGAATGAGGTCAGGTGATGAAAGGGAGGCGGGTGATTGGTCCGGCAGGCGCGTAGCTTCCACCACAATGTCAGCTTAGGGAATAAGTGAGGTCCGGTGTCGTGTGATGTGCGTTTGGACCCGGTGACGCGCTTTGAGGACTGCAGATGTATCACAGTTTAAAAGCAGAGAGCTTACGAAGGAAACGAGGTACGAAATAGTCCTCTGTGTTTTCAAATTCTCGTACCGAAAGTCAGGCTTTTGACTTTCTACCTCTTTTTCTTTTGACCCACTGAACGATGTTCTATTAGTAAAATCCCAATTTAAATTGATTTATCCCTCCCCAAAATTTGTTTCATGGGCCCTTTAAGTGTCCTCCTCTAGGCATCGTCCTCAGCGTCGTTTTCTAGGCATTGCTCTCGTCGTTGTCCTAGAAGTCGTCCTAGACGTCGTTCTTGACGTCGTCCTATAGGTCATCCTAGAAGTCATCCTTGACGTTGTTCTTGACGTCTTCCTAGAGGTCATCCTAAATGTTGTCCTCTAGGCGTCATTCTTGACGTCGTCTTAGACATCATCCTCTAGGCTTCGTTCTTGACATTGTTTTAAACGTCGTCCTTAAGGACGTCTTGAGGTCGTCCTAGAAGTCGTCTCGGACGTCGTCCGAGAGATCGTCTTGGACACTGTCCTCAACATCATCCTAAACTTTAATATGTGTAGAAACACTTCTCAAAAACATTTTTCCGCGTGACTATAATGTTTTCGCCTTCCTGCACGTAAGCAATCTTAAATGTACTCGTTTAAATTTTTTTTTTTTTTTAATGTTTCATACAAAGGTTAATGTGTAAAACAAAAGTCAAATGTGCCTTGTCTGCTCACTCCACATTAAGGATCTATTCTGAGCATTTTTCGCCCGAAGATTAGAAATTCCTTCATGGTTTCTTTCATAATTGGACAATGCATTCACTCGAATCGGCTGTCTAGCAAGGTTTGGTGTCCAGTTTGGGTAGTGGAAGAGTCAGTTTCTTGAAGATGTACCATGTGTGCCCCAATTACGATGTTACACAGACCAGCTCAACCTATGCCGCTCATGCCCATTGTCACTGCTTCTGCGTAGGATGACGCCCGAACTGGAGGAAAACATCCCACTCACGCCGGCAACAACTCCCGGCGATGACAAGGACAAGGTGCCGCGCGTCCTCTTCACCGGACTCAAAGATGTGGCAAGTCTCAAAAAGGCAAGTATGCTCTTTTAAACTTACCAGCATTCCTAGATCTCTCTTTCTATCTCTCTCTCTCTCCTCTCTCTCTCACACTTTCGTAATGCCTTAACTGATTGTTCAAACGTCTTGTTACGTAGTTGCTAGTCACAGGGGCACTCACGCGTGAAGACAGCTGACCGGTTTTTGTGCCTGGGAAAAATATTTCAGAGTGCCCTGCCTACTCAATAAGAGGTTGAATGCCTAATCTGAATATTATAACAGTTAAACTTTGTCATTGTCAGTGAGAGGCAGCTGTGCAGCTGTCTAGGTGCCTTATGATCTTATACAAATAGCGCATTGGGGGTGGGGCATCTACTTTTAATTAAATAATAGTGAAGTTATGCTGTATGTGTACCTCATTCAAGGTAACAAGAACTTTTGAACTTTTCCAGACGTTTTTTTATCTATTTCAATTTTCATGCACATCTTAAAAAACAAGTTTGGTGTTTCCTCTATGAAATCTCTTCTCATTTTCTATAAGGTATACCGAGTTGTTTGTTCCCTTTTCGGTATTCTACTACAAAGTTATGATATTTGTTTCTTCCCATCCTGCTCCCTTTTTAAAAATTTTGGGTTATTTCTTGTAAACTATTGCATCGGTCGTTCACTTTCTCACTATTTATCATTGATTTGAGGTTTGAAGAAAAATTGTTGTATCTTTCTTCACCACGTTTTTTGTTCCGCCTTTGGTTCAGAGTGTAATTCAGCTCGGGGGAGTGCTGGCCAAGTCTCCAAAGGAGTGCACCCACGTGGTCACCGAGAAGATACGACGCACAGTCAAGCTGCTGTCGGCCTTCGGGTCGGCCAAGTTCGTGGTCACCCCACGCTGGGTCACGGACAGTGCCGACTGCAACTCGTTTGCAGGTAACCGTCGTCCTGTGGTCGTTTTCTTGGGCTCCTAGGGTTTTCAAACTTTTTGGTCCCACAGAACCAGCCCGCAGCGGGGGTGGGGGGGGTGAGGTGCAATTTGGGTGCTCGCGGAACCCATGAGACCAGCTCACGGAACTCCTGTGTTCCGCAGAATCCAGTTTGAGAACCCCTGCATATAGACCATTCCACTAAGGGCTCTTCGGGCAGGGCCATTTTGTACGACTGCAGCGCCACCTACGTACATCTGGGCATGTCAACGAAATTGTTGGGATAAAAGAGGGAAAGGGCATGCGCTGTTTTCATTGGTTCTCATCGTTTGGGCAGTTCTGGTGTGCTCTACTGCCGGAACTGCTTAAACATGGAGGCTCGTTTCCCTCTCTCCTTTCGTCCTAGCAGAATGGTCTATAGTTTGTTTCACTTCATGTGGGAGTGAAGTTGAAGCTACAAGTACAAGCATGTCGCCCTGAACGACGCTTGCAAGTACGAGCCTGCGTGCTTGGTGGAAACGCTGGAAGCTTGGAGCTCACAGTTAATGTGAAACAGAGTATAACGACTAGCATTTGTGAAACTTGAGGTTGACGAAGAGCAAGACATTCATTGTTCACATCAGCATGAGTGCCAGCTCCGTATTTTACAGTTTAGCAATGTCTCTCACTCACATCATCAAGGCTTCCTGGAGACAACTACGGTAAGTTTGTGTGATAGCTGTGAGAGTGGGATCGTGGCATAATTCACTAATTGAACTGTCCTCAGAGTAGGTGATTAGTGAAAAGTAGGTAAAAAAGAGGGGGTGTAGTTTCACTCAAAAATGGGGAGTCAGGCTTGTGGCTCTTCGTGAAATTTTTTCCCCACCCGTGATCAGCAAACGTCAGTGTGCGGGGTGAAAAGATGGTGCTCTGTGATTGGTTTGCAGATGAGAAGCAGTATGCGGTTGATGACCCTGATGCGGAAAAGACGTTTGGCTTCAGTCTGGAGCAGGTGCTTCAGAGGGCAGACAGGACTCCACTTTTCAAGGTGAGGGCCATCATTTTTATTTTTTAATTTCACTTTGTATGTGTCAGACCAACTTGTCACATGGCCATAAGGCAGGCATCACAGTCCGGAAAGTTGGATAGCACGAACCGAAATTCTTGATCTCATTTCCATGATGACCGCCTGCACGCCATTCAACATGTAGAGGGTCATGACACGGTCAACCAAAAGGTTCTGTCAAACCCTCTGCAAAAAGCTGGAAAGCAAAATAAATGGTATATTAGGGCACATACGGGTGTCTTATTTTATACAAGACACCTAGATGCAAGTCTTTTGGGGGCAGGCCTTAACCCTACAACACATGTCTCGGCCCACTTTGTTTAGTTCTGCTGCGATGGACCCAATTTCATTATACAGTTACTCATATTAGTTCATTCCTTACTTTGAGAGTCACACTAGTGCGACCATCACCAACGTGGGCATTGCATTGACTCCTTTGTCTCATTTTGCAGGGAATGATCTTCTTCATCACTCCTGGAGTGTACCCTTCTCCCCCGCTGCTCCAGGAGATTGTGGAGTCTTGCGGAGGAGTGGTGTACCTCAAGAAGAGGCCCACTCTCAAACAGGTGTCCACCGTCACGCAGGTCAGTGTGGTTTCTGCGTAGCACAGTATAGTCTCAATGAAATTCAGAATACCCTCAAGGGGCCAATGAGGGTGACTACTGAAGCAGCTACAGAGCTTAGCTTTAATGAGCCTTGAAAAGGTTGGAAATTTACTTCAGAATTTGTCCAAACGTGAACTATATGGATCGCATTTACAGGGCCCGCTCTTAGCACTTTCAACTTCGTGTCGCGTAACCTGGGTGACACCATGCTGATTACGTCATGGTGTTCACGTGTCGTCATCAGAAAATCATTAAATCATCATCAAAAAAGAAACAAAAGCATTCAGAGCAAAATGGTCAGATGCTTATTTTGTACCAAACGCTTTTGTGCACGCAACCCCACAGTGCGTGAACGCAATGCCGATGCCCAACAACTTCGCTATGACTGTACTCTGGATTAACACGAAACTGCTCAATTTTTAATGGGTCGCAATTGCTATCGAAGATGTGCATTAAGTATCATATTGTTCCGGGTTCTAAAAAGTCCAGGCTCATTTCTACTTTTGGATGAAGTCTGGCACCACACTGTTGTGCGGTGCCAGATTGTACCCTGGTGCATGCAATGTTCATTTCGATGCTCCTTTGGAGGCCTGAGAGACGTCCAAACAAAATTATGGGAATGAATCCCTTTCATCTTTACATGGTCCCTAAAGTTTGCAATAGCTTTGTTTCAGTTTACTTACTCGCATTTCTTTTCCCATCCGGGTTTTACGAAGGGAGGAACCAAGTTCCTGGTGATTTCCTGCGACAACGACCTTCACCTGTGCCGGGACTACATGGCGAAGAACATTAGTGAGTGAGCCAGGGTGGATTGAAGAATGGTTTTATTCTGACTTAAAGCAGTATGCTGAATTGCTGTCAATGAGAACCACTCAAAATGTTATTTACCTGACGGCAAAAAAAAAAAATAGTGACAAATCAGTAACTGTTTTGTGCAGTGTAATCAGCTTTAAACTACAAGTATCCAATTCCCTTGAATTTTAAGCAATAAATTCCTCGTGGAAAAGCTTCAACGTCTGGTATTAGTAGAAAATCAAAAATCCAGCACATTATCAGCAGTAATCCTCTGCATTGTGTGAGTTTCTTTAACCTCTTCAGCAGAAGCGAGTTTTACGCGAAATTTACCACATGCCACTTAAATCTTATTTTGATCCTAAAGGTCTAATCAGTGATGTGATTGCTGCGCCAATTGCGCCAAACTGCGCCAAGGGGCTAACCCTGCTACATCCTGCTACATTTTGCCAAAATATGGGTAATCTGCACCGGGCCTGTGCCAAAGGACCAGTTTTGGTCGCCTTTCAAAACCAAAACTAAACTGAGTACCGTAATTGAGTATGCGTGAGCTAGGTGGCGCAAGCAGCCACCTGATACAAAGTACCCTGCATCAATCGTGACATTGTAACCCTGGAGCCGGAAAAAAGAAAGGACGTAAGGACAGGCACAAAACTTAAATGTCAGTATTGAACCAGCTCGCCTCCTTGCCTTACTTACACCAATCGTTTATCCGGTCTCGCATGGTTTTTCCCGCCGTCTCTTCTTTCGCGCTCTCGTCGTCTCGTGAATCTCGTCTCGTGTTGTTTTTTTTTGTTTTTTTTTTTTGTTTTTTCAATGACAGATGCGGGCGTGTGCGGACGCTCCGACACTAATGTGCTGGGTACCAGCCATGCTGTCACACTGTGAAACGAAATTATGTTTTTTCGCGGCGAGAGTTTCTTTTTGAGCTGAAGCACTCGCTTCTGAAAGCAACGGCCGTGGGAAAACTATATTTGGTCCTGCCTGCCAGTCCGCACGTCGCTACAGATATGGAGCTTCCTAAACCGAAACATAAGGACCGCCGCATGTTCATCAACATTCCTGTTCTTGTTTAAAACATACGCTACTACAAAAATCAATTTTTAACTCAAAGACTGCTCTGTGGAAGTATTGATTACCTAGGTTTCTCTTGGTTGGCTTTCTTTCGAGAGGGACCCCTTTACATGAAAAATCTGTCGCGCAAGAAAGTTGGTGAAGAGAAGTGAGCTAAAGCAGAGAAGGCAATGTCTGCACGCTGAACCCGCACGACGCGCTTGTTTGTCTCGAGTTCAGTCGTTGAACAAAGCGCTCCAAGAACGTTTTGACCCTGACTCGCGATGTCCTGCATCAATGTGCTCAGGTTCTTTTTTTCTGTATGTTTAGCTTGTACCTGCGTGCTGTTTAGCACGCGCCGCTGAACTGTTTTTTGTCGCATGCTGGGCAGTTACATTTTACATACATTTTTGTCGACCAGTTGGCGACGGAGCGGAGTGGCATGGTTTCGCTTTCGTTCGAACAGCCGTTGTCTCCGCTCGCGCGACGAAGCACGTACAGCTGCAAGGCTGCCGAGGTTGCCCTGACGTGCACGCGAACATGATTGCACGACAGAGGCACCAGCCGGGACGCTTGCAATCCACTGTTTTACGTTTACTTTTGACGAAAATCTGGCACGTCGGGAATCAGTAAAACGGTGGCAAGCGGTCTTTCAGAATTGCTCGGCAACGCCTACAGCACTGTACACTTGTGGGATGTCTTAATGTCCCTTTGGAGATATGGAAAGTGGACATTCATTACTAGCCTAAGCCAAAGCGGAGCTTGCAGCAGCTTTGCGGAAAGTTTTAAAAAGCAAAAAGTACCCGCTAGCTGTAATGTGCCTTTTTCTTGTGTGCAATTTTGCATTGCACTGCAGTAGCTATGTGTTTCATCAGTCGGGGACTGCTTCCATTTATTATATTATATCACTAGTAAACCTAATGCTGTGATATTCACTACTAAGCTGGTCATTTTCAAATGAATTTTAATATGTGAAGTTTGATTTTCAAATAAATTTGAATATGTGAAGTTTGGTTCTTATCTATCTATAGTGGGTACATATATATGTATCATTTAACTGAAGCATTGCAAAATGTGTCATGTCATTGACATTTCAGTTACACCTTGAAAGACTCCTAGGTAGTCGAACTTGACCATAATTCGTTTATTTCAGCGAGCAAAGTGCACTTCGTTTGTCCAGCACCTAAAACAAATATTTTTATTTTTCTAAGAATATCTGCTCCGAAAGCCACTTTTGGTGCGCGAAACACTGTTTTGGCTGCTCCAAAAGCCACTTTTGCTGGTCCAAAACACTGTTTTGGCTGCTCCAAAACGGCTTAGGCCAATCACATCACTGTCTACTTCTCCGCAAATAATATTGAGGTATGTAAGGAGCACTCAAGGAACGAACAATGGTTCGCCGATAACCACAGGTGTTTATTTGACGATCATAGAGGAGCGAGCTGTTAAGACAGAAGCACACGTCAAAAAATTGGCCGAATCCCACATCCAAAGATGCTTTAGAGCCAAACTCCCATCTTTTTTTCTGGCCATCATCGCTTTATTCACAACCAGTCGCAAGGTGCACATGTAATGAATATTGTTCGCCAACATCGCATGATAACAGATTGCAGCTCGAGCAAAAAGCAGGCTACATGTATTTAAACACGTGCACAACCTGGTTATTAACGCAGGCAGTGCAGGCTAGTACTAGCAAGAAATTATGCAAACATGCAGGACAGGTGTGCCAAGTTAAAAATGTGTTTTTCTTATACTAGTTATTCAAGTAGAGGCCAGGCTCTTTAAATCGACCGTGAAATTCGGTTTCTTATTGTATCGCTCTACGACTTTGTGTTGCGTTGCCCACAGATGGTGCATTTTTTTTTTGTAAAATTTGCAAAGAGCGAACTTATTTGAGGAAAAAGTCAAGAAAGAAAAAGGCTTAGCTCCTATGGAAACGCAGCGAAGCCACCGGTCTTTAAACAATACGGCGCCGTTCCGCACGGGAGACAAGAGATGGCGCAAGTGGTCGCAACGCCAACTGCCGCCAACGAACGAGCATACAGCGCCGAGAGCCGGCATCTTTAGCAGACAATCTTTTCGACTCAAAAGCGGCGCAAGCTTTTCTGATATCAGTTTCAAATGCATTATTTTATCATCCTTAATAATAAAGCACATTGAATGGACACATAATCAATTAAAAGATAATTTGTCAAATTCTTTTGGCTGTTTTTTTTTTTTTTTTCGTGGTACTTATGTTGTCTGCTTTGCAGTTTATTGTCGTTACCGCGCCTGTTTTTGTTCCTGCGACTGTCGCCGCCTGCGGAACGCGCGCCGCTTTTGAGTCAAAAAGATTGTCTGCTAAAGACGCCGGCTTTCGCCGGTGTATGCTCGTTCGTTGGCGGCAGTTGGCGTCGCAACCGCTTGCGCCATCTCTTGTCTCCCGTGCGAAACGGCGCCGTATTGCTTGAAGACCGGTGGCTTCACTGCGTTTTCATGGGAGCTAAGCCTTTTTCTTTCTTTCTTTTTCCTCAGGTAAGTTCGCTCTTTGCAAATTTTACAAAAAAAATCCACCATCTGTGGGCAGCGCTGCACAAAGTCGTAGCGTGATAGGTTAAGAAACCGAATTTTGCGGTTGATTTAAAGAGCCTGGCTGCTCCTTGAATCACCCAGTACATACATCATCGAACAATTTTTCGGACTTCTGAGGGACCGAGAAAACGTTTGAGTAATAGAGCAGTCCGAATATTCAGCAGATTAAAAAACTTGCTTATTACATCTAAGCAAGCTTAAAAAAAGCCGTCAATAGTGCCTTGCTGTAGCTTACAGCTCAGCTTCCGTTCGCCCACTTTCTATTAGCTCGAGAATCAATGCTTTCTCTTCTTGCGTTATGGTCAAGTACTTTTTGCGCTTCTTAGCAATACTTCGCAGCGATGGAAGAACAGATGGGGTCATGACGCCCATGGCAGCTAGTACAAAAACATGATTCACCGAGACGAGAGGCGCAAGTCCACGACCTTAGAATGTTGAATGAACAAACCAAAATGGTAATAATGAGGATGATAATAATGCTCAACTAGATAAAAAAAAAAGCCGTAGCATAGCGTCACCTAGCAGTAGGACCTAGCAGTATTCATGTAACGCTGCCAAACCAAACCAATTCATGTGCAGCCAACATTGAATCTAAAATGGCGGCTTCGCAGTGGTGTTTCTCCCTAATCGCTCTCGACGATTTTATTCGAAAAATCTAACTTTCGGACTTCAAGCTGTCCGAAGCATTGGCCGGAATATGCACTATTTTTATCGGGTAGGTCGCGGTTCTTCCTTTAGGTCCGAAATATCGAACAAGTCTCAATTATTGGTGTCCGAAAAATCGGTCGGTGGCTGTAAATAGATAGCTTCCGAGTACTTCAAGCAACTACTGTGTATCAGCCTCAGGCACGTAGCCAGGGGCGGGCCCATGTGGCCCTGGCCCCCACCCCTTCCGAAATCTTACATTTTGTTGGAGCCTCCTGTCCCCCCTCCCCCTCATACAGCATTTTGTCATGGGCGGTCCCCCCCTCTCGAAACAAAATCCTGGCTACGTGCCTGCAGTGTATACTTACATTTCTTGCTCGTCCCACTCCCTTCTGCAGACATCTACTCGGCAGAATTTATTCTAACGGGTGTGTTGCGCCAGTGCGTCGACCTGGACGCCTTTCTCCTGTCGTGACGCTCACTGCAACAGATGTGAGTATCAAGAATGACCCCCGTGTCTCTCATTGTGCGTTTCACTTAGTTTGGGAGGACAGCCGTCATCACCGTTTTGTTTCTCTTTTGCTTTTCTACAGGTGCGTCGAAGGATTAATTCAAGAAGATCAAACGAGCGTTGTCAAGTCGGAACTGACAAGCCAAGTCTGCAAAACCAAGGAACCACTTCATCTTCGCGATCATGTACTACCATCCCTTCTGTCGGACCATCTCGAGACATATCGCCCTATGCAAATTTGATTTAGGTTGCATGTCGCAGACCGTTTTCGCTTAGAACCATCGTCAGTTGTTTTGTCGTCTGCACGCATTTTAGTTGATTTTGACGAAGGTCGTCCTATTGCAACGTCACGTACGACCATGATTCAGCATTCATTTTAACCTTGAACTGCCGCAGAAAGTCGGCCCATTTTGTTAAATCTGTTTCTGTGACCAGAGTACTAGTCAATGGTGCCACATTGTCGCAGGTTTAGCGCCTTTCTTGTTAGTGCTTTTTTGTTTGTTTTTTTAAATGTGACTGAAGCATTTGTATGTTTGTATGACCGTTTCCTGCTCCCATTGAGGAAGCAATATGATTTTAGTGTGAGCCCTTTGTACAATAAATGTGTTGAGTTTTCTTTTCAAAAGCGGTGTCCTGCGGTGATTTTCACTTTCAAGACCTGTCGTCACTAGATGCAAGGTTGGAGGGATCTCGGAGCGATAAAGCCCAACCCACGTGGTGCGTATTCTCAACATTTTTACGACGCTAGTAATCCCCGCATCTAGAGAGCACCGTGCAGGATTTTCTGCGAGAGGGTCAGTCTCAAAGCACCAAGATCTAGTTCTGCAAAACATTTGCAGAACTATTTAGTGTCATACATGAGTCACATTTCACCCCTTAGGTCAGAAAACTTTTTTCTTTTGAGTTTTGAAGCATGTTGCATTGACAAAAAAAAAGGGGGGGGGGGGGGGGGGGAATGAAAGACGTTTAGAAATCTGTAATGCGAAATTAGAGCGCAGCTCTTGAGGAGGAAAAAGGGAGGGTATGCCCGTCCTCCTCCAGTTGAGTTTCCCCCGCTAAACTTTGCAGAGGAAATGACATGACATGACTTGGTGTTACATCACCTATGAACAAATTCAGTTTCCCGGCTAGATTCAGTGGGAAAATTGACGTCACGTGACCTCAACACCAATTCAATTCCCCACTAAATTTAGCGGGAAATTGAATTGGTGTTAGGTCACGTAGTGGGGTATTGGATTGGTGTTGAGGTTACGTGACGTCACTTTTCCCGTTAAATCTGGTGGAGAAACTGAATTTGTCCGCTCAATCTATCGCAGAAACTGAATTTGCCTGCTAAATTTAGCAGGAAATTGAATTGGTGTTGAGGGTCACATCACATAAATTTTCTTGCTAAATTTAGCAGGCCGGTTACGGCGACGCCGATGCCGCGAAACCCCTGAAACAGGCGCCTAAGAGCTGTGCTCTAAAAATAAAAAAGTAATGATATAATGGGCAGACATTACCTGAATTGGAACCTAGGTGAACCCCCAATCTCTCCCGTATCACCAGTCCTTTTGCACACAGGTGTACACAAGGCAAAATCTCCTAACCTTAAGCCATGCGATGACATATATATAACACAAATATTGTAGGATGCAGCAGTACGGTGTGCTAGAAAATGGCTCACTTTGGCTGATGTACCCCTCTGCTTCGTTGGAAGGGAGAAAGGTGCAAGCTTTGTACGCTACCTCCTTTTGTTCATTACACCTCTGCTGTCCGAACAATTAAGTTGACGTTTAGCAGTCGCTCTAATGTCCCTTCGAGAAAAGCTCGTCATACACTTTCTTTTGATACCAAATTTAACTATTCATGGAACAAGTCCCTAAAATGCAAAGGGGACAGTGATAACAAAAGATGCATTTATCTAATTTGATTAGGTCTGTATTATTAGATGGATCCCTTTTGAGTTTATGAGATATAATATAGGAAAAATGAGGAACAGTAATGAAAAGCCTGATCCCGAGATTCGATCACTGCAAACTTTGGATCACGTAACCTTGCTTTAGCGCTTGAGCATTTTAGCTGTCCTTCGTGACAATCGAAGTTGCACCTATCTTACATGGCATGTGACCTTCCTCTGCAAAAGTGACCTTTAACAGGTCATTCCTGGAGGCCAAATATTAATAGAGACTACAATGATCATACTCTCTGCATGGAAGGAACATGCAAAGCTTTTTGCACATTTCCTAATTGATTTTTTTTTTTTTTTTTTTTTTTTTTAAGTTGCAATTTATTAAGGGTTTATCTGTACCAGTCTTTGTAGTACCTAAGGTGAATGTATATTCGTGGGATGAACTATTCGGGCACCAAAGGCCGGGTGCTTGCATTGGCTTCGAGCACATCCAGTAGCGCAAGGCACATACGAGCTTTCGTCTCGTTTAAGAAATGCAAAGTATACTCGTAAATAATAGTATTGCACTTTGTTTATGTCTGGGCCAAGCAGTGATATTGGGTTGGAATGCTTCTCATTTTACACTAGCTTACTGGCACTAACGAGATGGGAATATACTCGTCTGCATTACTACTAACCACAAGGCTTCTTTGTCCCGTTGTAATTTCAAGGAGAAGAGAGGACTTCCTCTTTTAGTCTCTCCTTCGCAAAATTTAACGACCTGTGTCGTGGAGTTACATTTTTTGCATGGGGCACCCGTAGCGACGATAATCAAATGCTGCACATAGACTGGACACGAGCACTCGATTTGGTTCGTGACGGTGCCTCGACAAGCATTCGGGCAGCGGCTCGTATTGAATCGCTGCGATGACGGGAATAGCCGAACCCTAGCAACCTCTGGGAGTCATCGCATGCCCTGTGCTTTGCCATCCCCAGTGCGTGGCTATGCTGAACATTGGCTGCATATAATTGGCACCAGGTCACGTGACTGCTTGTTCTGGCTGATTGTTTTTTTTTTTTTGTTTTTTTTTTTAATTTTTGTTGGCAATTGTTGATGCATTGAGAGAAAAATTAATGCGGTATTTACTGGAAGTACAAAAGTTGTTGGCAACTCCGCTTCATTTTTGGTTTTGAAAAAACAATGCAGTTCTCTTCATTATCACCTAGGAAGACCACACGTCAAATATTACGACCTACTAGTTCTGTCTAAATTTTTCTTAAACGGTCCGGCAAACTTTGCAACTCACCAAGTTGCCGAAATCGGCTGACTCAAGCCGGCGAATTCAAGTGCAACCAACAGCGAAGTCAAGGCAACGGCATGGGCGTAGCCAACATTGAGCTGAACGTCATCAAGATTGCCCTCTTTTGCTGGTTTTTACTTCTCCGGGCAAGCGTAGCGGTTGGCGTCAGCAATGTTTCCTCTCGGCTCTCAGCGGCGTCCACGTGATTGGTGTAACGCGCCTGCACAGCTCGCTTCTTGGGAGCCGTTTTGCCGCCCTGCGGTTACCGCCTTCTCCCGCGTCACAACCGCCGTCGTCGTCTCACCGTTTGTGATTATTGTCTCCCAGAGTTTCGTCCACTCTACGGACACCACGTGCGCAGACTTCCCGTAAAATACCGGGCAAGCGCCCACTCAAAATTTAGAGATAATCGCGAAAAAATGGGGAATGGGCGCTTGTCCGGTCATCAATTTTACATATAAATGTACTGTGCATATTTTCTCAGATCTTACAAATTTGGATATGGGCGCTTAATGTGGAATGGGCGGATGCGCAGTATTCTACGGTATGCCGCAGTTGTGCAGACTCTGTCGAATGTTGTAGACACCAAAACTTGGTGAAGAAAGCGGTGCAGACGACACTTGCGCCTGACACACGCCCGCCCCAATCCCGCCCGTCGTTGCGTAAAGGATCACGTGACATCTCGCACCACGTGATGGCCATGTTCTCGGCAGCCCGAGGCCAATGTTGCCGGACGAAGCCGAAGTTTCGGTTTCAATCTCCGCTCGTGTTTAAAATTAGATATTAAAATATATATCCCATTTTTTGCGAAACAAACGACGTAGTGTTTTTTACTAGGGCTTTTTTATGCGAAATCACTCATTATCCTGAAATCTCTGGAATTGAGCGGAGTTGCCCTATAACCCTTTGCGGTCATGTGTCGGACCAGGCCCGACATCGGAGAAACGCGCTTCCGGTCAGGAGTCGGGCATCGCCCCACATGCGTTCCCGCATCCTTTTAAACATGCTCCTTCGCTCTTTTTGCTGGATTGGTGGCACCATCTCTTGGAAAACACTTCAATCACATCACTCTTGAAAGGGTTCGAGTTTCTTCTCATAGAGAACAGGACTAGTCATAAAAAAAAAAAAAAAAAGACATGTTTCATGTTGTATGTTTTTTTTGCGCAACGGAGGAGCGCGCAAATTTCAACTTCACTGGCACGATGGTTATAGCCACGTTCCAGCCATGCTCGTTTTATGTAACTCTGCGTGATGTAATTGAAAGTGCCGACGATTTTAGTGAAGAGGACGTTTATATCCCTCCATCAGATGATGGAGAGGCAACCTCTGTGACTTGAGTGAAAGTAGTGATGAATATGAAACGACTGCACAAGACAGCGGCCGCGGATCCGCTCCGCCACAAACATTGTTCCGGAGTTTGTACACAATCTCCCGGACTTTCCTGTGTGAGACGTTACCTTTGTGCGCCGAAATAATTTTACTTTTCCGGGGCCCATGCGTACAGAATAGTTTCTGACCAGAATGACCATTAAGTTGGTCAGAGTATCTGACCGCAAAGGGTTAAGCCTCCACTATGCACGTTTGCGAGTCCGGCTTCAAGGCACTGCCATCTTGCTCGCTGGGGTGCACTTGGACGCGTCCTAATCCGATTACGAAGCCTTGCAAGGCGTCATAATTGGATTATGGCCGCGCCCAAGCGCACCCCACTGGGCAAGATGGCGGCACCCTGAGACCGCACTTGGAAACCTGTATAGTCCGTTGCAACTCAAGAAGGTAGGGCGGGGGAGGAGGAAGCAGACGAAACGCTAAAGAGAGAAGGAGGTTTCCCCCTTTCTTCTCCAATGTTCTGTCTGCTTCCTCCTCCCCGGCCCGTCCTACCTTCTTGAGCAGCTGATTCAAACACATGAACTTGGAAGAAGTTTCGAACTGCCCTGTGGTCGCAGCGAAGGCCATGTTTGCAAAGTAGAGGCAACCATCCTTCTATGCATCAAGTTCAAACATGTTGTAGTAACGAGTTTAAAAATTGGAACATTTGTATACTGCTAAAGCATTTCACCAACTGACACATTTTTAATGCGAAAGCATTAACTGGGTCCCATGGGGCGAGCTGACGTCATCAGTTTGAAGCTCGAAAACGGCACCTAGTTTCCGCAATTTCGCCTTTGGTTGCATTGGCTTGTGCGCGTCAACAGGGCTCCCGTTGGCCGCTGCGCTCGTGCAAGTTTCCACGACCGCTCACCCCATGACGCTGCGTGTCCATCAGCACGCCGTTAACACGCAACGTCCAAGGTCAGCGTGCCCAGGGGGGATGCGCGTTGACCGGCGACGATAAGTACGCAGCAGACGAAAAATGGAGCGGACGAGCGGCTTGCAGGGTTTCGCATTAACAACTCATTAGAAGTGCTTAGGTGTACATCGAGCTTTTATTTTTTTTGTTATGTGCACTTGAAATGAAGCGATTTTCCTTGGGATCGCGTTCTACTGCAGCAGAACAGGAAACAAGCTTAAATTTAAAATAATACACAGAAGGGCACTGTCAATAAACGAGACAAGAGTTTGGTCTCCCATTATGCTCGGGAGTGGAGGCTGCAGGAAACAAATAAAGGTGTCGACAGCACTCTGGGAAGGAAGGGCCATGCATCGCATTAAAAGACCACAAAAAAAAAAAAAAAAAAAAAAAAAAGGCCAAATTTAATGACTTAGTTAAAACTTGTTGGCTTCTAGACTGCGTAATGACCCAGAAACAGCTTGTGGGTCTGTCAGTGGTATAGATGTCTGTTGCGGCACTATCTTTGTTTCCTGCTGACAACCTCTTGTGCCTTACTGCGTGAAACTAAGTAATCATTCAACAACAATAAATAAGCAGAGGATGTTCACACCCGGTGGTCGACATCATCTATGAGATAGAAAGAAAAAAAAAAGAAGCAAGACCACTTCATCTGGCAATGCAGCATATTTATTTGGCACTAGGAAAAAATGTGGATTTAATCTAGAATTGATATTGTTGTAATCTCTTTCTCAACTGGCTGAATCAAATAAAGCCAATTAAGTATCATACTATGCAAGGGGATTTTCAGTGCAGAGCTTGGTTTCAGAACAAAGTTTTAAGCTAGTCCAAGCCACACCTGCAATTTCTTCGCCATTCTTGGCTGAGAACAGTGGCTGAGAGACAGAAGCCTATTGCAGAACACCAATGCTGCATTCGCTACTTTGTTATGCAAAACGAGGGGGAACAAAAAAACAATGAAAAATGCCAGTCAGCCAGTCAGAATGACATCGGAACAGAACCTCGCCCAATTTTTCAGATGCCACCAATCTCAAGTGAGGTGCTAGTGACATGCGTGAACAGAGCAGCAAGGTCCCACATCAGTACACAGCTGAGCTCATCAGGCTCTGCAGCATTCCCGGAATGAGCTGCAGGAGTTTCGTCATCACCTCCAGCTCCTCCTTCACCAGTGGCACATGTTCAGGAGCCTTCTTGCAGTAGTTCACCACAAACTCGTAGCTATCTTTGGTCATCTCGAGATTGGCAATCTGTTCCCCGAGATCCTGGAACACCTTCCTGGAGTGCAGCGTGCCCACGCAGAAGAGTGCCCGCAATGCTGGTCGCGCGAGCACGTCCGCAAACTTGTCCGGATACTCATTGCTCGTGTCCCTCAGCGTGTCTAAGAAAGAAGTGTAGTGATGGATGGCCTTGTCGATGAGCGAGTTGATCTTCTTGACCGCATGAGAGTTGGGCTTGACGGCCGCCGAAAGACTAGAGAACTTGATGTCCATCATCTCGTTGTACGTCTGTCCGAGCTCGCACATGACGAGATGGCATTGATTGAGGTACAACTTGGGGTTCACTTCTTTCAAGACCTCTTCAAGCATGTCAATGCGTCGCTTGTGCATCTTGCACCGCCGGTCGGCTGCCGGCTCGAAAAATGCCAGCTCCTTGTACAGCTTGCTCATCGCCTGAATGATCTCGATGTACTCCTTCGTGTGACTTTTCACAGTGTAGTAGTCCTTAGCCTCGGTCAACCATTGCAGTCCCATCAGGAAAACAGGCTTGGCGCCATCGAAGTTTGCCACCAGCTTGTCCGTGACCGCAGCTTCTAGGGCGGTTATCTCTGGCAACTCGATGAGCAGGTAGGGCTGGTTGCTGGGCGACTGTTCCTGGTCCTTCTGGCCAGTGGCTTCCTCCCTCGAGGCGACTAAGAGCAGGAGGCTGTACTTGGCCCAGCACAGTGCCGCGTTGGCGGACATGCACTTGAGCATCTCTTCTTTTACCTCTTTGTGGTCGGGGGACGACTGATCACGGTCCAACTCAGTCGCGTACTGTCCGAGCACGTAGCTCGCACATACCAAGAGATGTCTGCCCGCTCCAAAGTTACCTCCGATGATAAAGAACTGTGACAATCTGGCCACGGCGTCGGCCCAGTCAACGCTGTCCACGTCGCCCGTTGCCAGCTGCTTCTTCAGCGTTCTGTAAGAGTACATGGCCGCCTTTTCCTTTTCTCCCAACAACTCGTACGCCTGGACCATGTAGTAAAGCGTGTACACATGCGCGCGCTCGAGATCCTTGACGCCGGTCTCGCTGCAAGCTTGTCCCTCCGGCAGGAAGTAGTCGCTGAAGCCTCGCACACCCGTCAGGTCTCCCGCGCTCACTTTGGCGTAGATGTTCTCGGCTAGCTTGAGGTGCTCGCAAGCTCGGGTTGGGTCGGACCCACGACCGTCGTAGTCGGTCGACTGCCCCAAGGCTATAAACCCGAGTCGATTGAGAGCGCTGATCGCGAGCGAGCAGAAGGACGGATCTTCGTACCTATCTTCGCCGATGATCCTGAGGCACTCTTCGCAGCACTCGAGTCCCAGTGATGCTTCCGATGTCTCCGTGGCGACGAACCCGATGTCGTGCTTGATCAGCGCTCGCACGTGCTCCTTGCTGGGGCTGTCCGTTTCGATCTGACCGATAACCTCGAGCAGCTCTTTGAGTATTTTCAAAGCTTGAGTGGATCGGTACAGCTGGTACGCCGCCGTCCGGGGGGTCGACCAGGCTGGCATACTTTCGATATCAATTAGTTTCCGAGCACGCTCGTATTTGTTACGAATCTCTTTTAACTTTGATTCCCAAACTGCTGACGCTGCCGTGGCCGTCATTTTAGGATGATGCCTTTGCGGAATCCCTACTATCAGTGAATCACTTGCGAGACGTGAGAACCAAGTGCCAAACCCTTCCGTAACGCCGCCGAAACCGTACACGAAAGTGAAACTGGTGAAACCATGCGACCACCACACCACCACCACGCTTTCCCAAACTTTCCCTCTCGCCCCTTCTCCCCCGCGTTCCCGCGGCTCTGTGGTTGCTCTGGTCCAGTGTTGGGTAAAGTACATCTAAAAGATCTAAAAGGTACTTCAAGTGAAGTACAAAGTAAATGAGACGTGATGTACTTTAAGTAAAGTAGTAAGTACACTGGGTGCAATGTACTTGAAGTAAAGTACTATAAATACAATGTACTTTCAAAGTTAAGTACAAGCTAGTATTTTAAAACAATCTTTCATAATGTCCTTTAATTCCCCTATCGACGTTTGCACGTCCGGCTTTAGAGCGCTGCCATCTTGCTCGCTGAGGTGCGCTTGGACGCGTCCTAATCCGATTACGAAGCCTTGCTTAGGCGTCATAATCGGATTATGGCCGCGCCCAAGCGCACCCCACTAGGAAAGATGGCGGCACCCTGAGAACGGACTTGCAAACGTGTCTGCAGTGATTTTTTAACTGGTACGCATTGCCCAGGGGTAATCAGGGTGCATGACCTATTTTCCAAAACAGCGGCAAATATTTGATAAAGTCAAGTGGCCACAGAGTAGTTATTTTCATGAATTCAGCTAAATTCAGAAGTCCCTCTTTTGAATTTTGCGCCACTTGCACTGGATTTTTGCACCCAAGCGTGTTAAATATATACTATTAGGGAGCATGCGTCAATGAGTGTGCAAGCGAGCTGGTAATACTTAATCATAATGTGATACCTGAGACTGAGTTAAGCAAAAGACAAAAAAGAGAATGTCTCAAAACATTGTGACGTTCTCTTCTGTTTTTTTCTCTTTTTCTTCGACTTGAAAGTTTAATTCTTCAGCACCACAGTTTCAGGTGCTAGAGTATGATTAGTTTGGCCCTCATGATATTTTAAACCTCCTCGCATTGCGCTGAACAACCGAGAAGTAGCGAGAGCTCAATAGGCTGCTGGAAAGCCGCCCCCACAAGTCGGAGCGATGCGTCGTCTGCTCACGTCTCTGCTAAGAGTAGAATATCCCGCCCAGTATTTCTTCGGAGTTGACCAAGTATCATTTCTTGATACAAATTTAACACAACCAAATTTGGGGAATGTACTTCGAAGTCAGAAATTGTACTGTCCTCGGAAAGTACCAGAAACAAGTACTCTAAGTAAAGTACAAGTACATGATCAGAGAATATACTTCAAGTGAAGTACAAGTTTCCTAAATCTACTTGAGGTAGTACTGTACAATGTACTTGAAGTACTTCCCAACACTGCTCGGTCATGTGAAGTCGGTCTCTCTTCCGCAAACCTCGCTCTCTCCAGCAGATCTGCATTGACTTCAGCCCAGTAACCATGCGCTCTACCTCTTCTAGCCCCAAACCTCAGTCCTTCCTCCACTCTGCGATGCCTCACACAGCGATCCTACCATGATCCCTACCCTACCAGAGCGATCCCTACGATCCCTACCATGGAACGCGCCCTGGGACCCTGGCAGGACCCTGGCAGGACCCTGGCCACCCTGGCTCTGGACCCTGGCTGGACCCTGGGAGTCCAGAGCAGTATATTGGACTCCCCAGGCACCGTCGTCCGGCGTTGGGACGCCGGACGGCGGTGCCTGGGGAGTCCCAGGGGAGTCCAACTCCACAGTGCCATTTGAATCCCTTGGCATCTGGTGGCTGTACTAAAATCAACATGGCGGCACAGCGAAACCAAAACCGAAACCGCACGGCAGCGCCATTGTGCTTGGATGGATGGGTGGTTAGCTTGTGCCACCTAGAATAATATATATATATATATTATTCTATTTCCATATAGTGTATATACATATACTATATGGGAATGAGTGAAGATTGACAAGTGCAGCCGTAGTAATATTGTGAACGAGGAGGGGAGAAGGTGATTCTTGAATTTATTGCATTAAAGTTAGGGAAAGGGGAAGGGGAAAGAGAGCTGGCAAAAAAATTGGGCCAGGAGCGGGGATTGAACCCGCAACCTTCGCCTGTCCAGGCCGACGCCTCAACCGATTAGACCAGTGGTCGGCAACCTTTTGGCGAAGCGGGCCGAGTCGCCGCGAAGCCTAGGCGGAACGGGCCGGACGTCAAGCAGCGGGGGGGGGGGGGGGGGGGGGGGGGGGGGGGGAAGGGGGAAGGGGGGAGAGAGATAATATAAAAAAAAAAGCACTTGCACGAACTTAAGATTGACGTACATAAATCGAAAATGAACAGTTTCTTTATTTCACGACAAACAACATGAGATACGACATTTCCACGAAAACCTAGAGACTCCTCTCATTGGTGTTGAACTGCGCTCGCAAAACTACGGACATCCACATTCAAGCTACTAAAGTCGCAAAACATTGTGGAGGTTCTCGTCAGTCATTCGTGAGCGGAAGTTGGATTTTATGCACTTCATTTGTGAAAAAGTCTGCTCGCAGACAGGCAGCGAATTAGTCAACTGTTTTTTTTTTTTCTTTAGCTGACTGCGTAAGGGGGAGGGGGGTTACCGGGAGGCTGAGGGCCGTATGATACTACCTCGCGGGCCCTTGGGAGCGAATGGCGGCGGAGCACCCGCTCGTGGCACGTGTCTTGCGCGTTTCCACAACAATGGAGCGTTTTCAGATAAGATCAAACAACCGTGTCCAATGACCATTTTTAATTTTGATGAAAAAAAAAATGCTAAGCCCATGCCCCGCAAAAAAAGAAACCAATCCTTGATAAAAAAAAAATTGTCTACGAAAAAAAAAAAAAAATTGTAAGCACTCAGTCAGGTGCGCGTTTTGCGTATCGCGCGATGTTGGCATTTCGGGCAGCTTCCCTCAGAAAGCTATTCTGGCCACGTGCCTAGAAATATTTACTGACAAATTAGGCATAGTAAGGATTGACAAAAAGTATTAATCACCGAGTACTAGGGTCGTTATTTCGAGAAACAAAATCGCAAATACGGCACATTGCGCAATAACGCTCTGGATTAAAGATTTCTTATTTTTTTTCCCTACGAAACCCAAAGTCTTCAAACTTTGCAAGTGTATTGTCACTGTATATAGTTCATCTTTGCATGAAATATTATTGTCCTGGTTAGCGGGAGAAATTTACAAGAATTGCTCACACAGGGGCATTTAACTAAATACGCATTATATTGAAAGAAACATTTTTTTTTTTAAAGGGCATCCTTAATATTCTTTGAACTCTCCGAAATTAACGTTTATGATGTGTACTAACAGAATTTGCAAAAATATAATGCAATATTTGAGTGACTTTGAAGTTATAAAGCGAGAAATATGGCCAAATTTACGCTAACGCGGTTGCCATAAATGGGGCATGCACATACCCGTTCTTCACAATTTCATTATTATTAAAAAGCGTAGAAATGCTACGGGGTGGTCAAAAAAGACAAATTGACAGCACAGAGGTGTACGGTAGTTTTGAGGGGAAAATTCCTAATACATTTTCGTAAAACCGACCCAAAAATGCCCATGGGTCGGAGCGATCGAGGAGCACCACCCTGTAACATGCTTCGCGGTGCCTAAAGGAAGCAACCGCAGTTACTTTGCAAACGGATCAGCCGGTAACATGACATAGGAGGTAGGGCGCGACAAAAAACCTGCGCCGCCTCGGAGCGCCAATAAATCTGCCGCCGCAAAAAACCGCACAACGCAAAAAAAGAAAAAAAAAAATTGGTTGATTGAGGTTGTTTGTATTGGGTGTTTCCAGATAGGATCGAACGACCAAGTCCGGTCGACATTTTTTCTATTTTACCAAAATGTATATTTTACTTGTTGTGCAAGCGCAAAAACATGGTCAAACTTTTTTTGCGGAAAATAAAATTTCTCTTGAAGAAGAAAAATCACAAAGTCGCTCGATTTGCGTGAAACTGTCCCTTTGAATATTTATAAAAGAAAAACTGTTGTTGCCGTAGGTCCAATAGTTTTTGTGCAGAGACTACATAAAATAAGAGGAGATAAACATGTATTATCGATTACAAAGCAATTCAGAGCTTCATTGATCCGTTAAAAGACTGGAAATTCTAATTTTTTAACATAATTTGGACGCGTTTTTTTTTTCAATATTCGCGTAAAATGTCATTCAAATTGAAAACGATAAATTTTCTAAAAAAATACACTAAAATGTAGACAGGTTACTTATTATGCAATAATTGGAAAATCAGTTTAAAATGAAGGCAATCTTAATTTTTCTTCGACTTTACACAGATCAAGGCTCATAATCTGTCCTTTCAGTCCCTTAAAAAATGCTTTAGAATATTTTTGTATTTTCTGAATTTACAGAGCGCTAAATATACCGAATTGCCGTAACGGAAGTAGAGAAACATATCACGTTGCCGATTTCAAACAAGGGCATGAAAGGGGTAAAAAAAAATGTAGGAAGTTTGTAAAGAGAAAGCACTCTGACAGGAGTTCGTGAAAAATAATAATTCATTGAAAAGATTACAGGTGAGTTTGAAGCACAAGTCAATAATTTAAATACAGATTTCTCGGATGAGTGAATTTCGGAGCCTACCCATCGTAGGGAGGCTGGGCTGAATGATTTTAAATTGGGACTAATCGCATATCGTTTAGTTGGCCAAAAGAAAGAGGCTAGCAAGTCAAAAGCCAGCTTTTCGGTACGAACATTTGAAAATATAGCGGACTATTTTGTACCTTCTTGCCTTCGAAAGCTCTCCGCCTTTTCACTATGATACATCCGCAGTTCCAAATACGCGTCACCGGCGCCAAACTGACGTCAGCAGAGCCCAGCTCACGCATTGGACACGAGAACTGCGTCACTCGGACGTATGCGCTCGTCAACAATCAATCCGTCGACGAATATTTGGATTCGCGTTCGTGGCCAATGACTGCCCTGACGGGACTTATTGTCACTGGGGAATGACAAGTTCTATGGTGTGCATAAAAAGCACGGTGGAAGCTAGGAGTCATCGCACCGGTGCCGAAGGAATGTCACGACCACGTGACATTCCTTGCTCAAATGCGAATTGTGCGACAACTCAAATGCGAATTGTGAAATCACGTGGTCGTGACATTCCTGCGGCACCGGTGCGATGCCGTGCTTTTTATGCACACCATAGAACTTGTCATTCCCCAGTATAATAATCAAACTGGCTGTCGCTAGTCAGCGAAAATACACTCAAATAAGTAAAGTTGTACAGGATGATGACTAGGACGTCAATCCGGTCAATTTTCCCGCCGCATGACGTGGAGGCCAGCATCCTGCAGAATTCGGAGCATTTCGCTCTACGGGTCAACAACACTGGGCATTCGACTCCACTCGCTCGAAGGAACGGACCGACAGACCGGTGAGATACTCTGGGTTCTCTCAACCTACAGGCAACACACTTGAAAGTGCTCGTTTATCAGGTTCAGTCCGAGTTTGAGACTGCTCTGTGCCTTGTTCGACCGCCAAGTACGTGTAGCTAGGATTCTTCGAAGGCAGCTCGACAACTTCACTCTCACTTCTCCAACGGACCGCCGCTTTCATCACCGTCGCCGCTACTTTGCCTCGTCGACGACAGTGGTTGTGAGCCAAGTTTTAGTTTTTAGAGCACGGTGCACTCTGGCTTGCCCCTAGCCGCGGCCCAGATTCTATTTCTGAGGTTGAAACTCCGGGAAAAGCACCGTCACAGTACACAGGATCTCGGCGTGGATCCACCGTTTTGCCACAACGATGGATGATCTCGGTGAGTTTTCTTCATAGTGCAAGCGGGCAATCCGCGCAACATGCACAAAGGGTATTCATCCTATCTTTGGTGGGTTTGCGGGCTTCTCAGGCTTTACGCGTGGTTAACGCACTCTTTAAAAGTTTTCACTCTTTTTTTTTTTCTTTTCCAAGAGCAGTTTCGTAACATGTTGCGCTTGCTGCATTGGCAGCGGACACCAACACAGTCTCCGAATTTAGGTTCCCCAAGCCAAGGCCGCTCGAACGACCTTGCTCACGGTGCGTTACCTGCGTAACTTCTGTTTACATTTTTTTTTTTTTTATGGGTTGTAAAGTGTTTTGGCATTGCAACCAGCTATGATCGGAAAACAGCGTGTTTTGGCCAGCAGCAAGTGGGCCTTTGGCAAATGGATGTTTCGGAATTTTTATGTATCATTTTCCTGTTTTAATGGTACCTTTTTTTTTTTTTTTCCCGATGTAAATTGGGGAGGCGTGTGTGTCCCTTTATCGCTCCTCCAAATCTCCTCTCCGGCGCGGGTTGTTGACGATAACGGCGCTATTTAACGTCTCGTGGCGCGGGACGATTTCACACGATTGCCAAAGGGTCAGTCACTCAGTCCGTCGTTTATTGGATCGCTGTGTCGCCCTCTTAAAATTCTTTGGACAGCTTTTAGATATTTTAGATACTGGTATCTCCGGTCATTTTGTATTTTGCCTGGATAAACGCTTTAAAGTACTGACAGTTGGCTAGGGGAGCCGATGAAATCGCAGCGTGCTTAAATTTGGCAACAAGACTGGTCTAGCGTAATTATTATAAGATGCGAATCTCACGATAGGCGTACATTTCTTTCTTAGACGTTATCAGCATGCCTTTTTTATGCAATCGCTTTCAATTCGCGAGACAAGGGTTCTGGAGGTCATCGACCCACGACGCCGAGACAGCTGTAGAATAGTGAACTGTGGTCAAACGGACGCCGCTACCCTAGGTGCCGCCCTTCGCCTCACGGATCGGCCCTACGAGTGTGTCAGTGTCACGATTGGTTCTATGTAGATCGGACCGCACGTGTTTGCGTGAGTTCGTGCCTCCGTGAGTTCCCCGTGGTCTTTCGTGACCCAACCTCCGTCCCTGCGCTGTCTCTGCGGAGCTAGGGTACCCCGATGTTCTTCTATACTCTACTTTCGCTAAATACTACTTAGAATCACTCCCTAACGTTATAGCCGAATAAACTTGCCTTGCTTTTTGTTTGGCAGTCGCCGAAAAGAATTCGAGAAATATGAGCATCGTTCATCCCCTCAACTCGGAGCCGAAAAAAGAAAAAACGTGTGTTTGTTTTTTTGCAGTATGGCGAATGACGAGGTCAGAAGACGTATTTTCACCTCATAGCTCTGACTGTATATTTTGGTCGAGATGTTTTTCGACTTGTCATTCATCAGGCACCATCCGCATATCGTAGAGATGAACTCAACCAGGGTTCTAATAGGAAAAAACAATAACAAAAAAACAAGACAGTAGTTCCTTTGGGTGGTGTCGTCGTCGACTGCGCCTCGAAACTTGTCCTCGGGTGTACGTACACTGATTCATATTCTTGTAAGGTGTGTCCGGGAAACAGTCACTCATTTTCTTTGTGCTTTAATCTGCATATCCTTTTGCACCATATCAGTAATTTGTCTTCAAGTCCCTTACATCTATGCTGTATCATCGGTTTACATAAAAAAGCCCAGGTAATATGCTTAACTTTTTTTTTTTCGCGTCAAATTAATCTTTGTCTTTAGAGCAGTTGTAACTGGCGTTTCGCTGCGATTAGCTCACACATGTAGAGTGATCATTTAGCCTCCTCTTCATATGAGCTATAAATAGAATAAGTAAACGGCTCTCCACTGCATGTGGAGAGCCTTTTAACTCCTAACTACAAAGTGTGTGTGTGTCGTACAACCTCCACCAGAAAATAAGCAAGAAAAGAGTTACAGGGGTATTTTTACCGCAAAAATGAATTGCGTCGCCTAACGCTCATTCTTCGCCCAAATGTAGCACTAGCGCGGTCCGAACGAGATGCGAAAGTTTCAGCACTAACCGTTATCTTATTCAAAAGTTATACATGATTTTCTCAAGTTTTTTATCGGAAAGTGGTTGCCCATAGAGCTCTCGACTACGTGGAGCTCTAATGGCACCAGTCACCGAAAACGGCCGAAAGTGGGCCTTAATTTTTTATTGAAAATAATAATAATAATAATAATAAAAAAACATGTATAACTTTTGAATAATATAACGGTTAGTTTTTGAAACTTTGGCCTCTGGTTCGGCACTCTAGCGCTACGTTTCGGCAGAGAATGAGCGTTCCGCAATACATATTTTATTTTTGCGATAGAAAAAAAAAATATATAAATTTTTGTTTTTGGAACACGCTCTTTAACAATGGGCTGGCATGCGTGCATTTATTCATTCTTTCACCCATATCGGCCGACGGCATTACGCGAAAGCAAACTTTAGAACATTTGCTGTGCGAGCTGCGGAGTTTTGAGAGCCGACTATAGAGACATAAGCTCGAATTTGCCAAGTCTACGTCTACTGCGTTTCGTACCAGGATTACTATCGAGCCATCAGTGAACGCGAGTGTAAACTCCGAGCCCAGAATACTCGTTATATCGAACGGCATATTGAACGCGTGCATGGACACGTCGGCGGGAATGACCGCATACCCACGTGTCAGCTTGCGCGGAAATACCCGCGTCTGAGTCGACGCGCACCTTATATCGACGTGCACGTATCTACGCGCGACGTTGATGACACTGACCCAGAGACGTCGACGAGCGCCATGAATCACACCGGAGACATGGCGCATCGCGGAAACCGGGGAAAACGATGTCGCGGATTCGGTGCCTCCGATCTGCCACGCGGTGTCTTCATCCGCGCGAAATTCGAGCCGGCATAGTTGCAAGAGACGCGATGCGTGGCCGCGGGCTTCCGTCACTCGCGCGCAAACACGAAAATCGGACATCATGTGGCGAAAAGGCTGGGACAGAGATAGCGCGGTTTCTTTCGCTCTTCATTATTTGCTAGTTTTATCGTTCCATTGTTTCTGTATAATTGTCTCTCCACAGCCATCCTTTAGTTTGTTTCGTACCCTCCATGTGCGGGTTGCGTAAATGTTTCGTGGTTGTACTGTATCGCTCTGATTTGTTGCGGCGAGCGCGTCCCTGCACCGATTTATTTGTTTTTTTTCGTTTCCTACGGTCCTTTCAGAGTTTGTTGCGCTGATATTAGAAAGCGGTAAGTCAGTCTGGCTAAAAAAATGGCGTCTCTGCGTGTCTAAGCGATGAATCAGTCTGCCTTAAAGCGTCGTCTCTGGTGTGTCCGCCGTAGAAGGCAATTTGGTCGGGACAGAGCGACTGCTAACCGCTAAGCTGATAAGGCGGTGTAAACTTCGTTATCGCCGGACTATTCTATCGGCTTACTTGTATCGCCGGACTTCACTCTCCGCCCGATGGTACGCGCAGAAGGTGTAATCACGCGGTGCAAGATCCACCTCCCTGTCAGCTTAGGGACGAACGGAGTACAGCGATAGCACGACCGGATGTCGGTAGAATGACCGTCCGTATCGAAATCTGGCTGGAGCGGGGATTCCGACCATCGCTGGGTGCTGCTGCGCGATCATTCGCTCCAAGTACTCCTAAAGTCACTGAGTTCCTCTACAGCTAGAGAAACTAAATGGAGCATATGCAGTATTCGCTTACTTATTCTACACTCGATCACCGATCCTCTGCTGGGTAATCTCTCTGCATGCAATTCGTTTTCGACAGCGTGTAAAGGTCCTCCCGACAAGACTGCAGCCTGTCTCTTGCGCGATTGATGGATGCTCCGAACGGCCTCTTTTCCCGGTCTCCTTCGCACGCTGATTGCAAAAGCAAAATAAAAAAATAAAATAAAAATCTCTACGAATTGTACACTTCCCGTATGACCTCACCTCCGTCTAGACGTCAAGTCTTAGCGCGACGAACGGCCCCCGACAAAAAGCAGACGGCGTTACGCTGTTGACTCGGAACAATCGTCCGAAAAACCGCTCGTGCAACTCTCTTTTAGCATGACTTGGCACAGCGAATGGTACGGCTCCCCCTCGAGCCATTCAGAGACACGGAGCGAAGCACGTGGCGGTATATGTTCTCCGCGGGAGTACCAATCCCATTGGGGAGTGCGTACTGACGCTGTTGTCACGTGCCCTATTTCTAGCCTCTCTGATTGGCTCGCCGCTACCAAGGTGTACGTGGCGTGTCGGCGAGCGCTACGTTTGTCGTTCTCGTGGGGCCATATTTGGGTGAATTATACTTGGGAAATGTAATTTCATTACGGTCACAAGTATGCTGCTCCAAAAGTAGTTAATCACAATTAGAGTTACTAGAGCACAAGAACTAAGGCGTTACAGTTGTGCGCCACTCTCAGAGAGACTTCGTCCTAACTTTCCTTTGAAAACTACCCACCTTCATTGATGTTGATATGATAACACGCACACTGACTCGTATTGTCCATTCCTTTACGTTCTCCACATTTTGTGCCTTTGTTTCACCTATCTCATTACTGGTAGGATACGGGAGCTACGTTTCAGTGCGGCTTTGAACGTGAAAGTTCTATATATCTGGGTATTCTAGTAGTGCATATAGCCTCTTCGAATTTCGGAGTGATCAGTTTGACCTGCGGAGCTTTTGCGCCATAAAACTCTAATTATTCCTCTTAATCTTCGGAGTAATCCGCCGGCACGTGGGAGTGTCTATTCCGGTATGGTTTCACCGGGCTAGTTTGTAGTTCAAAATTTTTTATTTGATTATAATGATGCAATTGATTTGCGTAGCAGAGATATTCGATTCTTATACTAGTGTCAATGTTTCAGATTGTCCTTTTTTTTCCACGTTTTTTACGTTTAGAAATCGTATCTATACCGGTTTTCACCTCAAGAAAAAAACAAGTTTTGCGCACTCTTCATACGCGGCACGGAGTATAGTTTTTACGAGATTTGGTTGTCGGAGAAAACA